GCACAATTGTCATCTCAATTGAATCACAACAAGAAACAGCAAGTCAAGCTCAAAGAGAAGTTGGTACTAAATCAACTTCAGTGATTGCTGTATTGAAGAATATTAATTTTGTAACAAAATTAAGAACTGCCTCTATTACATTATATCCAATTTATCCATCAACATTGAATCCATCTGTTACAATACCATATAATGAAAGTATGAGAATTGTTGGATATAAATCATCTAATACTATTTCATTCACAGTTACAAGTTTAACAATTATTGGTGAAGTATTGGATAAATTAATTGAATTGGGTGTAACACAAATATCAAGTATTAATATGCAAGCAAATGAAACAGCTGTTAATAATGCACGTGAACAAGCTCTTTCATTGGCTGTACAAGATGCTAAATCTAAAATTGAAAAAGTTGTTGCAACATTGAATCCTGATTTAACCATTGAAACTATTAGAAGTAGAATGTATACCTATGATGTTAATATTGATAGTGTTAATAGACCAATTCCAATCGCATTCCCTTATTTTGCTCAAGGTGCTTCATATAGAATGGATGCTGCTCAATCACAATCTGTTCCAGTAGTAGGTGGTGATCAGACTATTGATTCATATGTTACTGTAAAGATGGTTTTTAGACAACAACAACAACAATAGAATATTTGAATTATGATTCCTTATTGATTTTTTTGAGATTAATTTGAAAGACCTTTTTGTATTTTTTAATAATAAATTGCGAAACTTTTTTGTCAAGTTTTTGGAAGAAATTTCTGACAAGCCTCTTGTGAAGATAACTTGAAAGGCTTTGTTCTTCGAGCAAAAAATAGAATATCACCACTCAAAAAAATACCTAAGTGATCCACCTAGTGATTCACCCCAACAACTGTAAATAACAATCATTCCGAATCAAAGCCTTTGTACAATATGTCCCGTAAAACAACCTCTCAAGAAGAAAAGCTCGACATTGTTGTTGACTTTTTCCTTCAACATTGTGAACCATTCTCTCTTAAAGAATTAGAAAAGAAATTACCAAAATTCAATTCAGCCATCAAATTCCCTCTCATCAAAGATCTTCTCACATCATTATCAGCTGACTCTAGAATTGATACAGATAAAGTTGGTTCATCGAATCAATACTGGTTGTTCCCTAGTGCAGCCTCTGAAGTAAGAAAGAGAAAAAAGTCAGAATTGGAAGATCAAGTTGAAAATGAAAAACAAAAGAAGATTAAATTGGAAGAAGAAATTCAAGAAGCCTCCGAAGGAAAGGAAAATACAGAAGAGAGATCAGGTTATCTAGAAGAATTACAAGAAATCAGAAAGGAAAGAGAAGGAGTGAATGCACAATTAAAAAGATTTGAAGATTTGGATCCGGAATTGATTGAAAAGATTAAATCGGATGTTAGTGTCTGTAAAGATTCTGCTAATAGATGGACAGACAATATATTTTCATTGGTTGGTTATTGTAAAAAGACCTTTAATATGGATAATAGTACAATTTATCAAATGTTTGAAATTCCAGAAGATTTTGATAACTTGGAATAAATACCTAATGTAGATGTAATTTCATCATCAATTATTATATACTACGGGAATTTATTAATGTGGATAGTCGTGTAGGATCATCATGTGATCTTTAAAATAATAATTATCATTGGCCGATGATACAATATCTGTTTAATGTTGACTTGCTGGTAGTAAGAACAAACATCACATAAAAAATTTCATCAAGGCTGTATTCATCACGGAGAGTAATTAAATTTTGATAGAAGAAGAACAAAGACTACTTTTTGTATATATTCTTCTCGAGATTGAACCACTATTAACAACTACTCTAACCAATCAATCAATAACATTTATCAACAACAAAAGCATCAAAAAGTGGTGCTACACCAACAACAATTTTCTACAACAACAACAAGAACCATGAGTACACCCACCAACCACGATTCATCAACCAACTTGACCATTCAAGTAAATGGTGATGAAATGTCGTTTAATCCAATCCTTCTTGGATCCATGAGTAATAATAATAACAATGAAGCAACAAGCCTTCTTCAGCCTGAAACTAGTGATGATTATAATACTTCTACTACACAACAGTATCATGATGATAACAACAACAACAACAACATTAATAATACATCATCATCATCTTCAACACAAGTTGTTGAGGGAAGTATAATAGTAGAAGGTAATATTATGAGTGAATCTAAACTAAGTGAACAAGATAAACAAAGTCTTGTTAAAGAATTATCAAAAGCAATACTAGGTATATATATGAATAATGTTATTCAAACAAGTGTTAAAGACAAAATAATAGAAACTGCAACAGATAAAACTACAGCAAACATTCTAAGTTTTTATTATAAACGAAGAGAATATTTAAAACAACAACAACAATATCAACAACAACAAGTAAAACAACAAGTAGAACAAGTAGAACAACAAGTAGAACAAGTAGACCAAGTAGAACAACAATTAAATAGAATAATAGAAAAGGAAGAAGGCTTGATTTCATTAGATCATCCAACAAATTTAGATGATTCTATCACAAGAATTGATTTAAATGATGAATATCAACCTCCTATTACAGAAAATAATAGTAGTAGTAATAATAATATATTAAATAATATACCTTCTTCTTTACCTTCAACAATAGATATTAGTAATAATGATAATGATATTGTAATGATTGATCAATCTTGTAATGATGATAATAGTAATATTAATAATATTAATCATCAACAACAATCTAATCAATTAAATGAACATCAACAACTAGATATTAATCATCAATCTAATCAATTAAATGAACAGCAACAACTAGATGATCAACAATCTAATCAATTAAATGAACAATATGATCAACAATCTAATCAATTAAATGAATCAATTATTCAATTAAATAATGAACAATTAAATGAATCACCAATTCAATTAAATAATAATCAACAATTAAATCAATTAAATAACAAGGATATTGAAACAGATGTAGAAAATGAAGAAGAAGAATTCTATAAAAAGTATATGAATGATTTTAGAAATGATGATTTAATTGTAAACAAACATGAAGAATTATATCCATGTGAAAATTCATATATAGATCATTTTAGAGAAGCAATTTTATTAGAATGGAATGAATTTAAAAAACCAATTGAATTTAAATATGAATATATACAAACTAGAATTGAACAATTAAAAAAAGAATATAATAATATTATACATTTAATTAATACAGATACTAAATATAGTAATAATAATAATAATGAATTAAATTGTTCAAAATTATCAGGTATTTCAAATGATAATATTAAAAATAATATAATGATAAATAGATCATCTGAATTATATAATGCTTTTTATACTCCATATAAAAGAAGATTAGATTTATTACAACATCCATTTTTTGGAAGTTTTCATGATGTTTTTAATAGAGAAATTGAACATTTAAATCAATTAAAAGAAAAACAATCAGATTTAACTATAATTTCATCAAATTGGGTTTCTGCTACTTCAACTAATACAACAATTAATAATAATAGTATTTTAAATGATACAAATACAAATAATAATACTAATAATACTACTAATAATAATAATAATACAAATAATAATTTAAAAATAACATATCCATTTCCATATATAACAACATTGGATATATTAGATTCTATTGAATTATTTAAAACAGCATCAATATCATATCCACCTAATGATAGAGCAGTACCATTATCATTTTCATCAATATTAAAATATAATAATAATAATAGTAATATTAATAGAAGAAATGTTTCATCTTCAAATAGAAGAGGTAGAAGAGGTGCAAGTAGATTATCACAAGGTAAAAGAGTTGGCAATAGATCATCTACATCATCATCTACAGCAACAGCAACAAGTGGTGGTGGTGGTGGTGGATCAACAAATAAATCCAAACTAAATGATCTTAATCAAGATGAAGATTATGAAGAGAATTTTATACTCTATGATAGTACTAAAGATGTTAAAGCAGCAGAAATTACAGTACCTAGTTTTAGAATATTAACAAATGAACAAGTATCTGAATTAAGTGATGAATTTTCAGATGATGAAGATATATCAGATGTTAAATATTGTTATTTACATATTGATAAGGAAATGCAAGAACGTCAAAAATATTATATTGCTTCTTTACCTTCTTCTTCTGATAAAAAGAAAAAGAAAACTTCAGATCAAGATTCAAAGAATTTACATTATACTATACCTAATCATGATACTTTTAAATTGGCATTTGAAAAGTTTAATAGTACTAATACAAATACTAATAATACAAATACAAATAATAATCATAGTACTACTACTACTACACATAATGATCATTCACACCGATTTAAATATAATGATGATTTATCAACAGAATTAAAGAGTGGTAAAAATTTAATAAGCATGTCTAATAATTCTATTAATAATACTAGTATAACAACAACATTTAATGATAAATTAACATATCTTGTACCAATAGAAGATTTACAACAATATTCATCACAACAACAACAATCAACAGGACCAATGAATGCTAAATTAGCATTTAGTAAACATCAATTTCAATCCAAATTAGGATCACCACAAAAAAAGAAAGATTTAAAAAAGGAATTAACAAGTATACCTAGATGGAAATTAATTTCAATTGAATCCTATGTACCATATCCTATTTTAAAAAAGTGTGATGATCCACGTGGTAATTGGAATGATTTAAAACTTAAAAGTTTAGAAAGAAGATCAAATTTAACACTTGATTTAAATACTGAACTTACAAATAATTTATTATTTAATGATTTAAATACTATTAATACTATTAATAATAATACCATTGATACTATTAATACTAATATTAATAATTCTAATTCTAATTCTAATAATATAATTGGAAGTAGTAGTAATATTAGTACAAGAAAAAGAGCTAAAAGTGAAGTAGAAAATGAATTAATTACAACAGGATCATTTATTAAAAGTAATTCATCAACAACACCCTATCATCATCTTCAACAACCTAAAAAGAAATCTAAATATGATTTTGATGATATGGTAATGGCAGATGAAGATACAGATGAAATTGAAGATACAGATGATGATGATTTTCATCAAGAAGATGATGAACAAACTGATTCAGAAGATGATATTTTAATTTCAACTCCAAAACATTCAAATATTACTACTATTACTACTACTACTACATTTAATACAAATACTACATTTAATACTACAGCACCACCATCAAGTAGTAATAGTAATAATAATTCTACAACTTCAATTACAACAACAACACCAACAAAATCATCATCTAAAAAATCTAAAAAGAAGAAATCAACTTCATCTAAAAAGAAAAAGAAGAAGCAAATTACAACTCCTGTTCGTGTTGATAAAGTTATTAATGATGGTACAAAGATAGTATTTAAATTACAAAAATAATACTATTTAAAATAAATTTAATTTTTTTGAAATCAACATATTTAAACCTATTTTGAGATATTAATATTTAATATTTAGGGTAATTGAGGTAATTGGATTTTTTAAATAGTGACTTGATTTTATTTCTTTCAGTGACTGTTTTGAATAAAGTTTAAAGGCTTGGAACATTAAGGCGAACAAGAAACATACTCTGATTAAGAACAGATAAGGTTGATCATTGTTTACAAAACTCTCAAAAGAATATTCATTTCATGCGCGGACATGAGTTCATCGTCATCTATTAATTCCGACCAGTCGGGAGAGAGGAAGAATAGCACCTAATCAATAAAAAAAATATACACAATGACTGGAAGCCAACATATCAGTAATACTTATGCAGGACTCCTCACTATCGGAGGTATTGCAGCCTACGCAAAGAAAGGTTCTACACCAAGCTTGGTTGCAGGTGTTGGTTTAGGTGCGGCTTTTGGAGCATCTAGTTATCTTATTATGCAACAAAAGCATTTTGAAGGACATGCTTTAGCTAGTGCTGCTTCTGTTGTATTATTGGGTGCTGGTGTTAGTAGATTTTTAAAGGCTTCAAATAAGACTATTCCTTCCATTCTTACCATCTTGGGTTTAATTTCTAGTTATTATCAAATTAACAAGGCTATTGAATGGAAGCAATAAATAATTATATATTGGGAATATATGTTTAGTAATACTTTTAATTTATTAAATATTATTTAATTAAATATTTAATTTTATTTATTAATTTTAATAATATTATTTCATTATTATATCTAATTGTAATATGATATCTCTCTAATTTTTATTTGAAACATTAACAGTATTTTAATTTACAAAATAGTAACTAGACTATCCAATAATAGAAATCCATAAACAGTAGTTTCAAAATAGCCTTAACGAACTTTACCGCACACAAAAATAACCATTTCACTGTGATGGTTTAATAACAACTTGTAAAAAAGTCAGAATAAGAAATGGCGAATAGAGTAAGACCAATTAATAATGTTGAGGAAAGACGAATGCAACACGAACTTCAACAACAATTATCATCCTCAATAATACACAATTCAAATCATCATCTTCAACAACAACAACAAGAATATTATAATAATACCTCCTCTCAATATAGTAATAATAATAATAATTCACAACAACATAAACCATCTTCAGCGAGTAAAAGTCATCATCACACTAATTATTACCTTAATACAAGTCAACAACAACAATATTTTAATAATATACAACCACCACCTCCAAGTAGTAATATAATTAATATTAATGATATTAGAAATAATCAAATAGTAGCATCACAAGCTAGTCAACAACAACAAAAGACTTCCAATTTAATTCATTCAAATTCATCATCTTACTATCATTCTCATCAACAACAACAACAACAACAATTACCACAAACGTCAGTGCAACAACAACCCTATCAATATCAACAATATCTTGATGAACCAATTTATATAGCAGCATCATCATCTACTACTACAACTCCAACTACTAATAATAGTCAACAAAATACAGAACAATATTCATTTACCAATTCAAGATCACACGCATCAATAATATCATCTTCAAATTCAACAAATATTACAAATTCAACTAATCAAACAAATACAAGTTCTAATACAAATATAACAAATATAACCAATTCAAGTAATCAAACTAATGAATCATATATACCTTCTACAGAAATAAATATAGATAGTAATAATGGAGATGAAGTTGGAATTAAAGTAGTAGTTAGAGTTAGACCATTTAATGAAAGAGAAATTAAATTAAAATCAAAACCAACAATTTCAACTTTAAAACAAAATCATGAAATTACTTTAAAAAGAAAATTTAAAGAAGATAAGAAATTTTATTTTGATGATATTTTTGATGAATATTCTACTCAATCTGATGTTTATGCTTCTACTGGTAAAAGAGTTTTAGATCGTTTTGTTTTGGGTTTTAATGTTTGTTTTATTATTTTTATATTTTTATATTTAATAATATTTAATTTTTATATTTAATAATATTTAATAATTTAATTTAATATTTAATAATTTAATATAGTGTTGTATATTTGCATATGGACAAACAGGATCAGGTAAAACAGTATGTATATAATATATTTATAATATATTTTAAATTAAAATAGTGGACAATGCAAGGTATAAAAGGAAATGAAAGTAAAGAAGGTATAATGTCTAGATTTGTACGTGAATTATTTACCTATATAGAAAGAGAACGTAATAGAACAGATATAACATTAAAAGCATCCTATTTTGAAATATATAATGAACAAGTATATGATTTATTAAATCCTAATACAATTAATACTCATCCTATTTTAGCCTTTGGATCAAATGTTAATTCAACTTGTTATAATCAAAATAATAATCAAAATAATTCAAATTCAAATAATAATTCAAATTCAAATAATGATGATGATAATAATAATAATATAACAATAACAAATATAAATTCAACAACATATGAAATTAGAGAAGATAAAATTAAAGGCATTCATATAAATAATTTAATAGAAAAACCAATAATACTAGTAAAAGATTTAAATGAAATGTTAATAGAAGGAGCTAGTCGTAGAACGATAGGAGAAACTAAAATGAATCAAGAATCATCACGTTCACATGCCTTATTACAAATATATATGGAACAAATAGATAAAGATGATATGGAAGGATATTCTAAAAGAACTAATAAAATATCCTTAATAGATTTAGCAGGATCAGAAAGACAATCTGCAACATCAAATATAAATAGACAAAAAGAAGGATCTAAAATTAATTTATCATTATCTAATTTAGGAAATGTAATTAATGCAATTGTTAAAAAATCTAATTTTATACCATATAGAAATTCTAAATTAACAAGATTATTAAAAGATTCAATTGGTGGTAATTCATATACTTTAATAGTTGTATGTTTATCTCCATCAGATTTAAATATGGAAGAATCTTTATCATCTTTATATTTTGCTGATAGAGCTAAACATATTAAAAATAAGTTAAAAATTATTAGAGGTGATCCTAATTTAGATAAAATTAATTTATTATTACAAAATGAAAAAATATTAAAAAATAGAATTTTAGAATTAGAAAATCAATTATTTTATTATTTAAATAATAATATTTTATTAAATAGTAATACTTTAAATTCTAACATTTTAAATAGTACTTTACATAATGGTATGATTATATCATCTTTAATACCTAATAATAATAATAATTTAAATAATTTAAATAATTTAAATAATAATATAAATAATAATTTAAATAATAATAATAATATAAATAAAAATGAAATATCAATAATGACAGATTTATATGGATATGAAGTAGATGAAGCATTAGATTATTATAGAACTATTAATGCTATTGAATTACCACCACAATCACAATCAAAAGAAATACAAACTGATTATAATTTAAATACTAATAATCAAAATAATTTAAATACTAGTACTTTAAATATTAGTAATCATAGTAATCATATTAAAAATGAAGAAGAAATAAATTTAAATAATCAACAACAAGAATTAATATTTGATGAAATGAAAGAAGAAATGATTGAACAAGAAAGAAGAGAACAAGAATTATTAGATCAACAAAGATTAGAACAAGAAATTATAGATCAATTAGATATGATTGATGATCAACCTGGTGGTATTAATCATCAATATGAATCAAATGTTGGACCTTTTATTCAACATCAACAATATGAATTAGATGATGATCAACAACAATATTATCAACAACATTCACATCCTCATCATGATCAATATGATCAATATCAACAACATGAATTAGATGAACCTTATTATAATAATCAACAACATCATTCAAGAAGAAATATAATTGCTGATAAAAGATCAAATGATGATACTCAATATAGAGAATATAATAATACTAAGGGAAGAAATCAAATTAAACAAGAAATACCTTCACAAACTGCAAGTGAATATTATAGAGATGAAAAGGAAAAATGTATTATTTTGTAATATTGGGTTGGTTACATTATGATGCTTGAATCAAAATGTAGAAGCTTTGGAAAAACTGGTTGTATTTGCTGCCTGTGTTTGTGTGAGCATTTTTATTTGATGTTGTTAACGACAGTTGACTCGTAAAATGGTTACGTGATTGATGAGCTGATTTGGGTAATTAACATGTCTATCACAACAAATAGCAGACTTTGTAAAGTTTCAATTTGTTAGAATTTTCGATTATTGGTGTTATCATATTTTATCACTGTGGATAAGATCCTAAAAAGAAAATACCACTAAATATTACATTATTTATTGGGTGGTTTAGCATGGTTCGCTGTTCTGACTTTGGTGTTTTTTATGAGTTATGTTGCTCACATTTGATATCGTAGCAAATCCAACATACCTCAAATTGGGTTGTACTTCTATGTATTTACACATACGTAACTATAGTATACCATACATATTGATGAGCACTTTATATTTTATTAGTAGTTTTCAAACTATGTGATTTTGCACGGATGTTAACGAGTCTCTATAGTGCACAACAATACTGTAAGTAGGTGCTGATATAGAACAAAATGGAAACATATCCACCGTACGTAGCGTAAATTGATTTTAAATGTTGTATAAAACCACATCAGATACAAGCAATTGGTGTGGTTTTAAATGACTACCCTATTGTCTGTTTAATTCCAAAGTTATCCCTGTATATCATTACCAGTATGGTAAATAACAGGAGTTAATGGTCATCCAAACATTGGTAACTTAAGTACTCTCAATGAATAGTTTCCCAGTTTTCCACTTCCAAGTGTTTAAAGTTAAACCAACAGAAGATGATTGAGAGTATATCATGTCTTGTTGAGAATAATTTGGGAATGATTGTTAAGAATAATATATCTGGACATGTCATTTTTGAAATTATTTCCCCATGAAACATAGATAACCTCTTTTGTTTAAAACAGCCATATGGCATGTAAATCCTTCTCAAGAATAAAAATAATTGTTGAGATAAGCCAATTTCACTAAACTGTTCACATATTCTTCCTTGGTCTTTGGCCACTAGTGAGCCAATTTCATACAATTCATTGTCAGTCACCAGTGGTATGATTTTCAATACAATTTCCTCCATTGCAGGGAATTACACTTCTTGGATTTGTCTAGGAATGAGGGGTTATAGTGAGAATTATTTTACAATCAGAGAGTGGAATTCAGAAGCAACAATCGTTGTGAGTCACCATTGAAAATGGTTCTCACTATCACAAGTAATTATTATCAATATCACAATTCGTTTGCAAACATCAAGTTCTTTATCAATATCACCCCTCGAATATGACCAAGAAGAAACAATAAATGAAATTTGTTAATTGACATTCAAAGTTGCCTTACTACACTGTTTGATGTGCTTTTCAAATGATAATGTAGCCTTTAATAATTTATCAGGAGGTTTTGATGTAATTGCTGTTTAAAAAATTTGGAATAGTTTTGTTTTCCAAATTTAATTGACAAAAAATGCATTTTGTATCAAATGTTGTACATTCTCCGTTTACTAAAAAGGTTCTGACTGAATAAAGACCTCACATAAATAAATGAAGAGTTTAGATAGATCTCAGATAATGTCTCTTAATACTTTGGACCTATAACTGGTATAATTGATAAACCTTAATATGTTCAAACTTGGGGCGGAAACAAATTTAGTCCCTACAAAGAAAATGGTTGAAATAGCGCACCCTGATCATTCACCAGTTCACCTCAACAAATATCTAATAGTCAATAAATTCGCTAATGTGAGAGCGATATTACAAAATCAACGAACACATTTTTCACCATAGGTTACCACCTGGGCAATAAATTCGCGAGATTTTAAACCAGAACCCAAACTAGACTCCAATCAAAAATGGATTTAAAGTCGCTTTGTATCTATCTTGGGTCCATTTAATTTCAAAAAAAAAAGTCTCAATTATTTCATCACTCCCTAATATTAAAATAATAGAGGTAGCGTATTATTATTGTATTAATAATTTTATATTAATATTCAATGTTTATTAATCTGATGATTGATCCATTTACAATTGATCAAAAACATTATGATCATTTTATGCAATTCCTCCTATTTTCCTCCAAAACTGTTATTTATGCAATTCCTATTTTCCTCCCCTACACTGTTAATCATAATATGATAATAATAATATGATAATAATAATAGAAAAATGTCAAATTTAGCCAAACATTTAGCACCAACTGTTCATCAAGATAATCAACATGCAGCAGCAGATCATACCAGTATTATATGAACAAGCATTAAAACATGAAAGAGGTACAGCATTAACTTGTACAGGTGCACTTGTTGCTTTTAGTGGACAAAAGACAGGTCGTTCACCTAAAGATAAACGTATTGTTTCAGAAGAAACATCAAAAGATGATATTTGGTTTGGTCCTGTTAATATTCCATTAAGTGAAGATTCATTTATGGTTAATAGAGAACGTGCTGTTGATTATTTAAATACACGTGAACAATTATACGTTTTTGATGGTTATGCTGGTTGGGATCCAAAATATAGAATTAAGATTAGAGTTGTTTCTACACGTGCTTATCATGCTCTATTCATGAGAAATATGTTAATTAGACCAACTCAACAAGAATTATTAGATTTTGGTGAACCTGATTATGTTATTTATAATGCAGGTGAATTCCCTGCTAATCGTTATACTAAGGGTTTGTTTTTTTTTATTTTTATACTATAACATACTAATATTTTATTACTTTATACTCTATCATTTATACTATCATATATACTATCATTTATACTATCATATCAATATATACATACTATTATATATTATAAAATAATAGGAATGACATCAAGTTGTTCAATTTCATTAAATTTTAAGAGACGTGAAATGGTAATATTAGGATCACAATATGCAGGTGAAATGAAGAAGGGAGTATTTACCATAATGCATTATTTAATGCCAAAACAAGGAGTACTTTCACTTCATAGTAGTTGTAATGAAGGTAAAGATGGTAGTGTTTCATTATTTTTTGGATTATCAGGTACAGGTAAAACAACATTATCAGCAGATCCTAATAGATATTTAATTGGTGATGATGAACATGTATGGACAGAAAGTGGTGTTTTTAATATTGAAGGTGGTTGTTATGCTAAATGTATTGGTTTAAAGAGAGAAACTGAACCTGAAATTTATGATGCATTGAAATTTGGTTCAGTTTTAGAAAATGTAATGATGGATGAAGTTACACGTCAAGTTGAATATGAAAGTTCAGAAATTACAGAAAATACTCGTGCTTGTTATCCATTAGAATATATTCCAAATTCTAAAATACCTGCCATTACAAAACATCCAAACAATATCATTTTATTAACTTGTGATGCATTTGGTGTTTTACCACCTGTTTCTAAATTGAACATTCCACAAACAATGTATCATTTCATTAGTGGTTATACTGCTAAAGTAGCTGGTACTGAAGTTGGTGTTACTGAACCACAAGCTACATTCTCTGCCTGTTTTGGTGAACCATTCCTTGTTTTACATCCAACTAAATATGCTGAAATGTTAGCTGAAAAATTAGAACAACACTCTGCAACTGCTTGGTTACTTAATACTGGATGGGTTGGTGGTAGTGCTGGTTCTAAATCAAAGGTACGTGGTAAGAGATGTCCATTAAAATATACACGTGCCATTATTGATGCTATTCATAATGGTGAATTGGTTCAAGCTCCAACTGTTGAAATGGAAATCTTTGGTTTGCATGTTCCAACTAAATGTACTGGTGTTCCAGATGATTTATTATTACCAAAGAATGCTTGGTCTGATAAGGATGCCTACGATGATGAATTGAACAAGTTATGTATCTTGTTTAATAAGAACTTTGAAGCTTATGCTGATAGAGCTTCTCAACAAGTTCTTGCTGCTGGTCCAAAATCTACCTCCACTAAACATTACGATGTTAAACTCATTCGTGAAGCTTAAATAAATTTTATTATTCTTCTATTTTTGTACTATAATATTATTAAAGAAAAAGAGACAGAGTTGGGATGATCGTGCATGTTTACCTTTGAAATATTTCAATGATGAGTAACAAGTCCAGTCATATTAATTGAAATTTAATGTTTTTTAACAGATAAAACAATTAAACCTCTTGGTACTAATTGAGCTTCCAATAATGTAACCTTCTTAAATTGACGAGAATCAAAATCCATGTTTGGATATTGTCTTCTGAACTGTAAATCATCAAATCTAATATCCTTTAAACCATCCGATGAAATTTTCAACAATACTTGTTGATATAAATCATTTAGAGTATTCTTTCCATACAAGGTATTTTCAATCTTGACACAATTCCCATTTGGTAATCTTACTTGAATTGAACATGGAGTATTTATATTACATGATGAAATGGAAATTACATTGTTACTACTTGAATTACTTGAATTGTTACTATTTGAATTACTATTACTTGAATCAAATATAGCTGATGGTGAATGTGAATTGGATGATAAATTATTTAATTTTTCTAATTTTTCTAATCTTTCTTTTTTATCTAATTCTAAATTTCTTCTAACTTGTTCCATTTCCTTCTTTTTTTTTAATTTTTCTAATTTTGCATGTTCAATTTCCTTTTCACGTTGACGATTTCTAAATTTTTCCTTCTCTTCAATTGTATCACCTTTTAATCTGTAGGATGAACCAAAATTTTGTAAAATATATTCAACAGGTAAATAATTTAATTCATGATTAATATTTAAATCTTGAATTAAATTATTAATTGTAAATGCAAATTCACTTTCATCATTTTCAATAATTAAATTACCATTTGGAGTTAATTCTAATTCTTTTAAATTATATAAATTCATATTTTAAATAATGGTATTTTAATTTTAATACCATTATAATCTTTTCCTTTTTCAGAATTAAATATATATTGACATATTTGTGTTAATTTATCATTTGATTCAAATTTAACTTTACTAATTGAACCATCTATAAATCTAATTTGTAAAATACATGGTTCATTTTCTTCTAATTGACTTTCAAATATAGTTTCAGTTATTTCATTTGGTTTAGTTGGTGAATTTAATTTTAGACTATTATCTATATTCATTTTCAGAATTTAATTTTTCTAAATATTTCTTTTTTTCTGTATTTGGATTTAAAATTGAAATTAAATTTGATGGAATTAATGATTCTCTTTCTTTTAATATTTCTTCATTGGATTTTTCAATTAATTTTAATTTTTTAGTTTTTATATTATTATTATTATTAGGAGTATTTGATGATATATTATTATTAATAGTTGTCGTGTTATTTGATGATGAAGGTGATGATGATGATATACTATTATTATTATTATTTAAATTTGATGGTGATGGAGGTGGAGTAGAAGTATTGTTGTTACCTAATAAACGATTTCTTCTCTCTGCTGCTAAACGACGATAATCAGCAAGTGGATCCGATGATGATGACATTTTTTTTTAATGTTCATTGTTCAAATTGATCCAATATTTACTGTTACATTGATTCAATAGGATGAACTTGAAGTGACACTCATAATTATTTTAAAAATTACCAATGGAAAACCAACAACTTCATTTGAATAATTGTAAACTTTTCCCATTGAAATAGCTTGTAAAACAATTTCTATGTCTGATTCTTTAAATTAAACTTGAACTTGTTTCCATTGAACAAGTTTAAATTGTTTAAGTTTACCAAACTCTTCAGCCTTAATATCAAAAAATTTTTATTGAAAGCAATATTACACTTAAAGCTACAATTAAGGTTCCTTTTTAGAACAGCTAGAAATATTATGTTGAAAGAGAATTAATGTGAAATCGGGTGTGGTATAGTGGTAGCATTCCAGACTGTCACTCTGGCGACCCGGGTTCAATTCCCGGCACTCGAGATTAATTTTTGACATTATCTCCAAAATTTGAGTTTTAATTTTTTCATCATAAGAGGAATGATATGTAATCTAGCCAATTATCAATTTTCAAAGTTATATCTCTTAAAACCACCGAGAAAATAATCAAAGATTTTAAAGTGTCATATTCCTTAAAAATATTCCAAGATGCCCTTTTTAGTTCCATTTGTTCTTTCCTCTCATTGTTTTCCTGCATAACTCAATGGTTGTTGATATGATGGAATTGCCTTCTTATCAAATGTCTTAATTTCAACACGAAGAGCAAGAAGAAGATATCTATTTGGGAGAAAATTCAAATCCAAAATTGGAATATATTCTCTAACTTTAATATTTTGTAAAATATTGATTGACAAAATTGAAAAAACACACCTTCCCATTTGAGATTAGGAATTAATTTCCAAAAGTATTGAATACTTGCAATCATGATTACCTTGTTTTTGGTTTCTTCTGCATTGATGGATTGAAAATTTTTGGGTTAACATTTGTCGAGTAATGGAGCTAGACCATTGATCAGTTTGATTGTTGGCAGTTAAAGCTTTTGTGTAAAATGGAAGAAACAACTTGTTTTGGATCTAGATCATCTAATCTAGTTTCTGATAGATTGTTGAAAGATAAGGAAATTTCCACTGCCAGTAAACGAAGATATCCAATCTTATATTCATTGTGTTTGGGAAATGAATGGCTACGGCCATATCACGATGAATGCACCTCATCCCGTCCGATTTGAGAAGTTAAGCATCGTCGAGCCACATCAGTACTGAGGTTGGAGACAACTTGGGAACCTGTGGTGCTGTAGTCTTTTTATCTTTATGGAGAGTTTGTTCATTTACAAGTAAGTTTAACGATGATTAATCTGTCTTTGGAAAGAGGTTAATGAAAGGAAGAAGTTTTGTTTGATATTAACAATATTGGAAGCTTGTTTTTATTGATTCATTACAATATTGAGTACTGCCATTTTAAACAATTAGAAAGCATTAATCAACTTTTTAGCTTCAGAATCAGCAGATGGACTTTGTCTTTCATTAGCAACCTTCATAATAAGAGTCAAATTGCAATCCAAAGTGACAACCAAATCAGTACCATTAACCTTGTAAGAATATCCAAGGAAACCAGAAGATTCCTTACTATCAGCATTGTGGACAACTCTGAAAATCAATTTTTCCAATCCCATGAAAGCATCCTAACAATCAGGATCCTTGATGAATACCTTGGCAATTTCACTCATATTACTCAATCTTGGACTTTCAGTTAAGAATTTGATGCAATTATTCAACAAGGTATCTTCAGCAAATCTATCACCATACTTGTATTTGGTTTCAGTTGGCAATGCAGCAAGAGAAGCCCAATCCAACAAGATGATCATCTTTGAATTGACTTGTTGAAGATTCTTGGTTGCAGGAACAATACGATTGTTGAATAATTCACGAACTACCTTCTTGAATGCCAAACCACTTCCACACATGTTTTCATTGAATAATTCTTCGTGAGTTTGTTGAGTCATTTTGATATAAAGTTTGTTGAGGAGTTTTCAGATACAATCCAATATTGAATATTGTTTTTTTGTGTTGTTTTTATCATAAAGAATGGTCAATTGGAATTTATAGAAATTTTATTGTGTAAGATTACAATATTTACAATGGAGTTTAATAGAGTCAATGGTTTTCTGAGAATTGAATTGGTTGAACATTTGTGGAACAACCTTATTGAGAAGTCAGTAAGAGGAATGGTAACACCTCAGTATCATCTAACTATCGAATAGAACTCAACACAATTGGATATGAATAAAGGGAGGATATTAGTTTACAATATTCTCATTTAACAGTCCTGATCGAGTTGCTTAAAATAATTAGTTGGGAACTCATTGTAACTTTTGGAACCACCAAAACGAAAAAAAACTACATGGACATGTAAACACGCTCTCATGCAACATGCATGAATGGAAGTTGTCTTATGCCTATCAAAGTTAATATGAACCCAAAAATCTTCATTTCAAACAGGAATTCGTAATAGAACAAATTACGATTATGATTCAATATTATGAGGACGAATAAGCACATTATTACAAAACCTTAATATAGTGATATTCTAAAACTGGAGAACTAGTTACTTTGGAATGATCAAGGTGAGGAGTAATGTTATTGAAACGGAACGACAATTTATTGATTAGGACGGTTGTTTTGTTGTTTTTTGTCATTTTCTTTTGTTTATTCATGATTTTCATTAAATCAAAAATGTATCAACTTGTAAATAATTAAGTTGGAGGAATGGCTATTGCAATGCCAAAGGATTTTTTTATCATCTTAATTGAAACATTCTACATTATTGCCTAATTTTTAATTTCTAACTACTACATGTTACGCAATTTCAAAGGCAATACTAAACTTCAAAGTGTTACCTCATCTTGGATGCTTGCAAACTGATAGCAAATAATGCTCAATTGAGAGTTGGTGTTTGGAATTTGTTTTGTAAAGACTTTGGAAAAGTTCAATATTTTCACCTCTACTCTTATTTAAATCTTCAGCAGACAAATCATAAATATTTCCCAAAGAAATTTGAGAAGGTTGTTCAAGTGTGTTTCAATTAGGAGGTGTTAATATTAACCGGGTTGATGATGTTAGCCTTATATTCAATATATTAATGTAATTGATGGCTACGGCCATATCACTATGAATGCACCTCATCCCGTCCGATTTGAGAAGTTAAGCATAGTCGAGCCACATCAGTACTGAGGTTGGAGACAACTTGGGAACCTGTGGTGCTGTAGTCTTTTTATCTTTTGAAACATCAAACATTTACAAGTTCAAATTAAGTTTAATGATGATTAAGGTTTAAGAGTCTGTCTTGAAAGGAAGATGATGAAGATTATTTCTCTAAGAAAAATTAATCAATCAAAACAACCTTATTGAAAACTCTTTTAACAAGAGAGGCTTGATAAGTATTACATCCCAAAAGAAGTGAAGGTAGAATTGGTGCAAAAAAGACAGCAACTTCATCTAAGGCAATTGATTCAGGATGATAATCCATCATGTAATCAGTTAATAAAATTAATGAAAAGAAAAGGGAAATATCACCTGCACCATTCGTCTGCATTTCTTCAACAACAATATCACATAAGGATGAAAAAATCTTACCAAATTGTAATCCTATTAACTCAATTGCTCTAGATTGAACAAGTAATAAACCAGAGACTAGTATCTTATCTTGATAAGTTAATAGTAGATTTCTAATCTCTTCAGTTGTGTAAAAATCATAACTTGTCAAGTATTTCACAACCATAAGATATCGATCAATATTTTGGGCAAATATAGCTTGTGATCTATTACCATCATTTCTCAGTAAATCGTTATACATTAATCTTCCAAGTGCCCAAGAGGCATGAGTGAGAGTATCTATACGTTTTGATAAATTACTTGCATCAATGATAATTTGATCAGTAAAGAAAGTTTTAGGAGGTAAAGCTTCCTCAAATATTGTTGGTAATATAAAGTCATAGACAAAGCGTTTTCCTATAATTGTTGAAATATTAATATCACATGTTGTTGTATTTGTATCATGACCATCATTATCAAAAGGACACAAATCCAATAGTCCAACATTACTCAGAATTCCAATTAACTGATAAATAGATCCTCTGGAAGTAGTTGATGAAATCTCAGTATATTCAATATAAGATCGTATCAACTTGGTCAAGAAGGTAAAGTAATTGCTCTCATTGAAAAAATTACAAATAGATTCAAAATTAGTAATTCTAGAAATTTCCTTAATAGCAACAATGTACGCTGATACAATTTCAACGTGCTCTTGAAGAGTACCATCTCTCCATATTTCTTCAATCTTTTCCTTAATATATAAAAGTATAGTTTTGAATTCAAATCCATCCTTAATAAAATCATACGAATCGTGTAGAGTTTCAAAATAGAAAATAATATTCTTCTTGTGATTTTCTGCTTTCTGTTCATCTGAAATATTTGATTGTGTCATGTATTCCACTCCATTATTAGATTTACAAATAATTTCAAATAGACGAGTCAATAAATTTCTAAAATCGTCTACAAATGGACTATCAGAATATTCAATCTTATCAATTAGAGCACTTAATAAGATGCTATATTGTGACATGTTTGAAATGTTGGCTTCAAATGATTTGATGACACTTTTTATCAAATCATCAGTGATTCTAGATTCATGTACTTCACTAAAATAGATTGATAATGAAAAACATGTATTCTCCCTCAATATTTCATCTGATGAATATAAATTCCTTTTCCATATTTCTAAAATTTTCAAATTAAACTCTGAAAGGTAATTAAAAGGTATTTTGAATTTTGAATTTCTCCTAATAAGTTGTTGCAATTTGATTTCATTACCAGATAGAAATAGTCTACTGAGTGATAGGGAAGCAAGCGTAGCAATTCGTTTTAAAATAGTATTTGATGGATAGTCATCATTTTCATTCAAGGTATTGATTAGAAAATCTCCAAAAGGGAATACAAAAGCCAATGCAAATTCTAGCTTGGCAAAACTAGTACTATACTCTGCATCTGTTGGAGGAGTACACAATTCTTCTAAATTTAAGCAAATAGTATTTAAAATTTTCGTTTTTACAATCCAAACATATTTTCCACAATTTCTAGAATTTACATTATTGATAATTGAAGAGTTGGACAAATCCTTCACTTCCTCATAGTCCTTATCTATGAGGGATTTGATAAATTGTGCACTCAATGGTTTGGAGCCAGAAATATAAACCAATACTGAATTGGCAACATCTGAAGTTTCATCCTTCACTTTTTGATTCCCTAATAATTGCTTTAATTCTGTATTTGGAAGTTCTGAAAAGTCATAAATACATTCTGCCAATATTGGTAAGTAAAATACAAATATTATACAATAGAACCCCTTTAAAGTACTAATAGCTTGTGAATCCATATTGTGAGGAAGTTTTCTCTTTGGAATTACATCTTCCGAATCATCTTCCGAATCATCATCATCTGAAATGTCATCATCTTCAACTGAACGTCTATCCATAAACTCTTGAAAAATAGACCAAAACAATAAAATTTGACGTAATAGTGCAGAATCTTGTTCTCGCAGTCGCCACTCTTGTCCACTAGTATTATCCTTGTAGAATTTTTCCTTCTTTTCTGAAAAGTATTTCAATAAAGCCAACATTGTGAAACATGATAATGAAGAACATCCCTTCTCTCCAAATTCATAAATTGATTGTTTGCCCCAAGTTGTGAAGTCAACCTGCAACAATGTATAAAAGTGCATAATTATGTGTTGCCAATCTTGCATATCATCCATAATATTCATTTGAAATGAATTGACAGTTTCTTTTAATATTGCTTTTGCAGCAATTTCCTTTGCACACTTTACAATACCAGGTGCAACACTTTCTTCAATATAACTAAAGAATTGTAATATAGGTTCACTATCTAACTCTTCAACCATTTTAGTATACAATCCAGCATAAAGAAATATTACAATCATAATTCTAATAGAAATCTTCTTTCCATCATCTTCTTTTGCAAAAGATTCAGTCAACCAAAACTTTTCACTCTCGGAAATTAAATCCTCATAACCGTATAGTTTTAAAACTTGATTAATCGTTTCTATTGTTTCCTGTTTGATTTTTGCTAAAACTTCTCTCTTCTGATCAAGTGTTTCAAGATGATGAATTTTATCTCGGATAAAAAGACAAGCCTTTTCAAAAAATTGTTTTAAACTATTATCTGATAGAGTACATGGATGAGAGGTGGAAACAAATTGTTTGGGTGTGAGTGGAAAGGATGGCATTGATGTCATTTTTTTAATAATTAAATTAAATATTTTAAATATTTTTTTATTGGTTAATCAGTATTATTTAAAGATGATTGATATAAAATACAATCATTAAAAAATTGTTGAACTTGTTTTTCTTTTTGTTTAAATAAATCTGAAGCATGTTGAAGTGATAAATAGGCCAATGAATCTAAATTTTGAGTTAAACAAAATCTATATAAATGTTCAAATAAATAAGAATCATTTAAATGAGAAGCAATTTGAAAACATTTTTCATAAAATCCCTTTCTCAATGTATATAAAAAGTATTTTCTATATATAGTATGAAAATATGAATCTGATTCTAAATGTTTATGTAGGGATGCATATTTTTCTAATAACATGTCTAAAAATTCCTCAGATAATGGATCTACATGTATTCTACTTAATAAAAATGTTAAAAATTCTTTCAAACATAATTGAAATTCTTTTGGATTTGTTAAATTTCTAATAATTGAATATCCCTCTTTTAATTTGTGATGAATATTCAAGTGAATAGATAGAAAATGTGCATTAGATGCTGGTTCAATATTATTATCAATGAATGCACTTAATAATCCAAAATCAATTTTAAATATACAAATAGGTCCCTTCTCAAAACAAATTAACAATCTTTCATAGGGTAACATTGTACCTTTCATTAATTGTTGTTGTTGAACTGCTGCTAATTCCATTGAATTGTTACGACTTCTTTTGAAAAATCCATTTCCACCACCACTACCACTACCACTACCACCACCACCTGAATAATTATTGGAATTATTGGATAATGATTGATTATTACCTAATAAAATAGATGTTTGATTAGAGGAGGAGGAGGATGAATTAAATCTAGGTGATTGATTGGTAGCTGATGAGGATGATGAGGATGATCTGGGTGTATTAGGTGCATGTGTACCTGAATCTGTGTGTAATGATGTTGAATCTAATGTTGAATCACCACTTGTCATGAATTGTACTGAACTAAATATTAAATTATTATTAGTTGTTGATGTTGAATTATTAATATTATTATTGGTAGTAGCATTGTTATTATTTGAATTTGAATTTGAATTAATTAAATTACTTGGTGTAATACATTTAATAATTGAATTTCTTAATGGAATTTGAAAATCAATAAAATTTAAACCACAATCGAATAAACAAATTTCATTAGGTGAAGAAACTAATAACATTGAACCTGATGGATGCCATTCAACATGTGTAGGTCTAAATCTACCAGGTAATGATTGTACTGTTATACATTTAAATTTAGATGTTTTACTATTTATATTATCATTACCATATAAAGATAATTTAAATGATGAAAATAATTTAACTTCACCATTTGCACAACAAATACAAACATGTTTTTCACTTGGTCCAATTGCACAACATGTTATTTCACTTTCTGTTTCAATAGTTTTATATTTACTTTTTTTAACTTGTTTTCCAATAATTTCATAAACACACCAAACAACTGACATGTTGTCACTTGACAATTCTAATGTATGAAATGTATTACTTCTATAATTACTAAATGTATAAAATACTATTATACGACTAGCTTGTACTGTTCCAATCACTTGTATCATTTCTCTATTTTTTAATATTTTTAATAAAATTAATTTAAATATAATTTATATAAATTAAATTAAAATATTAATTAAAAATTAAATTAAATTTTTAAAATATTAATTAAATTAAAAACATACTTATCATCTTGTCCTCTTAAACTAATTTGTGCAATTAATAAAGAATTTCTAGTAGCTTGTCCACATAAATAAGTTTTTGGTAAATTCATTTTCATTGATTTTAATAAAGTTTCTTCATGTATTTTATCCATCATTAATTTTACATTTTTACTATTTTTAGATAAAATTTCTAAAAATATATTATTATAATTTTGAAATAATGGATTTTCTATAAATATTAATTCAGCATTCATTGATTGTACAATAATAAATTCATTACAAATTGAACCAGTTGATAATAATTTAGATTCCATCATTTCATAAAATAATCTATCAATTTGTACTATTTGAATATCAGATGTTTTAGGATGTAATTTCCAATGAATTAAATGTCCACTTTCTAATATGGTTTGTAATATACATGTTTGGGAATCATAATATATGGAAATTACTTTAAATGAATTTAATTCTTCTGCACTTTCTTTAAATATTTTATTTTGTTTATCAGAAAATTCACATGAATGTCCTCTTTCTATATTTATATTATTATATTATTATATTATTAAAATTAATTAAAATTATAATATTTTAAAAAATTAATTTAATATTTTAATTAAAAATAAAACATACTTTTTAAATAATCTTTTAATAATTTTTGTTTATCAAAATTATAAGAATAACCATTAAATAAAATATTAAAAGTATTAGAAAGTGATGTATTTGTATTAGTATTTGAATTATTAGATCTACCACTATATACTATTATATTATTACCAATACCATTATTATTATTATTTAAAGAAGATGATCGTTGATGTGGATTAAATATACTCCTCCGATTAAATGATGATGATTCGGATGATGATTGTTGTTGATTATTATTGTTGTTGGAGGAGAGAGTGGAGAGTGGTGATGTTTGTTGTTGTGAATATTGTTGTGTTAGAGTGGGTGATAATATTAATACATTCGCTTGAAACATTTTTTTTAATATTTTAATATTTAATTTAATTGAAATATGTGATGATTGACACTTGATGAGTTTTGGTTTATTTAATAAATTATATCATCAATTAATTGATGAAGATTATAGTATAATAGCTGTGAATGGTTAGTAAAAGTACTATGAGTTTATTTGTAAAAGGAATGACATACGAATAAAAGATAGTGATCGGAGGAAGATGGATAATATCATGATAATAATAATAATTATAATAAACATTGATGAAAATACGTCACTAATCTTTATTAAAAAATGGTTACACTGTTACCCACACATTCTAATAATATTTCATCCACTAGTAGTAGTAGTATTGGTATTGGCAGTGGATCATCTTCCACTTTTACCAATAGAACATTTTCTAAATTATATTTCAATATTAGAAAATTAACATTTAAACAACAATTTATTATTATCATTTCATTATTATTGGTATTTTACTTGATTTATACTTTATTATTTGTTGGTTCAATGTCATCATCTACTGCTATTATTGATGGTCAACAACAACAACAACAACAATTAAAATCAGATCCAAATATTGAAAGTTTATTAATTAAACAACCAGTCATTACCACTCCACAAACACCAGACATTGTACAATTTAAGAAACAACAAGAACAACAACAAGAATTAAAACCACTCACAAATAATAATAATAATAATTTAAAGAAGAATGATAAACAACAACAACAACAACGAGAACAACAACAACAACAAATTGAAAAGAAACAAAATAATGAACATTTGAATGAAAAGAAGAATAAGAAAAAGAAGAAAAAGGTTCCAAAGGAATATAATCCATTTGATTATCCTGATGATGATTTTACACATAATCCACTTCATCATGCAAAGGAGAATGATAAATCTTCAACAACACAATCTACTATTACTACCACTACTCCATCAAATACTAAATCTACAACAACACAACCAACTACTACTGCCACAAATAACAAACAAAGTAAACAAACAACTACAACAACAACAACAACTGAAGGTGGTAATGATAGTAAGTTAGCAACAACAACTACAACAACAACTGCAGATAAGAATAAGAAGGAAGAAATATTGAAACAACAACCAATTGATTTTGATGAATTGGATGAATTAGATGATAAGAAGAGTAATGTACAAGATACTAATAGTATAGTTGGTGCACCAGATAAAAAAGAAGAGAAAACACAAGTACAACAACACAAAGATATTACTGATGATGATACCTATCATGATGATAATTTAAATCACGATGAAGAATTGTTCAATGAAAAGAAAAAGAAAGTTGAAAAATTATTAAACAAGGAAATTAAACAAGATAATGATAAGAATACTCCGACTACTCCTGCTACTCCTAAAACTGCAGAAGTCAATAATAAGCTAGAGAAAGATTCAACTCTTCAAAATACTAAAACTAATTCAGCATCCGAAAAGAATTCAAAGAAATCTGAAAAGAATGAAGATAATGTTATTGTAAAGAAATCTGAAAAGATTGAAGAAAAGAAAATTGATCCAATGATTGATGATGATGACGATGTTATTATTGTAAAGAATTATCAACAAATTGAAGATGAGAAACCATCCAATACTGGAGAAACTAAACCTCTCATTACTGAAAAGAAAGATAATCAAGAACCTGTGAAAAAGAAGGAAAACGAAATTGCTGAAAAGAAGGACAAGACAAAAGAAGACAAGAATGAAAAGAAAAATATTGAAACCAATGAAAAGAAACCAGATATTACCGATAACAAGTCTTTAAATAAGAAGGATGAAAAGAAGGATTCAATTATTGTTGAAAACAAATCAAATGATAAGAAGAAACCAGAAGAAAAACCAGCAACCGAAGTCAAGAAGATTGAAAAGAAACCAGAAGAAAAGGAAGATAAATCAATTAATAATCAAAAGACCACCACAACTGCCAATGCAGATAAAAAGCAAGAGGCCTTGGTTGACAACAAATCCTCTAATACCAAGTCAAATGAAAAGAAAGATACTGCTACAGCTCCAAAGGATTTAACTGATAAGAAAGTTAAGGAAGCACCAAAACAATCAAAGAAGAATTCCAAGAAGGATTTGAGATCACCTAGAAAACCAATTGATACCAAGAAACAAAAAGCAATTGATGACCAAACTAAAGTAATAACAAAGAAATTAGAAGATGGTGTAAAGAAATTGAAAGAATCAAGAGTTTTGGATGAATTTCTCGAGGATGAAGAACCTTTATAAATATAATTATTGAGTATTATTATTATTTCTAGTTTGTCTAATTATCGTTTTAAGTTCAGACACTAATTGTTTGAGATCTTTAATTTCTTGCGTCTGAGCTAATTGTTTCTTCCACATTAAAACAACTAAATCTTCCAAAGTTGCATTCCCAGAATTATTTCTCATAAATTCTGATGGATTTTCTGCTAAATCATTAACATTTGTAATTTCATTTGTTGAAGAAAATAATTCTAATTGATCTGCAAGTTCTACATCTTGAATTTTCTTTTCAATTTGAGATTTTAATATTGAAGCATCTTGTGTTATAATATCAACAACATCTTCTTGTGTATCTTTTGAAATATTAGTATTAGTATTGGTATTGGTATTTGTTAAATTATTATTTGAGGAAGGAGATGGATGGGAAGGATATTCAGGAAAATTCGTAATGACTGGTGAATGAGTTTCTGATAGAAAATCTAAAGGAGAAGAAGGAGGTAAAAAAGGTGAGAGAACATTTCCACTTGATAATATACTTGTGGAAATAGTATTATTATTACTACCTGTAGCTGTTGATGAAGATGTACTTGTCGATGATGATGATGATTGATTGGTAATACTATTACTTAATTTCCCTTCATTTGAAAATGCAGAAAGAGAAGATTGTAATCCTGTCGGTGTTGAATTACTAGGTTTTGAAAGAATTGGAGGTGGAATAGTTGGTGGATAATTTAAATGTAACATTGAGGATGGATCATGATTTTTAAACCCATGATTCATTGGGAAGAAGGTTGGTTGAAATGGAATCATCATGACATTACTTTGGGTTGGTGGTTGTGATTTAATGGAATTGGTAGAGGATGAAGATGGAGCATTAATTGGAATAGTTGGAACAGTTGCAGTAGTTAGCATTGGTATCATTAACATTTGATTTCCTATTAATGCTGTATTTGGTGGTGTCATTAAATTATTTTCCATTGGATTGTAGAATGGAAATTGTGGATTTGATGGTTGAGTTTCATTTGGTTTTTGTTTCTTTCTCTTTTCTTCATTAGAAGAATCATTCTTTGATTTCTTTCTAACTGCATCAACACATTTATCTCCCATACCTAGTGATACACATCGTTTACATGGTCTTTCGGAATCACAAGCTGCATGAGATTGTTTACCTAATTAATTAATATTTAATTGATAATATTGAAGTGAATTATGGATATTATTTGGTGGTTTGACAATTCAAAGAATATGATGGTTAAATGCCTTTTTTAAAATACTACTACTTACAATTTACACATGCTCTTTTTACATACTTTTTCCTAGTTTTAGTTTTTGATGGTGATTTTGAAGGTGATGAAGTTTTACTATCGGATCGTATTGATGAAATGTCACTGTTAGAAGTTTGTGGTGATTCAGTGATTGGAGAAGATGAAGAAGATGAAGAGGAGGATGGTGTTTTATTGTTAGTTAATGGTGATGAAGAATCTAACAGAGGAGGTGGAGATTCTGTGAATATTAATTCACCATCACAAGTTGATGAAGGCAACATTTTTTTAATTCTTCTCAAAATTCTTGATGCTTTTAATCCACAACAGACAAAGGCTTGTTCTTTCTGGTGGTTATCAAAGCTTGGTGGAGAGGTTATTGTTAGAGGAGATCAAGAAGAAATGATATTATTGAAGATTGGTTGGCTTCCGAGACTAGGAACTTGATGATGGTGTATATAGGAGGCTACAATCACACCATCGTTTTGAAGTTTTTTATTTTGATTGAGAAATTTTCCTTTGGCGCATTCCTTAGCATTTCATGCTCTCATGTTATTATATTTGGATGAAATTTTAAAGGTGGTCAACACTAATTGCTTAACAAATCAATTATTCTTGCTTCCAAAACTCCTTAGCAAATAGCTTGTATGCATCAATGTTTCCACATACATCATAAGGCTTGTTGTTGTATGAAATATTAATACAAGCAGGAAAGAAGAAATATTTTTAGAATTTAAAACACAATCAAAAAAATGAGTCATACATCTTACCTGAAGCAATTTGCATCAAATCATGCTTCTGTAGCCTCCTTGATCGAGGATATTAGACTTGACCATGAAAATAAGTATGTAAATTAGATGAAAATGTTTAATTAGAATAACATGATTAATAATAACCTTGTACGGAAATTAAATTAGGATGTGGCACAATATTTCTGAGAAATTAATGCAATTAGTTAAGAGTGATCTTTCCGGATCTGACTTGTTAGATTTTTATACAAACTTTATTTCATCATTCGAATTAAAGATTAATCACTTAAAATTAGGAAAAATAGTTGTAGAAATATCAAAGAGACTTCCTCTCAACAGCTCTGAAGGTTATCCTTTTGTTGAAAAAGTTTTTAATGCTCTCTCCAAGCAAGATAGAGAGGCTTCTTGTATTTTAAAAATTGAAATGGCAATGTGGAAGTTGAAGGAATCTGATCTTACTGCTTGTAAAAGATTGTTGGGTGAAGCTAAGGAAACTATCTCTACTTTAGGATTTGTTGATAATGTTGTAAATGCTGCTTACTATAAGACATATTCTAATTATTTGAAGCATATTGATGATCCAAATGAATTCTATAAGAATGAACTTCTCTATCTTGCATATACACCAATTGAAGAAATACCTTTCATTGAACAACAATCTATTGCTTTTGATTTGGGTATTGCTTCACTTCTCGGTGATTCAATTTACAACTTTGGAGAATTTTTACAACATCCAGTTGTTGAATCATTAAATGGTTCCAAGGCTGAATGGCTCTACAAGTTCTTGATGGCCTTCAACAAGGGTGACATTAGAGGATATGAACAATTATTGGTTCATTTCGCTAGTGAAATTGAATCTAGACCTGCATTGAACGAAAAGAGAGATTTCTTGTATGAAAAGGTTCAATTGATGTGCTTGATGGAATTAGTTTTCAGTAAGCCAGCCGATGATAGAAATATTTCCTTCGAAGAAGTTTCAGCAATTACTGGAAAGTCATTGGATGAAGTTGAACCACTTCTCTTGAAGGCTTTGGCTTATAATTTGATTCGTGGTGTTATTGATGGTGTTAAGAATTCTATTCACGTCAGTTGGGCTCAACCAAGAGTTCTTGATAGAGAGCAAATTTCAGTCTTGAGTAACAAATTGAGCGTTTGGTTAGGTAAGGTTGATGAAACCTTGTCTTTCTTGGAAAAGCACGGTTCTGAAGAAATTGTCAAATAAATTGTAAACATATAATTAATTTATTACTCAATTGTGTGACCTGATTCCATCATTCTGAAAGAGCTTGAAATTGATAACAAATTGAATGAAGTCTCAACATGAATATCAAAGCAATCCAATTGGGTGAATGATTTCTCTGCAGCTGAGGCAATAAGAGTATTCTTAAGAATTTGATATTGTTCACTTGAGGATGAAAAGTTTGATAACTTTGTCAAGTGCTTGTTAATCTTTTGATAAATTGATTTAGTTCTAGATGTTTCAAAACTTTGTAAAGCTCTTCTAATAAATGAAATATCAATATCTAATTGGAAAGCAGCATTTTCACAAACATCTTCAATAGTCTTGGAAAAATGAAGGAAAGTTTCACCAAGTCTCTCAGTCAATAAGGAGAATATCCTACTTGTGAATGCACGATTAACACTCAAATTTTGATTGGTAAAGTTATTATTCTGTGCGTTTCCATTAGTTGATAAATTAACATTATTAAAAGTAACACTAGTCATCTTTTCAGTCTTTGAATGAACCATTGATAATTCCAATAATAAATCTAAAATATAAGATCTAATAGATGAAGGTGCAGGTGATGATTTCCAATCATATCCACTTAATAATAGACCCTTCTCAATACGTTTGTAAAATGTTAGAGATTTCCTTTTAACAAAATCATTAATCAATAAATCAATTAATGTATCATAGACAACATAAACATGTTGAACTGATTCTGTTTTCATAAAATCATTAGTTTGATTTTGTAAATGTTTGCTTGTCATGTGAAAACTCAATTCCATTTGAGCAATTGCTTTCTGTGCACCAGTTGCGACAGTTTTCATATTATTTGATTCTTCATTATCTGATTTATCCGAATATTCATCCTCATCATCATCAATGAATGTATTTTGATCATCATCAAGTAGATCATTCTTTCCATCTTGAAGTGTAGTCTGATCATTAGAATGACTTTTAAAACCAGCCACAAATGCAGACAATATATTAAATACAATTACATTCTTAGTGTGTGAACAATTGGAGAGAGTTAATAAGAGACGACTATCCTTCTCTTCAATCTTATTAAAATTATAAAGTGAAAATCTATATTTTCCACTATTATTAGAATTAGCACTATTCATTATTGAATTATTATTGGATGATAATTGTCTAAATGATAATTCATGGAAACAATCAGCAAATACTTGAATACATTCTAATAAATATTTTTCAACTTCTGAAACTAATTCACTATTATGAATTGAACCCTTTGACATGAATGGTCGAAGTAAACTCAAAGTTTTAATGACAAATTCTTGAAATTTTAAAGGTAATTCAGTGATGGTTAAAGTTTCAGAAATTGTTTTCCAATTTTCTAATTTATGAAATCTTGAAATTTCCATAATAGTTCTATTCCAAATTTCATTTACAATATATCTTGTCATTAAATTTGTATATTCACCAAAATTGGAAATAAACTTTTTTGGTATTTTTAATTTTTCCAATTGTTCATTACATTTAATAATTTCACAAATACATTGACAAAGAGATTTTTGATGTGCAGTATTATTATCAATAGTTTCAATAGCAGTATTTACAATATCTGAATATTTAACTGTTAAATCTTTCATTAAATTTGAAATTTGAATTTCCAAATTTGAATCTAAATTCTTCTTCTTATTTTTCTTTTTTTTATATTTTCCAATTATAATATTTTGTGAAAGTTGCCAAAAATCTGGAATTGTTTTTAGTAAAACATTTGTTAAATCTGAAACTAATTCAACAGTTTTCTTTTCTAATAATTGTCTAAAAAAGGAAGTATTACTATAATTAGTATCTTCATGATTAAATAATTCTTCTTGTTCAATTAATTCTGAAATATCTTTTGTATTTTTTTCATAATTATTTAAACATTTTTGTAATAAATCTTTAATAAATTGATGCATTTTTTCTAAATAATGCCAACCAGGATCAATTTTACAATCTAAATTATTTAAATATCCAATTATACGTTCTTGATTTTCTGTTAATAATTTAATATTTCCATTTTTAGTAGTATTTATAGATTTTGTAAAATGATTTAACATATTTTCAACATCTGAATTTGAAAAACTTAATTTTTTCAATAAAGTTTCAATTAATTGTGCAATATCTTGTTCTATTGTTGTAAAAACACTTTCGAATAATTGAAAATGTCCAAATTTTTGTTTAAAATATTTGTAACGTGAAAAATCATGAACAATTTTCTTATATTCTTCTTTTTTAATATTTTCTTTAATATAACTTGGTAAATATAATACAAATTTAGTTTTTTTAAATAATGTTAATACTTGAATCATTTCCTCACATTCTATTTTTGTTAATATTAAATATTATTGTAAAGTATTTAAAAGTATTTAAAAATATTTAAAAATATTTAAAAACAATAAATATTATTAATCAAAAATATATATAAAATGAAACATACCCTCTTTTCTCTGAATTAAAGGATCAAATAATTTTTCAGCATCTTGAATTGAATTTTCCAAGGCTTGATCCAATCTCTCAACACTTCCATCTCTAAATTTAGCATCCTTATTAGAACACAACAGATCAACAATATTTTTTGCTTCTGCAAATTTATGAATATTCCGTTCACTGAGTAAAATCATTTTCATATTCAAATCTTCCATTGTAGTTTGTAAATTCTTTTTGGCGCGATTAAATTCTTGATATTTGATTGGATGATGTTTTGTAGCTAAAAATAAATGAGGATTAAATTTATCAGATTCAATATCAACATTTCCATTTTGAGATAAAGAGGCTGTAATATTATATTTTTGTACTTCCTTCTCGGGATATGTTTGTACTAATTTTAATGGATCATCATCTGATTGATCGGAGACTGATGTTTTTTTAGCTGCTTTTTGAAGAGATAATTTATAATATTTTTGATTAATTTCTTCACATTCATCCCAAGTTGTTGGTGCTCGTAAGACGATACCACTTCCGTAGACATCACTGGTCATATTTTTTTTTAAAGAATTTTTTAATAGATGACAGTTGACATTTTTTGGAAAATTTAAAATTATTTTTTTTTAATTGATTGTTTTTTAGGAAGTAGATCAAAATTGAATTTATTTTGTAATGTAATATTAGTTTACATTACATTTTAATTAAATAAATCTGAAAGTGGTAATGAAGTTCTTTTTGGAGCTTTTTGATTTGTTGTTTGTAAATTTGTTGGCATTTCACAAACTTTAATTGTAATTCTTTCTGATTGACTTGATTGACTGTTTAAACTTTGATTTGAACTTGAATTCGAATAACTATTCGAATGTGTTGATCTTTCATCTGTTGGTTGACTAGATGTTGAATTCATTTTCTGCTGTTTCTTTAAAGTGAATTCGAATGTGTTTTGTTTCATTGATTCGTATGGAATCTTTTGTATTCTTCCTCTTCTTCTAAAAAGGAAAGTTTGTGCATAGTTTCGTACTTCATCTTGTTGATTCAAATTATTATTGGAAGCGAACACATATTGTGGTGATGTTGTGTTATTCGAATTTACACTAATTGAACTTGTGGTTGTGGACATTTTAGTTTGCTTTCGAATACCTTTACATGTTGGTGAAGAGCTTAAATTGTTCATTAAATTAGACTGTTTAATAGATGAATTAGTAGTAGACATGTTAGGTGAGGATGAAACATTCATAGTACATGTTGATTTTTCTTTCTTATTTGTGGTTGACATGAATGTTGGTGAAGATGTGATGATTGTGGAATAATGTTGTTGATTCTTTGAACTAATTGAATTGTTTTGATAGTAATAATAATTGTTAACCATGGTCATTTCTTAGAAAAAGGATAGTGGTGGTAGAAGTTATTAGAAAGTGTTGAGAGTGTTGATTCTTTTTTTAATGTATTCGAAACGTTTAAATGAGATGATGAACATTATAGACTGAAAATATGAAGGCTTGAGAATATGAAACAGTTGATGTATTCAATTATTCAAATAAGAACGTTCTCCTCCAAAGCGATCGAACATTTTCCATTCATTTCCATTTAAAATATTTAAATTCTTCACATTAGCCTTAAATTTTGTATATTTTGTAGAGGAATTCAAGCACCGTTGCTTTTCAAGTAAAATTAAACGAAATACAAACTTGTCAATTTAGTAAAAAGGAAAATTCGGATTGGGGTTTTTAGTGGTGGACTTTTGGCTGTTGTGTCAATGTCATGTGAGAATTCTTCTAAAACTAGATGAATTAATCTAATATCAACTCGTTTAATATGAATACTGAAATAGATTTTATGATGTTGATGTTTTGGCATTCATTTGTAAATTACCATTAATATTGGATTGGGAATTATTTGGAGTTTGCTTTAAATGATTGGTGAAGAGAAGTTTTTGTAAATATTTCATATGATGTTCTTAAAAGTTATATTGAAATAATAATTTATACTTTGTATTTCATTGTTAGTTCATTCATTTGAAGTAAACGTGTTGTATTATTTCAAAATGTTTAGAAACCATGTTGTTGAAAAGGGTATACTAATAGTCATAATGTTAATAACTTTGACAAGAGAGTTCTTTCTAATTGTGTAGAGATGGATGCTGTGCTATGGACCAAATTAATAACATATTAATTGCACGATATAATGAGAATCTATAGTAATAATTAGTCCCATAAATGGAAGGAACCACAAACACTGTTATTGATTCGAATGGTTTCTAAAATAAAAATCAATGTAATGCATTCGTAAATCTGTGGTGGGATGTTTCTTCTTGAATTGCTTGGCAAATGATATTGCTTCACTCTCTGAATAATAGCAACAATAAAGTTCCAAATATTCTAAATTTTTGAGGTATGGACAATTGAGAATGCAATCTAACCCATTACCTTTCAATCCATTTCCACTCAGTTTTAATTGTTTCAAATTTCGAATATTTGTATTGGACATTGGCTTGGTCAAATCACTAATGACATTTTCACACATATCCAAATCAGTAATATTTGAAAAGTGTGTGGAATTAACCATTGAATCAAAACCATTACTCCAAATAAAGTTACGTTTAAGATATAGAGTATCAAGTTTACAATATTTCGAGTTCAATACTTGTTCTATTCCTATTTTAATAGTATTTAAAGAAGCATCTAAATATCTTAATTTTGTTAAATATTGACTATCTAAATAAGAAATATTTCCAATATAATTATGTGAAATTGTTAACTCTTGCAAATTAGACATGTATTCACTCTTTCCTAATTGTTCCACAAACTCTGATTGTAAATAATTCCATCCCAATTTTAATACTTGCAAATAACTCATCAATTCACTCTTTACAATAATAATTGCTCCTCTATTTCCAATTTTCTGTCCATTCAAATTCAAACATGTAATAAATTTAAAACTCTGACATTTAACCAATAATTTACATCCTCTTCTTCTAATTGGTTTTTCATAATTATGCACATCTAATAAACTAATATTTAAATGTTGATCTTTAAATAATAAATCACTTTTACCCCAAGTTTTTAGAAAATCAATTTTCAATGCATGTAAAGAAACTGCTTTATAAAAGCCTTTGGAAATTAATCGACAATTTTGAACAATACTTCGATCGGGAAGAAATTGTAATATTATCATACAAATATCAAAATACCAATGATGATGATTATTTGATGATGAGGATTTCCTTTCGGAGGATGTTTCAGTAACTAATTGACTATTCATCATGTTGTGTATTTTATTTATTTTAATGAAAAATTAAAGTTAAAAATTAAATACTTTGCAATAATCAGAATAAGTATTTAAATCATTGAAATAATTGAAAAACAAATTGCATCTTATCATCCTTTATCATTCAACAATGGTTCAATTCCAAAGACTTCGCACCTCAAATTGAATCCTTTGGAAACTACAAGTCAAAGTCGGACATGTCCTACGACGATTCTCTTCCAACATAATTAAAAACATGCAACAAGTATTATTATCTTAAACCAAAAATACAAAATGCAACAACAACAACTCAACAGTTACTCATTCCTTGAAGAGGAAGAAGAAGAGGAGAGAATGCAATCCATGCCATCTCTACCAGTATCATCTTCATCAGATATCATACTCACTTCGTCAACAATAATTGACAATGAAAATAGTGATGATAATGAAATGATTGATAATGATGATAGAAAGCAAGCAAAGATTGGATGGAAAGATTGGATTCTTAATGGTTTTAAAGGTAAACAAGTACAGAATAATGAACAGCAACCAAAATTATATAAGATGAGATGGGTCATGCTGATGATATTTACTCTTTCAATGTTTAGTTCAGTTTTGGCTCAATCAACATTTTCATCAGTTGGGTAAGTTGAGAATATTATCAATTCTTTTGAATTCTAATGCCATTCAATTACATTTATAAATGAAATGCATTCATTTTCATTGTATATTATTTAATAATAATATTTATTACAAAAAAATAGAACAATAATGATGAAATATTATAATGTTCCAAATGAGAATTGGAAAATCAACATGATGGGTATGATATTTCTCATTGTATCCCTTCCTTCATCATGGACAGTTAGTTTTGTCATGAAGAAATATGGTTTAAGATCATGTGTATTAATATTTGGAATTTTGACATGCATTGGAATGTGGATTCGTTGTTTAGGTTATGGAAAGGGAAATGAAACTAATTTATGGATTGCATTCATTGGACAGTTTTTAATTGCCTTTGCTCAACATTTTGTGAGTAGTGTTTCAAGTTTGTTGAGTGTGAATTGGTTTGGAGATCGAGAGAGAACTCTTGTTTTGGTTTCAACTTTATTGATGGGTGTTATTGGAGGTGGAGTTTCATTTGCTATTGGACCTACTTTGATTACAATGGGTAAATCTGAAATGGATGGATCTGAAATGGGAATGTTAATTTATTTAATTGGTCAATCGGTGATTGCATCTATTTGTTTAGTGTTAATTGTATTGTTTGTTAAGGATAAACCACCAACACCTCCAGTAATTATGAAGAAGAAGGAAAGTGAAGAAGAAATGAATCAAGAAAATTTAGAAATTGAAGAGAAATCAAACGAAACAAATGAAACAAATGAAATGCAAGAAGAATCAAATATTAACAATGATATTGAGAATGGTAATTCACCAACACATTCTAATAATGAAGAAGAAATACAAGAAGAATCCAATAAGAAAGATATTTATCCAAAACAAACATTTATTGAAGGAATGAAAAAGTTAGTGACCTCTCCACATTTCATCATGTTAACCGTTGCATCATCCTGTCTCACTTCTGTATTACAAACTCTTCAAATTTTAGATCAAATCATAACTCCAAAAGGTTATTCCACATTTGATGGCGCCAATTTTAGCATGGTCAACTTGGTTTTTGTATTAATTGGTTGTTTCGCATTAAGTATATTATTTGACAAGACAAAAAAGTTTAAATTGATAACATGCATTAGTAGTTTCATGTCTGTCATTGGATTTGGAATGTTTGCAATTATCATGCAATGGGAAAAGTCAGATTTCACATTAATATTTATTTACCTTTCATTTATCATTATTGGATGTTCTGCAATTCCAAGTTTGCCTTTAATCTCTCAAATGGTAGTTTATTCAACTTATCCTATTCATCCAGCAACTAGTTTAGTAATTTCAAGCGTATTTGGAACTGTGTGGAGTGTTGTCTTTTTATTTGTAATTAATATTTTACAAAGTCAATTAAGAGAAAAGGCATCTAGTATTATTTTATGGATGGATTTGGTATTATTAATTGTTGGTTTCTTAATGATTTTACTTTTTAGAGGAAATTTCAATAATATTTTGGTCAACCAGAAAAAATAAAAATATGGTTTCTGTAAGGAAAATTATCTGCTGACGGACGGGATCGAACCGGCGACCAATGGCTTATTAGACCAACGCTCTACCGACTGAGCTACGCCAGCTTCATATTCACTTGCTTTGTGTTCTTTGTGTATTCATAAATCCATATTTTCAAGGTATTTCTCTATCTAATTAAACTGTTTAAGGATGTTCAGGATGTGGTTAACATGTTTCAAATCTGTAATGATTGTAAAATTTTGGGCAACTAGAAAAATATATTATGAACCTATCTACATTAGAAGAGTAAGGATTTTGAAGATGGTCGGGGTAGAAATTTGATTCGGATATTGAGCACAATAAAATAATGTTAATGGTCATTACCACCCATCATCAATCAAAACACACATCAAAAAATTAACCACACAAATAACACTACAATATTAATACCCTATTATTAAAAACAAACATTCAAACATTTCTATTAGAAAATATCTTTCCATTACATAAATATTTTACCATCATCAAATATTTATTCAAACATTTCAATTAAATATTATTACACCAACATTCACCAACATTCAACAAAATGAAAATAATTCCTCACCATCATCATTATAAGAAGAATATAATAACACATCTATTCAGTGTAACAAAAATATTCATCATATTCATAATATTCACACAAATGTTATTATTAAATCATCTTTTAGTTCATTGTAAAGTAACACTTCAATCATCTGGATCAACATTTTCATCAATGGCTCAATTAAATATTAAATCAATGTATACACTTGATATTTCACATTCAAATTCATTAGATTACACAGAGGAAGATTCCATAAGTGGAATTCGTAGAATGTTACTCATTGAAGAACAACATCAAAATGATCTAGTTCATGTTGATTTTAATAGTGTTAAAACATTTCCATTCAATCAATTGAAAAGTATTCAAGAAGATTCAGTTTTTAAAGAGAAATCATATAATAATACAATGTGTATTGATAGTATGTTTGGAGTTTTGGTGTTTGCTATGAATGGTAATTTTGAAAATAACAAAATTTCTCAATTATCTCTATCTTTGGAAAGTATTATTGATATTTATTTGGGAAATATTAAATATTGGGATGATTCTAGAATTGTAAATGAAAATCCAAACATAATTTTACCATCAAATCAATTAATTTCTGTACTTTCAAGATCTTCAACAAGTGGAACAAGTTTAAATTTGTTAAATTATTTGGCAACACTTTCATCAGATTTTAATCAAAAGTTTAATTTTCTACTTTCAAATCCAACTTCCAAAATTAGAAATCTCAATTTAACTTCATTAACAACCAATTCAAATTTACTCATTCCAACAAATAAGGACATGTTAGAATACTTGAAAAATATGAAAGGTTCATTTGGATATACAAGTTTAAATGTTTATTCAAGTTTAACAAGTGAACAAAAAAGTAATGTCATTCTCATTAATTTAATTATTAATGGAAAGTCAATTGTACCATCTTTGGATAATGCAAAGAATACTATTTCTAAATTTGCTTCTTCTACTTTTAAATCAAGTGATATTTATTCACAATCATTGTCAATTTCAAAATCTAATGAAAATCACTATCCACTCATTACATGTATATTTTGGTGTTTTAGACAATATCAATCATTGAGTGAAGATGGTGTTGCATTACTTCAATTCTTTACAAATTCATACAAGTATTTACAGAGCTCCACTCCAGTTACTACTACTACTACTACTACTTTAGAAACAACCAGTACTGCTACGACAACTGATATGATCATGACAACTAGTTCATCAGTTAAGAATGCACTCAGAATGTATTTCAAGAGACAACAATCAACTTCAGAGGGAAGTTTGAGTGGTGTTATTGCACTTCCATCATGGCTCTCATCCAACAATTTGAAAATTATTGAACAAACTTTAATGTGTGAAAAAAAGTTGTGTTCCACCATTCCAAAACCAACCAATGAGTATGTTACTCTATTCCTCCAAATTGCTCTCCCACTCTTAATTGTAATGGGATGTTGTGTTATGATTTTATTGATTGGTATTGCAATTTATTGTATTAGAAAGAGAAGATTTAAATCACCTTCTCAACTCAATCAACAATTACTTCAAGATCAAGAAATTGAATATATGGAAGATAGTACAACAGTTGCATCTACCTATACATTTACACCAAAACTCTTTGAAAAGGAACAATTGAAGAGTACAATTAGAACTGAAGAATTATCGCTTGATGAACAAATTGGAAGTGGTTCATTCTCTGAAGTTTATAGAGGAAGATGGTTAGGAGCAACAGTTGCTGTCAAACGTTTCCTTGTCAATCATATTGAAAGTGATGAAATAGTTCAAGATTTTATTAAGGAATCTAAACTAATGTCTAAATTAAGACATCCAAATGTTGTTCAATTTATGGGAGTTTGTATTCAAATGCCACATTTATATATGGTAACTGAATATTGTGAGAGAGGAAATTTACAACACATTCTCAAAGATAAGAAGATTAAAATTTCACTCAGAAAAACAATTTCAATGGCATTGGATGCTGCACGTGGAATGTACTATCTTCATACATGTGAAACTCCAATTATTCATAGAGATTTTAAGAGTGCCAATTTACTTGTTGATAAAAATTGGAGTGTTAAAGTTGGAGATTTTGGAATGTCAAGAATGATTGATTCTCAACAACAAATGACAGTTTGTGGAACAGCTGAAACATGTGCACCTGAAGTTTTAAAAAGAAGTATGTATACAGAAAAGGCAGATGTCTATTCATTTGGTATTGTACTTTGGGAAATGTTTACAAGAAGTCAATTATATCCAGGAATGAATTTTTATGAGCTAAGTTCAAGAGTTGTAAATGAAGGTTTAAGACCAGATACAACAAGTACAAGATTTACTGAAGATCACATTCCAAAAACTATTCAAAATTTAATGACTGATTGTTGGGATGATGATCCAGATCATAGACCTGATTTTTCAATCATTGTTAAAAAATTAGAAAAGGAATTGGAAATTGAAAATCAAAAGAAGAATAAGGATTAAAATAATATTCAATATTAATTTAACAATTCTCAATTTTTTAATGAATATTAAGATTTTTAATAAATTTAAAAAAAATGAAAAGAAAGGAAAGACCTGAAAATGAAGTGGTGGAAATAATTTCAAGTGATGATGACGATGATGAACAAGATGATGAACAAGATGATGATGGTAATGATAGTGATGAATCTATTGAAGTGATTGATTCAAAGAAATCAAAGAAGAATAATTTATCACCATCATCGGAATCAACAAGTGAAAGAACATTATCATCCCAACAGAGAGAATGTATTCATCAGGCAGTTAAATATTGTTCGGAACAATTTAATTTATTTAAAAAGGATGATTTTTCAGCATCATATGGTTTATTTCTTAATTCGTTATTGGAGGAAATTGTAAAGACTAGAGAATATAGAATGGTTCGTCCAGTTGATGGATTTTCTCATCGATTGTCTAAATTAATTGGTGGTGAACGTTTTACCTTACTACCAACAAATGTTATTACTAGAATATTTGCATTCCTTCATCCTATTGATATTCTTACTAAGAGACCTGACACTGTTTGTGCAATTTGGTATAACGAAATGAATACTTTTATTTGGAAGAGGATTACAAAATTCTTGGCCCCTGCTATTGCAGTTGATAAATATGACACAGAGACTCTTAAAGAATATTGTCTAGCAAAGGGAAGAGCATTCTACGGCCAAAAGAAGGCAACTCTCTCCTATATTCATCTTGAATTGCAGAAGGAAGAATATCCACCAAGTTATGAATATGATCCAATTACAACATGTGAAAATATTTCATTTTCAGAAAACAGTGAGTGGAAAGGAACAACCTATTTATTGAGTGGATCAGGTAGATATTATGATTCATTCCGTTCGTGTGAACCGTTGACATATACTTTAGTGGAATTTCAAGATGTAAATGGTTATTATTTCAATTATCATGCACCTTATTATATTTACTTTACATATGATTGTAAATATGAAGATGAAGAGGAACAGTCTACTTCATTCACTTGTGTTTTGAATGTTTTTGCTAATGATGACGATGAGGATGATGACGACTTTATTTCACCAATTGAAGGTAATGAAATTGACTTTAAACAAGTTCTACGTATTTGTGAACAGCTTGGCATGAAGAAAGAAATTAAGAATTGGAACTTTGATGATCTGAGCAGTTGGTTCTTTGATTTTATTGAGGAGATTTTCAAACCTTTTTCTGAGACTGAAATTGAGACTGATTGGAATGATTTATTAATTTCTAAAACCCTAAAAACCAAAAAGCATTAATCAGCAAAGAGACATGTGTTGAAATAGGATTCAATGTACCACTACTATCATTTGTCAAATATATTCAGAGCATTTCGTAAGGATTAACTCAATTCTTGAATTAAGATAAAGACTGTTTTAATGAAAAAGCTCAAGGCTAAAAAAATAAGCAAATGCTTTACGAATATCTTTATTATATAATATTATAAATTATCAAGTAAACAATGAATACAAATGAAGTAAATCAAAGACAAGTTCATTAAAGATTCTCAAAACTATGAACTACTTTAAAAAATGGAACCACAACAAGATGTTGCACCAACTTTTCAAAGCCTTCCAACAGAATTATTGATGGAAGTATTTTGCTATTGTTCATTTGATGATATCTATTCAATTTCTAGGGTATCTAGGAATTTTAGCTCAATTGTTGGCACAGAAAGATTCCGAACTTGATCCGAATGCAGAAATCTTCTCTTCAAAATATTATTTAGAAACGAGGAAGAGAATGGAAAAGTTACTTTCACCTGAAGTGATCTATGATGACGATTCGGAAGAGGTTATTCATTCCAAAATTTATTCATTATTGTTTGATTGGGTCGATTTAGTTGTAGGCTCAATGGAAAAACATTCCTTTTTGCAGGGATTTGAAGAATTGAGAAAGGATTTAAGATTCATATCAAGGGATGAATTAGATTGGAATTATTTTGAAGAGTTGACTGAGAAATTCAATTGTATTAATATTTGTGGAGAAAAGACATGGTTTGGGTTTACTCTTTTAGATAAAAGAGGAGAAAGAATTCCAATATTCTGTAGATTGAGTAGGCAGTATGAAAGTGCAAGTAGAGAAATGAGTGTCATCATTCTTGGGTTCTTTGATTCCAATGACAATTTGACAGGAAATCTTCAGGAAGCAATCAGAATTCAAGAAGCACAATTTTACTTTGAATATGCAGGATTTGATAGTATGTCCAGTTTCACTGGATTTGATTGGATCAATGACAACTTTTCCAGATATATCAAAGCAAAGGATGAATTGGCTCTTTTTGGATCTGCTTTGGAATTTTATATTACAATGCTAAAGCAAAGAAAATTCTCAAAAACAAAATGTTTTCCTCGTATTAAGGAGGATCGAACAGAATATTACTTTAACAGTACTATTGGAATGATGCTTTGTTTCAATTCACTTCACAGAGGAGTGAGCGAATGGTATTCACCATCAAGATTTGATACCCACCTTCCAGGGTTAATTTATCACGTTCAATCGTTCTATTCGAAACATAAGAAATTATTAGAGAGCAATAAATAATTGCTCTTCAACATTAGCCGGCAGATATTCATATTTTCACAGCAATAGAACAACATGAACACCTCTTCTCAACTAGAAATAAGTCCTGATTTATTAGATGGGTTGACCAAATCATCAATCATCACTCAAAAAAAATGTCAACACAACCACCACCAACACAAACAAAGGTAAAGGAAGAAACCATTGAAGTCAAAGGTACTCCAACAGGAGGAGCAGACAACAAATCATCATCAGCCAATAAGAAAGTCACAAAATACAAACCACCAGAAAGTGTTAACAAGGCACTTTCTAAAGGTTTACAATTTGCTCCGTATGCTCGTAATATGGTCAATGGTGATATTTATATATTATTCATATTTGGAATTGTTGCTATTGCAATGGCTCAAGATCGTACAACAAGTTTACCTTGGGCAACTGTGCCAGGAATTTATTGTGTTGTTCTTTCTATATTTTTATATATTTGGCACTTTATTAGTGAATTTACAAAAACAGATAAGAGTGTTGATTCTGTTTTAGCTCCAAAAGGTTGGCCAAAGATTATTTGTATGATTTTATCGGCTTTTAATTATAATCCTGTTCAATGTGTTTTCTGTGCAATGTATGTTCTAATATTTAATTGTTATTTGGTTCTATTATTTACTATAATATTTAATTGTTATTTAATTGTTATTGTTATATTATTTAATTATTTAATTATTTAATTATTATCACAAAATATTATTATTTGAATATATTATGTGATGATTTTAAATGTTGGAAAATTTGTATTGTTGTGGAAATTAGTGCCTCTGTCTATTGTTTCTTTTGTGTTCAGACTGCAATTTGTGGAGTTCCACTTGTTATGGCCTCAATTTTATATTTGATTGCTTCAATTAGACGTGAAGCATCAGCTAAAATCACTGGTTTAATTTAAAATCCATTTAACTATATTGCATTGTAAAATATTTCTAAAAAAGAACAACAAATAATAAAAAAATTTAATTATTTTAATATTTAATTTTACAAATTTAGAAACCATTTGGAGTGACATGAGCAGAAGTAGTACCAGAAATACCAACATTAGATGCAGATGGATATTGAACAGCATCCAATTGTTGTTTCTTCACTTGAACTAACTGAAGAACTTTCAAATACATATGCCCAACAATTGATCCAATAATTCCAACTGGAATATCGATCATGTAAAATAAAAGTGAAATAATTCCATCGTAATATAATTGAGAGGAAGCAGAACCTGCAAAGAAACTTGGTAAGGAAAAGATAAAGAATGTGAAAAAGACAAAAATTGATCCAAATGTAACTCCAAATGCATGAAATTTAGCAGCAGTTTCGTTTTGTTTAAAAACTCCAATAATTCCACAAACTCCAATTAAGAGAATACAAATATCCATTGGAATTAAGAATAAATTAGATGTACCAAATAATGGTACTTGTTTAGCATACCAAACAATCATGGCAATAAAGTGATGAACAGACAACAATCCACCTAATTTAGTTTAATTTCCAATAAATATTAACATGTTAAAAACATACCCATTACTGTAATGATAATAGAAGTAATACCACATGCAAGTTTCCAATTCTTGAAATTTGTAACACTTGGGTTGAAAGGAGTTGAATTAGTTTGTTGAGGATTAGGATAATGGTTTGGAGGAGGAAGTGAATTAAATGATGAATGATTTCCTGCATTATTTGAATAATAAACAGGTTGTGGTTGAAAAACAGAGGCAGATGATGGTCGGACAGTTGGTTCATCACCAAGTTGGTCGCTGTGAATAAGATATTCAGTGTTCGACATTTTTTTTTAAATGTGAAGGGAAATTGATTCGAATAATTATAATAATCAGTAATTGATGGTTGACTTTTTCACATTGTCCATCAATAGAAGAGGAATTCAAAGTGGAAACATGTCGTTCTTCTAAAATATATTGTAAAGATTTTAGGTGAATGTTTGGAATTCCAGTTATTTAATGAACAATCTACTCAAACATTTATATTACAATGACAAGTTTATTTCAAATGAATAGTGACATAAATATTTCCCTTTCTATGTTTAACAGTATTTTTCTTTCCCTTATTCTTTCTCTTTCCAATAACACTTCTTGCCTTTCTCTTAATAGTTTCCATTGTTGCAGGTTTAACACCAACTCTTTCGTCTCTTTCTTCTTCTCTTTTCAATCTATTTTCCTCACGAGCCAATCTGTGCTTTTCTCTTCTCAATTGACTTGGAGTAATTTCTTCCTTAGAACCCTTCTTTCTTCTCAATTGTCTATCGAATCTTTTAATTAATCTGACCTTTCTTCTTTCGTCTCTCAATAGTCCAATTTCTTCTTGAGGAGAATTGAGAACATTACCTGGCTCTGAAGCATCTGAAGTTGCAGATGGGACAATTCCTGGCTCAGTTCCTCTTCCTTCTCTACGTTCAGCTCTGACAGCCATTCTCATTGCACCTCTGATTTTAATTGCTGCTTGTCTTTTAGCTTTGGTATTATTTGGAGCCGATGATTCACTACCTGTTGCTGATCCACCTTGTTCAGATTGACTAGCAGAAGAGGAAGGTGAAGAAGAACTTCTACCAATTTTTTGAGGTCCTTGTTGTTGAATCATTTCACTTGGACGATTTCCTGCATTGGAATTAGCATTACCTCCAGATTGTCTTGAACTACTTCCACTGCTACTTCCAGAACTACTACTACTACTACTAGAAGAACTTGAAGTAGATGAAGGAGCAGATCCTTGATCATCCTCCTCATTACTATTGGCACGACTTGAACCTCTTTGATTTGATTTACCACCACCAGCACTTTTAGCTGATGCACTTTTTGGTCTTTGTTTCTTAGTTGATTCAGATTCTTGTTGAGGTGGAAGACCAATAGCTTCCTTGGCTACTCTTGGAACAACATTTCTTGAACTTCCATTAGCACTACCATTACCATTTCCAGAATTTGAGGAACTAGAAGCACCAGCAGAAGAAGGACGACGACCAGCAGTTGCTTTTTGGTTGGAAGCAGTTGGACGACCAGCTGAGGCCATTGAAATGACCAATGCTAATACAAAGAGTGTTAGAATGAGATTTCTAAACATTTTTTTTAAGAGTGATATCTTTTGAAAGAATGTATTGTAGTTTAGTTTTATGATTGACCTTCAGTTTAGTTCAGTATGAAGTGTAGGAAACATACAAAATATATGCAAAATATTCATGTCTCATGGAGCGCGTGGAATTTGAAATACAAAGAAAGATTAAGAAGTTTAGTTTGGGATGATTGCTGACATTTGATCCACATCACCCATTGGCCTTAGAGAATTTATTGCATAATGTGTAATTTATTATTTACTATTCGAAAGCATAAATATGTGATGGGAATTGAAAGTTAGAAATAAAAATAAGAAAACTAAATTAAAATCAATCTTTTATTTTAATTGCATTCATTGTAAGCTTAATTTCAAACAGTCAACTTGATAGGATTGTAATATTCTACTAATAATTGACCAAATTTGAACAAATTTCAAAACAAAAAAAAATGCAATCATCATCAACTGACAGTTTTCAATCATTTCCAATCGAAGGAGAAGCAAAAATTAATTTTGCCGAATGGCTTGTTGAAAATCAAAGTAAATTAACACCACCAGTTTCGAATAAAATGTTATTTAACAAGGGACAATTAAAAATTATGATTGTCGGAGGACCAAATGAAAGAACAGATTATCACGTTAATCAAACAGAAGAATTTTTCTATCAAATGAAGGGTGACATGATATTAAAAATTGTTGACAAGAATGAACACAAAGATGTTCACATCAAGGAAGGTGAAATGTTTGTTTTACCTGGAAATGTACCACACAGTCCTCAACGTTTTAAAGATACAATTGGAATGGTTATTGAATTAGAAAGACCACAAGGAAGTTTAGATTATTTGAGATGGTACTGTGAAAAATGTGATGAAATTGTTTATCAAGATTCTTTTTATTGTTATGATTTGGGAGTTCAATTAGTTCCAGTTATTGAAAAGTATAATAGTGATGAAAGTGTTAGAACTTGTAAGGCATGTGGTCATGTTAATTGTAAATCAAATAAGAAACCTTAAATATATTGACTGTAAATAATTATGGAAGTATTACTTTAGATCAATGAGGTGATGACCTATTTTCAATCAAATTCTTCATTATCAAATTACTTATATTTATCTTCATAGTACTGACCTTGCATTTTGATAAATTTTCTCTATTTTTGATTTGATCGCAAAATCAAAATTGAAAAATGCAAAGAAAAATAACAAAACAAATTCACAAAGGATTTACATCACAATTATTCAATCATCACCATCATAAGAATCTAAGAAACATGTCATTGACAACCAATTCGCAACAGGAAAATGTTACAAAATTATTTACTGGATCAAGTCATACAGAAATGTATGCCAAATACAGACCAACCTATCCCGATGAATTATTTGAACAAATTGTTGCATTAAATTGTTCAAAAGATCAAAAGAAGTTAAATATCTTGGATGTTGGCTGTGGTTCTGGACAAGCCTCGTTTTCTCTGGCCAAATATGCTAAATTACTTGTCGGAGTTGATCCAAGTGAAAATCAAATCAAACAAGCAAAACAAAAAGAATCTCAATCCAATATTCAAGGATGCAAGTTTGATTTTATTGTTGGAACTGATGTGAATTTGTTAGAATGTGTAAATCAATTAGAATCATTCCATCAATCCACTACTTGTGAAAATCAATTTGATTTAATTGTTGTTGCTCAAAGTCTTCATTGGTTTAATTTTGAAACATTCTTCAATAATGTTTCTAAAATGTTGGCTCCAAATGGTGTTTTTGCTGCTTGGACCTACACTTTGAATTCATTTGAGGGAGAACATGGTGAAACTGCCACTAACACTCTTAATAATTTCTACAATGAAGAAATGTGGAAACCTGGATATTGGGCAAAGGAGAGAAAATATGTCGATGATGAATATAGATCTATTGAGCAATATATGCCTTATCCTTCCAATCATAAGAGATTAGTTTTAGATTATAGAAAATCAATGCCTCTTGCTGCCTATATTTCTTACATTTCTACTTGGTCTTCTATTGAATCATTCGGAAAGAAGAATGGAGAAGAAAAGAAGAAGCAACTCCTCGAGAAATTGAAAACTGACTTGATGAATGATTTAAAGTTAGAATCCGACTCTGATGAAGTTCAAGTTTTGTGGAAAATTCATACCATCACAACCACAAGAAAATAAATTTTTCAATTCTTTTCATCACAAAATTAAATAATTTGTAAATAATTATTCGGACGGTTTTTGTTGCTGTTGTTGTAGTTGAATCATCTTTTTAGCTTGTTGTTCAAGGAAAGGAGCATTCATAATTGGAATATTTGGCTGAGCAAATCTATAGGGAGTAACAATCTTTGCAATTTCTACTCGTTCCTTCATTAATTGTTCTTCTTCGGAAAACATTGATGAAAGTTTATAATAAACATTCCTGCCACCAACAAAAATTACAAATCCAACAAAGGTAGCTGATAATCCAAGAACCATACTTCCGTACACTGTAGGTGAGCCCGAACTGTACAAGCCACCAAGTCCATTGAGTACATGGCGAAAATAAGTGAATGGCATTTTTTTCAATTAATTTTTAATAAGGAAGGCAATCAATTTTAAAATTCCGCCTAAATTTTGTAAGCCGAATATTCATTCCGCATCGATGCGGTAAGGATGACCCACTCACCTCACCAAACTTTGCTACAGCCTTAATTGTTCTTTACGAGACCACATAAAGACTTGACCTCACTACCAAATAAATTTTCATGAACTCTCAGTAAGTAAGAAAATTGTAAAGTAATTTTGTATTCTGCTAGAGAATAAAGGATATTGAAATGAAAATCTTTGAAGGTAGTACATAAGGTGATGGGTAATGATGTCGTTGATAACATGTACTGACCTCAATAACAAAGATCTTCAAGTGTTTGATTTGACAACTTGACTATTTGTAAGAATTTTCTTTAATTAATCATTTGATCAAAATATCCAAATTTCAACCAGATCAATGACGAGTAGAGATGAGTGTTTAGGTTGGTACTAAGATGATGATCAAAGTACCAGCCACATTCGAATTGAATAAAACAAGTTGCGGCTTTCATGTTGGTAGGTACCGAAGCTATTTTTTCTTGCAAGACACACCAGTTGGTGCCACCAGCAGACTATTGAAGAAGGTGGTAATGCAATGAGTTTTTAGGGGCAATTAAAAAAAATACCAACGAACCTCACCAATTTTTTGCAACCAACTGTCTTGACAAAGTACTCACCTCCTTTTTGAATTTTGTCTTGTTGCAGTGTTGGTGCGCATTTAAAGAGAAGAACGTTAGAACATATCAATTTGACCCCAATATACATATTAATTCATCATCATCATGAAACGTAGTTTTGAACATTTTTCTTCAGACTCTCTGACTAGTACTTCAAGTGGTCATTCCCAAGCCTCTGCCGTTGTTCCTTCATCAGCAACAACTTCAGTTGTTAGTAATGGTACCAATAGTAGTAGTACAAGTTCTTTTGAGAGTATTGTTGTTGGAGAACATTCTCCCACATCCATTTCCTCTAAAAATCCATCCAATGGTCTCTTTTTGATTCCTCCAACAATATCCACGTCGTCGAGTCTCTCAAGCCAAAGCTCAAGTACTGCTTCCGCCTCCTCTTCTCCACTCAGCCCACCCAAACTAACCCAACAATTGTTTAGTAATGCTATTTGTCAATTACAATCTGTCATTGCCAATAGTACCACTCCAAGTCTGTTCTATCAAAATGCAATTAGACAAATCCTTGCCTCAACCTTCCCTCAAGTGTACTCTAGTAATAATAATATTAGTCGTTTGCCTCCAACTACTGTTCCTTATCACCACCAAGTGACTGTATCCGTAATACCCTCTACAAATACCACTACGACCAACAATGGTAGTAGTAATACTAATAACCTTGTAAGAAAAGACACAAACAACTCATCCAATTTTGGAGTTTCTCCAACACCTTCTAGACTTTCCCTCTCATCCCAAAACAGAAAATCCTTTCAACAATCATCATCCCATTCCCATAATACAGAAGTTCAACCAGCCAAGAGGGTAAAACTGACAACTCTAACACATCATATTAGACCTTTACCTTACTGTATAAAACTTCTTATATTGAGTTATATTGAATTACCAATCTTACAATATGTAGAGTTTAGAGAACTGCCTCACCCATTCAACATTTCCCAAATGGATCATACTATCAAATTAAGAAGGCAAATGACCAAACTAATCTATGGCTATTTTAGTACAGATGTAACAAGGAGCATCCACTTACTGTTTTCATGCATCGACTATACAACACATTGCCAAGATTCAACTCACAACCACCACAATTTGAATGATGCACTTTCTGAAGGTAGTACTAACAGTGGTAATTCCAACAGTATACGGTCTCCACCTCAATCAAGCTTTTCACATTGTCCTCTAGAGACGATCAAACTTTCAGACAAACTTGATATGATAATGTTTAGAAGTAAAAAGTTTGTATCGTTGAGGTTTTCAGATTGTAACCTCAGAGGTGAAGAGATGAAATGTTTGTCCAAGCAAGGTGATTGCACAAGAATAACCCATCTCAAGACTATTGATCTGAGTAAGAACCACAACTTTTCCACAAACTCCTTTAAACATTTCCTCTCTTTCCCAGATAATAACGATATTCCAGCCACTTATCCTAATCTAACTTATTTAAATTTACTAGAAACATCTACAGACGCTTCCTGTATTTCATTGGCTTGTAAAGCTTTCCCAAAGCTTCAAATTCTTAAACACTCTTTCTCAAGTGAACATGTTGTAGAATACAATAGTTGTGTGAAAGCACTGGCTTCTCTCACCCACCTACAACAACTCCACTTGGAATGTACCTCTGGCTATTATGAAATGAATATGAAAGAGTTGTTACAAAGCAAGTCTTTAAAGAAGATTGCCCTCTTTGGTTTCCAATTCTCTGATAACAATGTTAATATTAATGCCTTCAGATACAATGAGTCACTAAAGAAGCTTTCCTTGACCAATTGTTTCATTGCCACCAATAGAGAAAAAGTTGCAGAGTCTATCTCAAGCAGTACCTCCATTAGAGAATTGATCTTCTCTGAGATTAATCTTGAGAACTCTGATATTCAACTCTTCTCTGAGAGAATGGACAAACTCCAAACACTTATCATTGGTGGTTCTGATGCTTTCCACATGAATACAACTGGATTCACAAACTTCCATATGTTGAAAGGGTTGCAAAAGTTCGTCATTGATGGCTTTAGTGACTATTGTACACTTAACTTTGAGACTTGTAAGGCATTCTGCCTTTCCAATCTCACTTTCCTTGAATTAGATGGATTCCAAGAGGCTGATGACTCATACCTTGCTCTCATGCTTAGACAAGGTGTCAACTTGAAGGCTTTAAAGGTCAAGCAAACAAAGATTAATTGTAGAGACAATGCTCTGGCTGACGCTCTCAGAAACCACAAATGTTTAAGACATTTGAAGCTTGATGAAAATGAAGCTATTGGTGATGCTGGTGTCTTATTTTTGAATAATAATCTTCCATCTTCACTGGTCAAACTTGGTTTAACAATGTGTAATATTAGTGATATTGGAGCTAAAGCTCTCCTTGCTAACAAGCAAATTAGAAAATTGAAAGTCAAAATGAATAATATCACTGATGAATCTCTCAAGTTGTTAAAGTTTAACACAAGTTTGATTTACATTAGTATTGATGCCCTAAGAAGTGAAGAAATGGTTAGAATTATTGGAGAAGACAACAAGACACTGAAGCAACTCAGTGTTATCAGCATTCCAGTAACTGAGACAACAATTGAAAGCCTTACAAAGAACACCTCTTTACACTATTTAAAGATTAAGAACTGTGACCACTTGAACAGAGATTTGAAACAAAGATTGATTGATCGTGCCTCTTTTGGAGTAATCTTTAGAGGTATATTCTCAGAAGAAGCATTCCTATAGATTATCCCCCACAATAAACATAAAAAAACAACACGCGATGGTACAAAACACCATTGAGAAAAACACAATTGAGTTTAATCTTCTTCCTTATCAAATAGCATTTCGTTAACAATTTCTAATGGTAAATCTCTTACGATTGGTACAACTGGATCAGTTTTTTTGGGATTCTTGTTTTCCCACGAACCCAGTACAATATTCTCTCGTTTCAGATATTTGGTTCTATTGTCTTCTATGCATCTCAAATCATCTAAAGGATAGGAATTGTAATGATAATAAAAGTAATTCCACAAGAAGAATGTAATCCACACTACACATAAAAAACAAGGAATAGCCATGGCCCAATATTTGTCAGGGTAATACGTCACTCCAATAATATGAAGCCATTCATCGGGAATATATGCATAGGAAAGATATAAAAACAGAATTACAAATGTTACAATCCAACCAACAAATCCATATATTTCCACATTACTTGAACTTTTAATGACAGGCAAGTCTCTTTTTTCCTTTAATTGTTGATGATCATTCATTCCGATAGAATTTTACTATCATCTGCTTTTTGATATTTTTTTAAAATTAATTTTTAATTGATTTAATTTTGTTTTGTAAATCAACTAATAAAGAAAACAGATAGAATAAGGTAAAACCAATCGTTTGGATTTTATAAGCAATATTTGATCCTTCAGTCCAAGAATTGAGTTTTCATTTAATTTTTTAATAAAAATTTTGAAATTTAATTTAATTAATTTTGTATGGCGATTTGATCAAAACTATATCGATTAATGATAATTATTATTAATAAGCAATATGTTATAATAGCAATGAATCCTTTGAAAAGAAATACTCTTTACAATTAAAAGCACTTTTTGTATTTTTAGAAAAAAAATAAAATTAAAAAAAATGCAACAATTGCCATCATCAATGCACTCTTTTGGAATGGGAGGCTTTCCTCCTCAAACACAAATGGGATCATCAGAGACTGAACTATTACAAATGATATTGGATTTATTAAATCATAATACAAGAGAAAGCGCTTTAATGGATCTTTCGAAAAGAAGAGATTCTTTCCCCAATTTAGCTACAGTTTTGTGGTTTTCTACAGGGGTAATGTCTGTTTTATTGCAGGAAATTGTGTCGGTGTATGATCTTCTTGATCCTCCACACTTGACATCAGCAGCATCAAATAGAGTTTGTAACGCTTTGGCTTTACTTCAATGTGTTGCTTCTCATCCAGAAACCCGTCCACATTTCCTCAATGGTATGTGTTTCCGAAAATTATAATTTTAACATCATCATCATCAGCCCACATTCCTTTGTTTATGTATCCTTTCCTAAATACCGTTACTAAGAGTAAATCATTTGAATATTTAAGATTAACATCATTAGGTGTTATTGGAGCTTTAGTGAAATCAGACGAGGATGAAGTTATTAATTTTTTACTTCCTACAGAAATAATTCCATTATGTTTACGTATTATGGAGAGTGGAACAGAACTTTCACAGACAGTGGCTACATTTATAATACAAAAGATTTTAACTTTCGACAAGGGATTACATTACATTTGTGCCACACCTGATCGTTTTTATGCTGTTTGCTCAGTTTTTGGAACAATGGTAAATGATAATCCTTCTTTCAGACTTTTAAAACACATTATAAGATGTTATTTACGTTTATCTGAACATGCTAAAGCTAGAGATGCTCTCAGTCAATGTTTACCACCATCTTTGAGAGACAAGACTTTCCAAAAGTTTTATGATAGTGATACTAATTTAAAACAAGTCATTTTGAATTTACTAACAAGAATTGGTGACTTGGAAGCTTATCAAAGACTGTGTAATTAGGAAATGTGTACAAATATTGTTTTACTAAACAAAGTAGAACAGAGAAATTAATTTTTAAATTACTAAATTTTAATCTAAATCTAAATTTCAATCTAAATTTCTTTTAAATATTTTTCTAATATTATTATCAGTGGTTTAAACAGATATCCAATCTTATCCATCATTCAGTTGGAATTAAAATTTGATTAATAATAATTTTATTATTAATATTTTTATTTTAATCATCTGCTTTGTCATAGCTGTGTTGGCAAATCATCAGAAAAAAATATTGTTGTTTTTGTGGAGAAGAACAATTATTGCCGGCACAACACTTCATCATCAATTAAAATACACAAAGAATGGTCATTATTTCTGTCAGTGTTATTTCAAAGGCTGGCAAGCCTCTCATCGCTAGACAATTCCGTGATATTAGCAGAGTTAGATTGGAGGGTTTGTTGAGTGCTTTCCCAAAATTGATGGATCCAAAGTCCCAACACACCTTTGTTGAAACAGACTCTGTTAGATATGTATATCAATCATTGGATCAATTATTCCTCGTTTTGATCACTACAAAAACTAGTAATATTGTTGAAGATTTGGAAACTTTACAATTATTCTCTAGAATTGTATGTAAGATATTATTTATACAACAAACAACAACAACATTGATTAACTTTCAATTTATTTGCGGAATTAGATTAAAGATATTTGTTTCTCCAATCAAAGAAACTCTGGAACAGGTATTGGTGAAGAAATTATTAGTGAAAATGCTTTCGATTTAATGTTTGCTTTTGATGAAATTGTATCATTAGGTTATAGAGAATCTGTATCATTGGGTCAAGTTAAAGATATTCTTAAAATGGATTCACAAGAAGAAAATCTCCAAGAAGCTATCAAACAAAGACAAATCGAAAATGCCCAATCACATGCTACAATGAAGGCAACAGAAATTGCTATGCAAATTGCAAATAATGGAGGAATTCGTACTGGTGGTATTTCAAGTGCAGATAGAGGTATCGGTTCAAGTGGAGGTTCAAGACCAACAGATGTTTATGTTCCACCATCAAATCAAGGAAAGTATTCTGGTATTGGATCAGGATCTCGTGAAACATCCTCTAATGTTACTTCATCTTCGTCATCATCATCAGGAGGCTTACCAGCACAAAATACATCCGATAGAAAACTTAAGGAACAATCTAAACCAAGCAGTCTTAAACAAATGATTTTGAACAGACCAAATAGTAAGAAAGGTTCTCATTCTTTATTGAATGATCTTGTTTCTAAGGGAGATATTACTCCAACTATTGCTGAAAATACATCAGTACCAGTTTCAACAAAGATTGAATCTGTTGCTGAACAACAAAAGAAAGTTAAGGTTGAAGATATTCACTTACAAGTTAAGGAAACTTTACAAGTTGAAACAAATAGAGAAGGTGGATTAAATAGTTTGGATGTTAAGGGTGAAATGCACTTGGCAATTAACGAAACTGGAAACGGTTTTATCAAAGTTAGACTTGTAAATGATTTGAAGGATGGTTTTGTTTCTAAAATACATCCAAATATTGATAAGAAGGAATTTAGTGATCAACGTACTCTTGCTTTGAAGAGAACTGATAAACCATTCCCAACAGGTAATCCTCTCAAGATTTTAACATGGCGTTCACAAGGAAACTTTGATGAATCTGTTTTACCTTTTACTGTAAATTGTTGGCCAAACCCTTCTGGTGGTGAAACTACAGTCAGTATCGAATATAATTTGCAAGACACCAGTGCAGAACTCCAAAATGTAACAATTTCTGTACCAATTCCAACAAAGGAAGTATCAGTTGAAAGTGCTGATGTTGGTACTTATAGAGTTGATCAAAAGAATGGAAAGTTCATTTGGTCATTCGATTTAATTGATTCTTCATGTGCTAGTGGTAGCATTGAATTTGTAATTAATGAGAGAGCTGATGAATCAAGCTTCTTCCCTGTTGATGTTTCATTCACCTCTGAATACTCAATGTCAGGAACTGAAATTAGAGATGTTTTATCTGTAACTGATTCTTCTGAACAACGATATTCTGTAGAGAAATCTTTGACTGTTGCTGAATATAAGATTGTTTAAATGTTATGAAATTTTGAATAAATTAATGTAATCTCTGTAAAAATCTATTTCGCAGTTTTATCAATTCTCCTTTTTTATGCTCAACAATCACTCCTCAATACTCAAACAAGATAAAAAATGACTCAAAACGATCATCTAGCAGCAACTTCACTCCAATCATTCAATGAAATTATCGGAAATGATCAATTAGTAGTTGTGGACTATAAAGCAGTGTGGTGCCCTCCTTGTCAGGCTTCAAAACCACTCTTCCATAAACTTGCAGCTTCTAAACAATATGAAAATGTAAAATTCCTAGTTGTGGATGTTGATGAACAAGGCGAAATAGCTCATCAAGAAGGAATTAGTGCCATGCCAACATTCAAAATATATAGAAATGGTAAATTATTAGATACAATGGTTGGAGCCAATTTATATGGAGTAGAATCTTTAATAATCAAACATTTGGGACTTCCTCAAAACGTTGAAAGAGTTCTCACTGATGAAGATTTCAAACAAATGAGAGGATCTCCACTCAAAAATCCAATTGTTATTGTCATATTATTCATTGCTTGTTTTTACCTGATTAAATTCCTTGTTAGTAAATTACAATAAAACAATTTTAAATATTGTTCATCATCATATTAAAAAATAGCTAATAGGAAGAAACAAAATCACGGATTGGTGAACATTGTGTACATAATTATAAATAAGAATAGTTTAAGAGAGAAAGTAAAATGTTCATAAAAAAAGGCTTTGTTAATCATAAGAGAATTAGCAAGTTTGGTGGCCAAACCAGAACATTGAACGGAAATATTAAAACAATAATAGGAATGTTAGGAAATAATAATCCATCATCAATTAATTATTTGGAAAATAATTTATCAGCAACAAGACAATTTTCGAAAAGTAATAATTTAAAATCTACTACTTCTCCTTCCAGTGATGCTGCTGATGATTCATATTTCAATATTTCAGTTCAAATTAATCAGGATGGTATTCTGTTTAAGGAATATCCATTTGCACTGAGTAGTGTAGGAAGAGGAAATTCAATTGTTCCATTTCAAGCAATTCGTGAATTTATTCTTGATGATTCAAATCATGCAGAGATTAGAACACATAATAATGAAATTCTCTTTATGAGATGTGATTTTAATATTGAGGATTTGAAAAAAACAAACATTCCAATATATACAAGGCAGTCTATTGATCTGTGGTCAGATATTACTGAACCGTTCTTGGATTCGAGCGTTCCTCAGGTTGAAGAGAAAGTGGAACAATTAATTTCTAGATATTCAATTTCTAGAGAGGAATGTGAAAAATTATATTCAATTATTTCAGAGCCAGTGTTTGCCTACAATTTTGAAACCATGCTATGGGAATATGTTTCTTTGGATTTGGTTGATGTATTGTCATCTTTGGATAAAAATTGTCCTCTCTCTCAAAAACCATTATCAGAAGAGAAATTTAAAGAGTTTTACAATTATGCCAATAATTTTACACTGAAATACGAAAATAGAAATGATTTTACAAAGTATACGGAATAATTTTGGATCAATGATAAAGGAATTTATGACCGAATTAGATGCTTATTTGTTTTTATTATTATTTAATATATAAGTGAATGGAACCAATTAACAAATCTTAATATTAGTGGTAATTGGATTTGTATTATTTATGGTGAGGTTGGGTGTGTCTTGATAAGGGTCGTAATTATGACAATCTTCCCTCAGGAATGTCATAACACCACCCAGTTCAGTTTTGAACCCAGTAAAGAACAGTGTAAAAAAATGGAACAACATAATTCATCAATTATTTTGTCTGATGATATTGTTAATGAAATTCTATCTTTCTTTGATGATTTTAAATTTCTAATCATGAATTGTTCATTAATTTCTAAACAGTGGTATAATATTATATTATCAACATGTTATCATCTTTCGTGTAAATGTAATAACAAACTTGAATTGAATGGAGAATTTTTACAAAATATTTCATCATTAGAAATTGTTAAAGTTACATTGTTTGGTGATTTAAAATTAATTTGTCAATTGAAACAATTAATAAGACTCAATATTTCTAATAATAACATTGATAGTGAAGACGCTAAATATCAGTGGTCAATTAAAACAATTAACTAGTCTTGATATTTCTAGCAATGCTATTGGTAATGAAGGTGCCCAATATATAAGTGAATTGAAACAATTAACATATCTTAATATTAATTGTGCATGGATTGATATTGAAGGAGTTAAATATATTAGTAGTCAATTAAAACAATTAAACCATCTTGATATCAGTTATAATAATATTGGTATTGAAGGAGCTAAATATATTAGTGAATTGAAACAATTAACAAATCTTAATATTTCTGATAATAGTATTGGTATTGATGGTGCTCAATACATTGGAGAATTGAAACAATTAACATATCTTAATATTGGTTCTAATAATATTAGTGATGAGGGTGTTAAATATTTTAAAGAATTAAAACAATTAACTCATCTTAATATTTCTGACAATAATATTAGTGATGAGGGAGTAAAACATTTTAAGGAATTAAAACAATTGACACATCTTGATATTCGAAAAAATAATATTGGTGATGAAGGCATTGAATATTTGTTTCAATTAAAACAATTGACCAAACTTGAAATTTAATAAAATCTATTTTGAGAGTTTTGTAAGATCATTTTCATTCTTGCAACACCAATGTTCTCTCAAAAACCATTATCAGAAGAGAAATTTAAAGAGTTTTACAATTATGCCAATAATTTTACCCTGAAATATGAAATGATTTTATAAAGTATACGGAATAATTTTGGATTAATGATAAAGGAATTTATGAAATCTAATTAGATACTTATTTGTTTTATTAGAAATCTATGGACTTGATCCAATAATTTGCATTGTCCAAGATTCGTTTGTTCCAATTGAGCTTGCAAATGAAACATTTCCAGAAGCATCAGCAGAAAGATACTGACCTGTCCATGATTTGAAAGCATAACCACCAACAGCAGGAACAGCTTCAAACTTTTCCCAAGGACCAATTGCAGTTCTATTATCAGCAATGGTATTATTCTGTTCGCAACACAAATAAGTATTCCAATAGGTTTTAAAGGCACGAAGGAAACCATTTCCCCAATCGCTGTTATTGTAAAATGTGAAAGTTTCCCAAATACTTGCAACTGGACGATTGGCAACAACTTTACCATTCTCAGAACACAAGTACATTCCATTCGATGCCTTCAAGTAGATGATTAACCAGACTTCAATACCACGTGGAACTCTTTGGAAAGCATTTTGAGTGATGAATGAGGAAGTGACCTTTGCAGATCTTTGATTATTAAAGAGAGTGTTAAAGTCAACTGTGATTAACTTGGATTGAATGTTGTGTAAATGATCTCTCTTGTCAACACCAGTTGTAATTGGACCTTGATAATCGATGTGAACATGATTCAAACCACCACTCTTGATAAAGAGATAAGCATTGACGTAGTTTTTAATACTGACAACCTTGAGACGTTCTTGGTCAACTAAGATTAACATATGCCTAAGATTTTGATTATTATAACAATATATGTGAAAACTTACTTTGCTTCGTACTTGTTAATACCCAATCTCTTCATTGCCTTCTTGAATTCTCTTCTTCTCAAGAACCCATTACGATCCAAGTCAACTTGATAATAGGCATTCTCTGCTTCTTGTGTTAATTGTTGAACTTGATTCATCATTTCAGATGGCTTTAATAATTAGAAAGCGAGACAACAACGGCTAATAACTTACAATTTGGAAACCTTCAGGTAACCACTTTGGTTGAGCGTCTTGAACCCAGAATTGCATGTTTAGTTTTGTTTGTTTTTTTATTGTGTGAGAAAGTGCACCGATTTATTTTGTCAGCTCGAAACATTACAACAAGGAAAATGTGACTCTTGGAGGGTTTCTCTCATCAATTTCCATTTCTTGTTGAGGAAAAGAAACGAAAGGTTCGTGAAATTGGCAGTTTTCTGTTTTTGATTGTTGCCATAAAATTATTTTTCTCACAATTTTAGAATTTAATGAGACTTTACAGTAAATGACAAGCATTAGACAAGTAAACGAACTGTTTGGCTTACTCAATCAAAAATCTCACTACTACGAATTTATCAGTACTTCTCTGAATTGTTTGCATGATCATCTTCCTCACATCATCGCTCAGAATTGTGAATGTTTCAAATTGTGATGATCTGAAGAAAAACCAGGAATAAAGTCAGTGTCAAGATATTTCCATGATTGAGATTTGAACGGATAAGCCATACTACGAGACATGTCATCCTCTGGTAAGGAAACCTTAATATTGAGTTTTTTCAAACTGGAAAAGAGTTGATTCTTGCACAATTTGAATGCCGTAAAAATTGTCATTCCACAAGTTTCTTCCAAATGTTTTTTCACTATTCAAAAAAACAAATTAACTCTTAATGATAACCTGTAGAAAGAATTGAACAAGGATCAACTAATCATGGTCAATGAAACCAATAATCAGTATGCAGTTAAATTATATGATGAAACTGATCAATTTATGATTTGATATCTAAAGAAGAGAAATCATTACATTTGAGTTTCGAACCATTATTCGAAACCGATTCTTGATTCGAATAGAAAACATCATTAAAAAAAATGGATTCACCCAACCATCCACTCAACAGAAGAGAAACCATCCTTCAAAAATTAAATCAATCTTTCCATCGTCAATCCAACGACAATAACTCTCAAGTCATTACACTAAATGTTGGAGGTTTCTTATATACAACATTTAAGGAAACACTATCAAGGAAAATCAATGGAAAAGATCACTTGTTATCCATCATGTTTTCCGAAACTTGTTTAAATTTTGATTTTTCCAAAGATGAACGTGGAAATATTTTCATTGATCGGAATGGAAAAGTATTTTCATATGTTTTGGATTATTTGAGAGCAGAGGGAAATATTGACAAATTTTCACTTCCTTTTAATGATGTTTGTTTGATGGAACAATTGGAGATGGAAGTTGAGTATTTTAGTTTAATTGATTTGTCAATCTTGTTGAGAGGAAGAAGAAAGTGTTTTAAAATTGAGAAGAAAAAGTATACGAAAAGTAAAACACCCACCAATGCTACTATTACTCCTTTTGATAATATTATCGGAGGAGGAAGTAGTAGTAGTGGTGTTGGAAGTGGTGGTGTTGGAGCTATCGGAAGTGTTATTGATAATGATAATGATGATGATGATAAGGAATTGGATGAAGATGATGCCGATGAATACTCATCAAGTGTTTTATTGGATGATGAAAGTGAAATTGATTTGGATTTTGAATCAAATAATGAAACAGTTGGTAGCACTATTATAACGACAAGATTTATTGAAAGAGGATTATCAGTTATTGATCATTCAAGTGATGACGATGATGAATTTGAGAGGAAGAGAGCTCCACATAGTGCCACTACTCCAATTATAGGCAATGATGGGAATGATTGTGATGATGAAGAAAATGATGAAGTGAATGAGGATGAAGATTCAGTTTCAACATTTGATGCTGCTATTAAAAGTGTTAATACTCAGGCAATTCCAACATTGGTCATTAATCAAACATTGAAACCTCCTTCTCCTTCAATTGCTAAACAAAAAAGTCATAAGAGAACTAAGTCAACCTCACTTTTTCATTCCTATCATAATATCAAACATAGAATTTGTAATGAGAAGGGAGAACCTGTGATTGGTTATTCAGAAGATGCTAGTGTTTGTTATATTTTCCCTAATTTATCTAGATATTATTATCCAATTATTTGTAAACAACCTATTCAATTGAGAGGAATTGATAGAAGATTTGCTAAGAGTCATAATTATTTTGAGATTACAATTAGAAGTGATTTGGAAGACAGAATTGACTATGTTAATTATAATATTCCAGGTATTGTTGTTGCAATAATGACAAATAATCAAATCAAGACAATTAAGCAGCACCACAAAAAGGATTTACCAATAGATCTTAAAAAAGAAACAGTGGTATGTAATTTTTGGAATCATTTCAATTGAAATTTACCTTAATTTAGACTAATTTCAATCTAAAGAATGGAAGTTATTATAGCAATGAAGATGGAAAACAAATAATTGGTAAGTATTATAATCATTTAATGATGTTTATAATTTTTTAAAGCTATTCGAAGATATCTAGTAAGTAAATGATATTGAAGTTAATATTAATTTTGACAATAATAGTGTGGAGATAGAGTTGGAGTTCACGTTGATACCACTACCAAGCTCATTACGTTTTATTACAATGATAATGTCCTTTTCACATCTCAATTTCAATATGATGATCTAGTGTTGAGTGGTTCTAGGTTATATTTTGTGGTATTGGTCAAATCCATGTATGGAGTTGTGCCATCTTTCATTCATTTAAGAAGTCATGCTCAACATCCATTCAAATACACTTCACAACTCGAAGACAATGATTCAAAAAAGTTCAAATTACTGACGAAACGTTTAGGAGACATTCTCTCAGTCATGAATCCAGAAACTGAACCAGCAGTCACAGCAAGCACAAGGAAAATCAAATAAAAAAGTTAATTCCAACTAGTCCATTTAAATAAATTACTTTACAATCATGAAACTCTTGTAAAATTTAGATTTACATTTCCAAGTTCTTTACTGCTGGTGAACCTTTAAGAAAAAGGAAAAGTTCATCTTTAAAAAAAAGAAAAAAATGGGCAACAAGCAAACAGCAGGAAGTAATTCGCTTTCTGGTTCGATCGGAAGTAGTAGAATAGCTGTTGATGTTGATCAACATCATTTGGAAGAATCAATAACATCATTTGTTGCTGATAATTACGATCCGAATGCTGAGGAAGAATATGGCATGGAGGATGTACAAGTCGAAGAGATGAGATTGGCTGTAGAGGGGAAGATTGCAACAGCTCCATTTGAAATTGGGCAATGGGTTAAAGAAGTTTTAGAATATTCATCACAATATTCGCCAAGTTGGACTGCTACCAATATTATTGGTGAGTCTAATTCTTTTCCAAAAGTAAGTATTTGCTAGAAGCTAGGGAGATCAACACAAATAGTATGGAGATATGACCACGTGTTGGGCTCCACAATCTGCAAGTGGTTCTCATGAACATTTAATTGTTGAATTTGATAATTATGCTCTGATTGGAGGTTTACATATTTATGAAACATATAATTGTGGTGCTATTGTTAAGATTTCATGTCTTCCAGCAGGTAAATCGTATAGTATTGAAGAAGTTGACTCTGGTCAGGTTGATAATGATGGAAATTCTATTAGAAAGAATCAAGTAACTTCCAAACCTGAAGATTGGATTGTATTATATCAAGGTAATCCACAACAGTCAAGTCTTGCTAAGGAATCAAGAATTTTCGTTCCTCCAATTAAGAAATATTGTTGTGTTACAAAGATTATCAAAATTGAAATGGACACAACTGACAGTGAATCTTGGAGTGAAATTGATGCTATTAGAATGTTTGGTATCATTTGTGATTCGGAAGTTGTTGATGCTATGGCACCAGTTTCAACAGCAGTTCATCATCAAAGTAAGGAATATGTTGAGGATTTAAAGACACTATTTATTAATGAACCATCAACTGATTGTGTCTCACTCAAGCTCCCAATCAAAAAGAAGATGCTTGCATCAACTCCAGAAAACCCATTGTATATTGTATCACCAAAATTGTATTATGTTCATGAATTTTTATTGAGATATAGATTCCACAATTCTAGCATACTCGATAAGTACATTGTAAAGAGTGAGGATGAAATTACGGACATGTCACCAAGTTCAAATTCATTCTCCATCACAGAGTCAGCAGCAAATAGCATTATTAATTATCTCTATTCTGGATCACTATTCCTTTCTCCATCCATGTTTAAAGAAAGTGAAGAAAATGATTATACTTCCTCTGAAGATTTCGTTAGAGAAATATTACAAATTTCAAATGCATTTGGAATTGAAACTTTGAAGGAAGCTTGTACTCAAACTATTGAAATTTCATCATTGATTGATGAAAAATTCAGACAACATGTAACAATATCCATTTTCAACCAACTTGCTTCCACCCTCTCTGTCAATGATTTATATGAGGATATGAGAGCTGTATTTGAAGAGGCTTGCACAAAAGGTGAAAATTATGATAGAAGAGCTGCTCCTGATATCAAGATCGTATTTTCATTGTCAGGTGAGGATGATCCTTTGACTCCATCGAGTAGACCATGTATTTATACTCACTCTTCCATTCTTAAGGCAAGGTGTGCTTATTTTAAGGTAAGTTTTTGAAAATATGAAGATTAACAAATGTAAAAGACAATGTTCAATTGGGGAAATGTTACTGAGAACCCTTTCAGATTCTCTTCTGATAACATCAATGAAATCGATATTCCAGATGTGAAATATGAAATTTTCTTAAAGATGATCAAGTTTATCTATTGTGGAATCCTTGAAAAGGGAGAAATTACACCAGAAGAAGCCATTCCACTCTACGTTGCACAAAATCAATATTTACTTGATTCTTCTGTGAGTGCATCAGTCATCAAGGAGAATTTATCTGAAACTAATGTAATGGAAATCCTAGGATTGGCCGTTCAATTCTCATATCAAGAAATTTCTGAATTCTGTACCAACTATTTAATGAAGAATATTGAACGTGTTTATGTGGATGTTAGAAACAGATTCAGAGAGGAGAGAGATAATGGAACATTGAATGATGATCCAATCTATCAACATTTGAAAGAAACTAGTTACATCTGGGATTTGATAATTAATAATGATAATTTGCACTATACATCCCAGTGGGCTTATAGATTAATTGGTTTCTCATCAGAATATAACGGTTGGCCAGCAACTAATGTTATCGGCCCTTCGAACACCTACCCAGATTATGGCGATATTAAAACAGCTTGGGCTCCAAAACCATCAAAGAACTCTAAGGAATTTTTGGAATTGGAATTCTATAACCCAACATTCATTACTGAAATTCGTGTTTATGAGACATATAACCCAGGTGCTCTTGTTATGGTAACTGCTGTCACAGAATCTCAAAAGGAACAAGATGTAATCTTTGAACATGAACCAGTTGCTCACCTCCTTCCTGCACAATCAAGAATCAATGTCATTCCAATATCTGATCCAAAGAATGTCATGCAAAGAAAGTACAAATACTTACGTCTCGATATAGATACATCGAAGAATTATAGTTGGTATGAAATTGATGCCGTTTTGTTGTGTGGATTCATAGAAAAGAAATAACGATAAACACTAAATTTATATAATTTCTAAATATGAAAAATTACGAAAAGTTGATTCGATTCATATCTGAAAGAGAAAAAGAAGGAATCAAGTTTGAGTTTATTCAATCACAAGAATGGCACCATCATAGAATTGAATTATCAAAAGCAATTTTATCAATTCATGGACCAATACTTGGAATTTTCTACATATTTACCAACATTCTAATACGTGGATTGTTATTACATTCATTATGTGGATTGATAATTGTAAAAACAGTTGAACAGAAGAGAGAAATAATTGGATATACTCTCGGACATTCGTTTAAATATTTGGGTTGGAAATATCTTGTCTTTACATTAATAGGAATTCGAGATTCGTATAGGAAAAAGTAAGTTTGTTCAAATCCAACAGTTCACTTATTAAAACTGTTCAGATATTACGCAACTCATATGGTTGATTATTTAATATATCAACACAGGAATCATCTACCATACAGTGAAGTAGATGTTTTCTTCTGTAGTGACGTAAATGCCTATAATAGTCCAGTTTGGTTTCTGTGTGAGAGAGCTCAATTGCATATTTTCCAATTTTCAAAACAATTGTCTTGGTGGAGATGTTCATACTTGCTTTCTCTTGTGATGATTCCTCATTTGATTCCTGGATTCTTTTTGAGAGGACGATTCATGAACAAACCTAAACCTAAACTTGAGGAAAGTCCAGTAACAAGAAAGGATGTGAAATTTTACTTGAGGCTGGCTGTTAAGTATTTGAAAGATTTCTTGTTCCAATTGTTTGCACTTCCACATCTAGAGAGAAAAAAGGCGAGAATACTTTTCAACGAATCAGAATCGTACGGTTTCTTCTCATTCATTTTGGCAACTCTCTTCTCAACTCTTTGTGTGTTCATTGGAAGATGCATTGTAAATGAAGCATACAGAAAGAGACCTATTCTTGTAAAGGAGAGAAATTATTTTCAATTGGTTCCTTATCAAATTGAAGAAATTGAAGAACACACCTTAATACTTTCCTTTCTATATTTGGATATCATTGTTGCAGCAGTTTTTTCATTGATATTCCCAGTATCAAAGTTCGTTCTCCACAACATGACAAGTTTTCTTATTCGAAAGAAGTTTCTCATTTTCAGAAAGTTTGAATTGGCCACTTTATACCTCTGTCCCGTTACGATCATTACAGGAACTCCAATAATGAGTCCATTCATTGGTAGTTTCTATGCAGCAGAATCCAAATATAATTATCAATATGAGAAAAATAAGAAAACTGCCGTATTAGTGAGATTACCATTTCTCCTTCTTTTATATTCAGTCATGATAATGAATATCATTCCACAATTATTAATCAGATACCAAGGAGTAGTTCTTTTGAGAGAAACCATTCAAGATGATTGGTTTATTTGGTTTTCCTATTTGGGTTATTATTGTGCTTTTTATACTTTCTTTGAGAGTGTTTGCTACATACCTGGAAGTTTCTGTTATCATGCTTTTAAAAAGAGTATTTGGTTGGGATGCTTTATTGTTACAATTGGTGTAATATTGGAAGTTGCCTTCTTCTTTGGATTACAAAGATGGTTGTAAATTTCTCCTCTGAATTTCCTTTTGAACTAGAATCTTTTTAAAAACAATCTTACTAGTTATGTTATCAGCACAGGCGTGTAGGAGCATTTAACTGAACTTTGAAATAACACTGACTCTGAATAAGCAAATGAGCCAAATGATTCAACTGACTCGATATTGAAGGTTACAATGTATCAAAACAATCTTGATTAAACTGTTTATTATTCTGATTACAACATGGAAGATGATAATTCATCTACTGGAATTGATTTTTTGATCGTACAACTACTTGGTCCCCAGTAAACTAAATTAGTCGACCTTTAAACAAACAAACAATAACCCTTTAAAATCTTGGGCTCACAAAATTCTGTAAACTTTCAATCCCAGATATTATAAAAAAATAGAATGAAACACTTGTTGGATTTCGCGTATATGGGGAGGAAATTTTCACACGTTGATCACGATGGTCAATTAGTAACAAGGGAGTTTCGCAACTGTTTATTTATTCTAATGATTGCTGCTTGGATAACAATGTTGTGGTTGCCAGCACTTGCACATGGACAACAGTTAACAAAGACATTTTACATTGATTCGCTTCATGTTTCGAATACTAATTCATTCGAATGTGGAAATTCATCAAATCCATGCACTACAGTACAAGATGCTCTCAATTATTTTGCTTCGGATAGTTACATTCTAATTCAACACCAAATTTCCACCTCCAACACCTCCACACTCACCATTCAATTAACTTTCTTCATGTTAAATGATGAACACAATTTTTGTGGTTACAATTTAAACACAACATTTAATGATAATATTGATTATGAATTGAGTTTTATTGGAAATGGGGTTTCTACATTGACATGTACGAAAGGGTATGGAGAGTTGAATTTCATTGAACCTCGTTTGGATATTTCAAAAGTGTTGTTTAGTCAACTTTCGTTGATTGGAGTGGTGTTTAATTCATGTTCTTCTATTTCATTGACAGTTGTTAATTGTTTGATAACAGATGGTGGATTTATGACTTATTATCAACTCCAAGAATGTCCCAATTACGTTGCTTCGAACAGAACTATTCGAAACTTGTACCTTTCTAATATTTCCACATGGAATGGTGTTTTTTTAATTGGAAATGCAAAGAATGGGCTTATAGAGAATATTAGATGTGATGGAGTTAGTGCCCTCTCATTCAATAATATGGAATCCATTCAACTTTCGAATGTTCAAATGCCTGGTGATGGATTATTCTCTTCTAACAATGTAAACTCTATCAGTTTCAAGAATTTCATTTCTACTGGACCTACATTCAACATCCACATTAGAGAATTTAAATCATTCACAATGGAAAGTAGTTCCTTTCAAAACTATAAGTATTTTCAGTCAGCTGTCAACATTGACAGAGGAGAAAGTGCCAAAATTATTGATACAACAGTTCAATATTCCAGTCAATGGCTTTCTGCTAAAACTGTTAAGAAAATTGTCATTTCCAATTTAAGATTTTTGAATAATTATGTATTGGATGTTAGAACTTCCTTTTTAAGTCCAATTTTCATTTATAGTTGTGATAGTATTAAGATTGAGAATTCTTATTTTGATGGAAATTTTGGAACTAGATCTGGTCCAGTATTTATTGATGATTATTTGAATGTTGAAGTTTCGAATAATACATTCATGAATGGTCGATCACTTGCTTCAGGTGGTGCCCTACATTTGGATAATTATCAAGCAGAATCATTATTAGAAAAGGCGACTGTTTTGATTAAGGATAATTTATTCCTTAATAACACATGTGAAAGAGTTGGTGGAGCTGTTTGCATTAATACTGTGGTCAATTGTGTTGTTACAGGAAACAAATTTATTAGAAATCAAGCAGTGGTCACTGGAGGTGCTCTTACTATTGCTGAGCATTGTAGAGATTGCCTTATTGAATCATACTTTGAAGAAAACAAGTCAATTGGAAATTATTTAGAATTGGATTCGAATATTGTTTTTTCACAACAACTTTGGAATCGAATTATTGGAACTGGAGGTGCTCTTGCCATTTTCACAGAACCAAGATTTTCATTTAGGATTTATGGATCTGTATTTGTGAGAAATTATGCAGGAAAAGGAGGAGCAATCCTAATGGGACTCAATTTACCAATTTCTCTCTCACAAAAAACTCCAACTTTTGTGCAAGATTGTAAATTTGAGGGAAATTTTGCAACCAAAACTGGAAATGATATTTATGCTGTGAATTTTCAAGCTCCTTTATCATATGTTAGAACTTTTATTAATCAAACAGAGGGAAATGAATATAGTTTCTCATCTAGTCCCGCCATTTTTAGAATTGTAAAGGTTAGCACTAACAAAGTTTATCCTGGTCAACCGATTGATATTGCATTCTATGTGGAGAATATATTTGGAAGGGAGATTGATATTGCATCTCAATATGTGGTTATTGATCAATTTCCTAACATGCTTCCTTTTTTGAATTATTCAAATGTTGACAGAAAGTCACTTGTCTTGACTCCTTATTCATTAACTACTGAAATGCCAATTGTTTCTCAATTTAATTTCTCAGTTTATTCAGAAGATCAAAAATTTTCAGCTAGTTTCCAATTCGAAATGTTTCCATGCCCAAAAAAGTTTATTCTACAAAAGAATGTTGCCTATTCTAATCTGGTCTATCAATGTGTGAGTGATAATAGTTTAGATCTTTCACTAGTTCTTGGACTGACTATTCCAATTGGAATTTTATTCTTAATTGTAGGAGCAATTTTGGGAGGATTGTCAGTTTATGCTATTCGATTCACACTTACACAAATTTCAATTCTCAAGACGAAACAAAGAGCTGAGAAGAGTCTTGAACAGAGAATTATAGACAAGAAGATCATTTTCAATTCAGATCCTTCATCTGGTACCACTCACTATTCGAAATATAGTACAAATAGTGACCTTTCGGTTCCATTAATCGAAAATGGTAGCGCAGAAAAGAGTATGGCCACTCCATCCTTTGTCATTCCAATCGAAAGCATTGATATTATCAAAAAGTTAGCAGAAGGTGGATTAGGCATAATTTATCTTGGTAAATTATGGAAGAAAATTGATGTTGCCATCAAATTACTGAAATCAAACGATCAAGATGAAGAATTTGAACAGGAAGTTTCCCTTCTAAGTTCATTAAGACATGATAATATTGTTACATTTTATGGTATTTGTATGTCAGATGATGCCAAGTATATGATTACAGAGTTTGTTGAAAAGGGATCATTGGATAAAGCTCTGTACAAGTCAAGGATTGGAGAGGTGTCAATGTCAATTCAAAAGAAAATGTCAATATTGATAGCGACAGCAAGAGGAATTGAATATCTTCATGGATTAACACCAACAGTTGTTCATCGTGATTTGGTATGTAATATTAGTTTCACAATTTCGCAATTAACATTGTTTTTTCTCTATTGGAAGAAACCTGGTAATATCCTATTGGAAGAAAAGAATCAAGCAAAGATTTGTGATTTTGGTATTTCAAGAACTGTGTCCAATGCAACTGTCCAACAAACAGCCATGACCACTAATTTAGGTACCTTAATCTATTGTCCAAATGAAGTAATTGAAGGACCTACTTTGACTAATAAGGCAAGCAAACAAACTGCCACCAAAATTGATATCTTTAGTTTCTCCGTAATTATGTGGGAAGTTTTCTTTGAAATTATTCCTTATTCACCATCGGTAGGAAAATTAACTCCACTATTTCAGTTATCAAAAGAGGAAAATGAAATGTTGAGTATGAATTCGTTTAATATTCCTTATTTTGTGGTGAAGGGAATGAGACCATTGATTCCATTCAGAACAGATGAGCAGATTAGAGAGTGGATTGAAAGATACATGCCTGAACAGATTCACAATTCGAATATTGTTCAATTTGTAAATCGATTCTTTGCATTGGTTCAACAAGGTTGGTCAACTGATGCAACCAAGAGACCAAATATTACAACTGTATTACAAGAACTTGAAGAACTGAATAATCTGATCAGATAGTTTGCTTACAATGCTAAAATAGTCTAGTTTCCAAAAAAAAACTCATCTTTAAATCACCTTTTAAATAGAAAATCCATGAATGAAATCCAAATCAAGAGTTTATCCATTTAGAAAACAAGCTAATAGCACCTGCATTTCTATTCGAAATCATTTAAATACTCAACGAAATCTTTCCTATTCGAAACAACAACAAAAAACAAAATGAACAAAATCGTTTCTGTCTGCATTCTTGCTCTCCTTGTCTTATCTGCTTGCTTGGTCAACTGTCAATACAGCAACAATTATGGTACCAATTATGGTTCATATGGAGGAGCTGGTTCTAACTATGGTGTCACTGGTGGAAATTACAATCAATATGCTCAAAATACTCAATCCTATTTGAATCAAATTAATGCAGTCAACTCAAGTCCTTACTCAAGTTATGGATCTTCATATGTTGGCCCAACAAATTATGGTACTAACTATGGAAGTGCTTACTCAATGCCATTCTATGGTGGTTATGGAGGTTATGGTGTTCCTTATTATGGTGGTTATGGTGGTTATGGTGGATATGGTGGTTGTGTTGGTGGTGTTAGATGGTGTTAAATGATTGAAAGTAATATAGAGTTTGAGAATTTGTGAAGTTTTTGAGTTTTTCAAATAAAATCTTGAAACTATTTTAGTGAAATGTATCATTGTTTACTCTTAGTTGACTAGTTCTTAAAAATTAAATCATGAATAGCATAAATAACATGCAGAAAATCAATCCAATTGATGAAATGGTGATAGAAACACTTCCAGAAATTGCAATTAAATTAGTAATAAATGATCCATAATTAAATCTATCCCCATATAATTTCACAGCACAAGAAGAGCAATTATTTCTATTTTTGGACAACCAGAAAAATAAATCAGAACCATCACCCAATAAGACGTGTATCTTCTTTGATAGAATCATTGCCCATGCATCTTTATATTCATCCAAACGAATAATTGTTGCCTTTGGACAATTAGCTGTCACGTAGGCATCAAAAGTTGAAGTGTTGGCTACTGCAATAATTAATCCAGCTTGATTTAAATCCTTTTCAGATGTTACAATATATGTGGTATTCTCCAATTCAGTTCTTAAAATTCCAGAATAACTATATCCATAAGCACCTTTCCAAAATTAGTAATTCCATAAATATTTTTAAAACAAAACCTACATTGAAAATGAGCATTGGCACCTCTTGAATCACTATAATGAGTTGATGCTACAGCAACATCACAAACTCCCAAATTAACTGCATTTTGCAATGCTGGAAAATATCCCAACTGATTAATGTCAATCTCTGTAACATTAGCTGTCAATTTCAATGCTGGATATTGTGAAACAATTTCCTCCACAATCATTTGAGAGAATTTAGTGTAGATGACTGGCCAAGGATCCAGAGCTCCTTTATCATAACAAAATACCAAATAATTTCTTGAAATGTTAAATGATGAAGGATAGGAAAGAGATGACGAGGATGAACAAGTTGGCACACCGAGGAGGAAAGTAGTTTCGATTACATTGATCCACTCGGTTTTGGCAACGACTTTGGAAGCTGCTGTGTCTATAACTCGTTGGAAATTCTGTGTAATTTGATAGGGACTGCTTTGTCCACATAGAATGGTTAATAGAAGAAAGCAGACGAAAGTGATGGTCATGGATCCAATATTATTTCGATGCATTTTGCAAGTGTTATTGGTGGTGGGTGGTCTTTTCGTTTTTTTTTGATTAAACAATCGAATACTCGAGCGAAACCGCAACGTGTTGAAAAGGTGATTGGCCAAATACAGAAATTAACAGATGACAGAAAGTTGGTACCACCAAAATTTAATGAGCCTGAAACAGGAAATGAAGTTTGTTAATGGAAAGCAAAAATGACACATTTTGAAGTTTCGAATAGTTTACAGTTAATTCTGAAAAGATTTGGTTATGTAAGTTATTTGTGCGCCGTATTTAGTTTCAATTGTGGAAAGTGTAAGCAATTTGTATTAATAAGCATAATTCTGTAATTGAGGGAACTATTATTGTGAGTTGTTTGATCATTTCTAATAAAAAATTTCAGCAACAGGTTCTTTGAATAGTCTAATATTTCCAGGACAGCATTTCAAACTATGTTACAAGTTAGATCATAAGCATCTCTAATTGATTGTGAAGATTTAGAAGGTTGTTCAGAGTGTGAAGATAATGTGAAATCAATTAATCAAAATAAGGGTTGACTTTTCTATAGTGGAAGAGAGTTAACATTCGGTGAATATTCTTCAGATCATCATTTGAACATTCAAAAAATCAAAAACAGCAAATTCACAATACAGATCTGTTGAATAGGTACAAGAATGGTTATCCCATCGTTATTAAACTCCTTTTTCATGTTTTACTTGAGCTACAATCTTTTGCAATATTTGGCTCATCATGAATTTTTCTGCTCATCACGAATATTTTATTTATTTTTTGTGATGAGAGAAAATAAGGAAATTGCTTGCTCCGATGTTTTGCAATCTTGTGTTCTCCTCAGGTCCAGTTAAAGAAGTATCATCTTTTGAGGAAAGATGTCTAATGAAGTTAATTTTTGTGTAAGCTTGTTGTTTGTTAAGAACATCATGCAGGCCTATTAGTGAAAGTGTTAAATTCATTCACTTCACTGTTATCCACTTGTTTAATTCATAACAATATTCTTACAGTAGATAATGATTCCTAGACAGTTTTGTACTCATTACCCAATTTTTCCTTAATTCCATACGTTTATCTGCGCGGCTATTAAATTGATTGAATGACAATGTAGTGAAACAATGATTCTGGTCAATGCAACCAGAGGAAAACACACACCCTTTAAAACTTGTCAAATCAACTATTGCCTAGAGTTTACAACAAGTCAAAAACCGGAAATTTATAATATGGAAAGAGTCGCATGTTTGGCATAATCTCTCGTTTTGTTACTGCTCCTTTGTAGCTGTAAATTATGATAATTGCTAAACCGCACAACAATTAGAGGTGAAATGCATGATGATGAAAATTTTCCATCGCACTCAATAACTAGGAGAGCACAACAAGAAAAAACATTTTCCTTCGGGAAGGACCATCACTCAGAATCTTAAAAAAAAATCCCTAAACCCATCCACATTCATCATTTTGTCTCTTTTGAGGGATATTGTATCAATAGTTCCATCATTCATTTATTTATTATCAACCCAACTCAACTATTAAAGTAATAGTATATTAAACTTGTAGAATAGATTGTACAAAAGGTATGTATTTGAGTGGTGGAGAGTGTATATTTAATGAGTCTATTCATGATTTGATCATTTTTGTAATGGTTGATGATTTGTTCGTTGTATGCACTTGTCGTAATACTTGTATGGAACCTATGGATTGATAATATTGTCATGTTTTGTATGTGAAATTGTATTCATATTGAATGTTGTCCATCCACAAACACCACAATATTCACTGCATAACACAATATATTAATCTATAAATTGCAATACTATTAATAATAATAATTGCAATTTAAATAGATGAGTCTCCCAAATAACAACACTATTAGTAGCAATTGGCAATTACCTCTTGCTTGGAAGCAACAATTTGCTCTTCCATTCGTTCAAGCTTTGGAAGCACAAGAAAAGGAAAGTCCAGACAGTGATATTTTGAATAATCCATCACTCACCGAACAACAAAAACAACAACAAATTTCTGCTCGTAACATTGATAGAAAGCAACAAAAGAGACTGAAAGCAATCTTTAATAGATTTGCTTCATCGAAGGATACTTTTGGTGAACCAATAATGACACCAGAAGATTTTGTCAAATCAATCACACAAAGAAACATTCCTTTCACTCAAGAAGAAGTGCAACAACAACAAAAGCAAACAATGACCTCAAGTAACTTGGATTTATTGTTTAAAGCAGCAGATTCTGGTATGTCTGGTAAAATTACCTTCCCAGAATACTTGTTCCTCTTCAAAATGCTCACAACACCTGAAAGTGAATTCCATCTCTTATTTAAAATGTTTGATTTGAACAAGGATGGTGCTATCAGTAAGGATGAATTCAAGAAGGCAATGAAATTGAGTAATCAAAGAGGTATTGACTTTGATTTCGATTGTGACTTAATGCACAGATTCTTTGGTCGTGATGGTACTGGTTCTCTGAGTTTTAATCAATTCTCACAATTCATGAAATTAATGAATGAAGAACTCAGAAGACAAGAATTCCAAAAACTTGATGCCACAGGAAAGGGTTTCATTTCCGGTTCTCAATTTGCCACTCTCATTACTCAATATTCAATTAATCTTCCACAAAGAGTTAAGGAAAATATTGGTAAAATCCCAGAATCAACAAAGATTTCATATGCCGAATTTGATGCTTACAATAGAGTTATTAGTAATTTGAACTCTATTGCTCAATCCATTAGAGGTTTGGGTAACAGAGAAGGTGGTATGATCACCAAGGAATCATTTTCCACTGCTGCTAGACGTGTGACAGGTATTGTCCTCAGCCCAATGGAAATTGATATTATTTTCAACATGTTTGCCACTAAGCCAGAAGAAGGAGTTTTATATAAGCAAGATTATGAAGAATTTATTCGTGTTATGGATGAAAACAATAATAGAAGACAACACATTTTGGATAGTTGGAGTAGAGATGAAGTGACACCAGATGGTATGACAGAAATGACTTTCGGAGAAAGATTTTTGAACGGAGTTGTTAAAATTGCCACAAAGACCTTGTATGGTGGTATTTCAGGAGCTATTGGTGCTTTTGCTGTCTTCCCAATTGATATGGTCAAGACACGTATGCAAAATCAAAGAAAGCTTCTTGGTAATGCTGGAACTCCTGCTCCAAATCAAATCATTTATAAGAACAGTATTGATTGTTTTAGACAAATCTATCACTATGAAGGTATTAAGGGTTTCTATAGAGGTTTAATTCCACAATTGATTGGTGTCTCACCAGAAAAGGCCATCAAGTTGGCAACCAATGATACATTGCGTGATTTGTTCGGAAAGGAAGGTGATGAAATCTATTTCCCATTGGAAGTTTTGGCTGGTTGTGGTGCTGGTGCTTCTCAAGTTGTTTTCACTAACCCAATTGAAATTGTCAAGATTAGATTGCAAGTTCAAGGAGAATTGGCCAGAACTGAAGGAATTGCTCCAAAAGGTGCCATTCAAATCTGTAAAGAATTAGGTTTAAAGGGTTTATATAAGGGTGCTTCTGCCTGTTTTGCTCGTGATATCCCATTCTCTGGTATTTACTTCCCACTTTATGCCTTCTTGAAGGAAGAATTCAGAAAGGAAGGTGAAACTGCAACAAGTGGTGGCAATTTGTTTATTGCTGGTTCAATTGCTGGTGGTGTTTCTGCTGCTTCAGTAACTCCTTTCGATGTCATTAAGACCAGATTACAAGTTGAAGCTAGAGCTGGTCAAACTCAATATAGAGGTATTGCTCACTGTGCCAAGACAATCATGAAGGAAGAAGGTCCAACAGCTTTCTTCAAGGGTACTGTCCCAAGAGTTTTAAGAAGCAGTCCACAATTTGGTGTGACATTGCTTGCTTATGAAGCTCTCCATCGTTTTGTCAATGAAAAACATTCTAAACAAGAAGAAAAGGAACATCATAAGAGTTTGCCAGCTTCTGTTCCTGTTGACGAACAAGACTTGGAAAGTTTGAGACAACTCTTCTACATGAGAACACAAGGTATTTCTTCAATTCTTGGAAATGAAAAGAAGTAAATATCTCAAAATGTACAGTAAAAACCCTAATTTATTTAAATTCGAATAAAAAATATTTTGAAATATTTATTTACTTTTTTAAGAGAAATGCTGGTCTGGAAGGTTGTGAAAATCTTTCAAGACGATCCTTTAGTGAAGGTCTGGCATAATCTTGACATCTCTTCTTGAAGTCTTCCAATATCTTATTGGAAATCTCAATAACTTGATTTCTATCACTCTCCTCAGTAATATCGTTTAAAATGCTGACTTGATTTTGTTGGAAATTCTCCACGAGTTGAGCAACAGCTTGATCGAAATCATCCATAGTTTTAAATTGCTTTGGACATGGATTTGATCTTCTGTGAATATCATAATAACTATTTTCCAAATTATAGTACAAACAAAGGACATTCTTATATGTTACAGATACTTGTTGATTATTAATTGGTCCATTCAATAATTCTTTTCCAATTGCAATTATCAATTCCTTCAAGGTTAATTGTTCAATCCAATTATGAGGAATTCCTTCAACTCCATAATAACATCCCATCAATTGACCAGCAATAGCTGCAACTGTATCAGAATCATCTCCCAAACGAGTTACCTTTTTAATTCCTTCACCAAACGAAGAAGTGTGGTAAAAATTCCACAATGCACTCTCTAAAGCTTTTGCAGAATATCCCGAGTTGGAAATTTCATCTTCATTCTTTGATTTAAAGTTGGTAATGACATCAAGAACTTCAGCTCTCAATGGATACATTTCCCAATAATTAGAAGGCAATCCTTTTGGTACAAATGGAGTGGACGATAACAATTCTTCCTTTGATGCATTTTGTAAACAGCCAATCAACAAAGCAGCATAATATCTATTAGTATCAATTGCAATTGGTGAAGGATGTGTAGTCAAGGATGAAACACCACTCTCAGTAATTACTCTGTGAAGTAATCTTTCTTCAACAAATAGTTCAGATAATTCAATATTTGAAAATCTCTTCTTCCAATTCAAATATATACCATAAAAGTACAATGGAATAGTTGCCAATCTCATTAAGGCACCATTTCCAGAAGCATTATCAGTCCATTCAGAAGCACTGCAAAAAGCAGCCTTATTCTTTTCATTTTTCAACAAGTGAACTATAGTTGTCTTTCCAATATCAAAACAATGTCCACTAGCTGACAAATGTCCATTATTATACCAATTCAAGAATTTGTCTTGCATATCTCTGCCATCAATTGCACTATGAGGTATCATATCATTCACCCACATTGCATTATCCTTAGCATTATCCCACGGATAATTAACAATCAATTCATTTCCATTCGAAAGTATTTCCTTGAATGTTCCCAATAAACTTTCGCCCTGAATAAGAGACATGGTTGTATCATCAGTAAACATGCCTTTCATTAATCTGAATTTTCCTTCTCCCACCAAATCATCCCTTTTTTATTACAATTAAATATATTTAATATTTGATGATTTAAATATTATTTGATTGGAAGAATTTGATCGTCATGAATGAACAAATTTAATGTTCAGAATATTACAAAGGTACACACATACTTTAAATCGGAATCTTTAATTCCATGTCTAGGAATAAATTCAAATGTTGTTCCGTAAGCATCACCAGTGGCCATGCCTAATAAACATCCAAGAAATTTTGATTCCATTGTTGATCAATGATGATATTAGGGTGGATGTTGTTTGTTCAATTTTTTAATTATGAATAATGAACTTGTTGTGGACCAATCATGAACATGGAACTGAGAAATTTTGTTGAACTACAGTTTTTGATTCAATCAGTAGGGGGAAGACGTCCCTTATAATAATATTTAATTTTTCTTTGGTTCATATTAGACTTCCGGAAAAAGTTTTGCTAAAAGTCGACTTTTTTAAGGTACTTTCACGCTAATTTGCAAAAAGGCGCCTAAAAGGTGCCTAAAAGGTGCCTTTTTTACCTAAAAACTACTTGAAACACATCCAAAGTTTGTTCAAGAAAATCTTGAGCAACTTTCAAACTGTTTTCAAACAATTCCTCAAGAATGATTAATTACTTCTCAACCAAATTCTCAAAACGTTCAAGTATTTGCTGAAAAAACCCCAAGGGCCTTCAAACTTCTGAACACTCTCTTTCTTAACTATATCCTTTTCCAAAAAATCCACCAATTCCTTAAGAGATCCAAGGTTTTTGAATGTCACCATCTCGGGTCACTGTAGTTTTGATGGATTTTTTTACATCAATCACGAAATCTTTCGAAAGCTCTGGTCTTTTGGGCTCCTCAACTTTTCTTGGCATGATGATTGTTTTCTTTTTGATAAGGTTCAGGTTTTTTCTCTTTCTGGGTGGAGTGATGTTCAAATCAGATCTCTTCCTCTTCTGGATTTTTTCTTGTTTCACACTTTTTTCTTGTTCCTGTTTCATGCTTAATTCAGAATATGGTGTTTCATTAAGATTTTCTTCCACTTCCTCAACATCTTCCGTTCCATCAACAATAGAATCAGCAAGATTAGGGAACCTTTCAACTTCAGCAAATGCAGTAAAGAAAAGGTTGACATCAGGAAAAAGAAAGCTTCAATAAATGTGCAGGAAAGGTTTAAACATTTCTTGAATTATGCTCAAACAAATTTCAAAAATTGCTCAAACATTTTTCAAACCACTTTTTTAAAAAGGCGCCTTTTTATTTCTTTTTGACTTTTCCGGAAGTCTATTGAAACTCTTGCTTTGTTTAGGTTTCCCATAATTTTATATTTTTATTTTTATTGGAAATAAATTTTTTAATATGGAAAATCAGGTCAAGTGTTTATTAAGGATCACCACTTGTAACGGCACATCCAAAAAATTCATGTTTTCCAATCAATTGCTTTGGAATTCCCCATTCCCATAAATATTGATCTCCAGATCTTAATTCTTGCTCTCCAGAATAAATGACAAGTAAATTTGATTGAGATGAATAGTCAACTGGATCATCATTTACATCCTCATCTATTATTTCTATATCAGAATCAAAATCCATAGAACTAAACAAGCTAAAAAAGGTAAACTTGTCATCGAATGGTGTTGAAAATTCTTCAATTTTCAAAGTATTTGGAACTTTTCCTCTTTCAGTCATTCTAGGTTGGTGAGGAACTGAATGGAATTTCATTTTGGCAGCATTGCAATAGGTACGATTTCCTTCTTGTCTCTCCAATCCACCCATTTCTTTAATTTGATTTTCTGTTATGTAAAGAACTGGTTGTGAACTAGATCTCTTTGGTGCACAATAGGACCCATTACCTCCTCCATTAGGATCACAAAAGAAATAGAGCATTCCATTATCTTTAGGAAGAAGTGATCCAGTTCTATCATAATAAGACAAGTGTTTGATGTTGATTTGACAACCAAACATCCATTTCTTATCAAAAAGTGTTGGCCATTGATAGTTTTTTGGTAAATCAGGCCATCCACCAATTTTTGATTCTCCAACTGCAATTAAATCGTCTCCATTTCCAATAGAGTATCCAGAAGTTACTGATTCTAATGGAACTTTCCAATAAAGTGATTCAGGTGTTACAACTTCCTTTTCTTCTTCGGTTTCTTCTTCTTCTTCTTCATACTCCTCATCTATATCATTTTTAATTATCTTAAACTTTGGATGTAACTTTTCACAATACCCTTGAGTAATTGACTCGACAGAAAAGGTCAAGTTTTGATAATCCTTAGCATTTTCACTAAATGCCTTTAAAATATTGACATGTCCTTTTTGTCTGCATTCGTGAACTGTCGAATACTTTCCATAGGCAATTTTACAGATGAAATATTCTTTCCAGAATGCGTTTTCACTTGGAAAAGTTTCCAATAAACATTCTGGTACATCAATTGGCAGAAAGTTCAATCTATTCTTGACAACATCCTTCCAATTTACTTGATTATCAATCATAGACTTCCATCCCTTGCATACACGTCTCATCTTTATCAATTCACATCCCTCATTAAATATGAACAATTCACCAACCAATACTTCTGGTGGAATATCTTGGAGGAGTTGTCTTGTTGATTCTTTCATCTTTTTGTTTGGATTTTCAGTACTACCAACCAGTGTGCTGTTATTGACAGATCGTTTGGACATTTTTTTTGTGGTGTTATCAGTTTTGGCGCAGAAAATCAAGTTACAACCGGATTAATTAAGTACTCACTTTTTACCGAGTCGATTTTCCATGAATTTCTTGAAAATTGAAAAATGTAACCACACAAATTTTCACTTTCTTTTCACTTTCTTGCTTTTCTTTTCTCAGTGTTTTATTCTCCATTTCTAATTAGAAGATAAGTATCTTGGAGCTTTGTCCTAATTCTAATTTTACTTGATTTATGTCTCTATGTAACTTTTCAACATCTGATTTGAGTTGTTTCTCATTATTTTTTTTTCAGTTAATTCAGATTTCAATTTGGTAATTAAATCTTGTTTTTCGTTTGATTTCATTATTGCTTTGTTTGATTGTTGACTCCATAATAAGAATGAAAATAAATGAAATTCCTCTCTTTTCTTGCTTTTTCCAGTTGTTTGGATTCATTATGGCAGATTGACTATTTTGCAATTTTAACAAGCCTGCATATCAAGCACTTTGATTTTAACTATACAACCCGTACAAGCATCTGTCTTGGCCATCTTCTGGATATTGAGAGAGTACACCAATCACAGAGTGCAAGGGAAGATCTTCAGCACCTGCGGTGCTGTCAACACTTCTTCTCTAATTGTTTAATAAAATGGAAAGAACTGAATAGTTGGACAACTAAGTGAAAGACTGTAATTTGTTGCATTAAGTTTGGACAAACTTGCGTGAAATTTCCACAAACTATGACCAGTTACATTCTTCTTGTCATACAAGTATTGAAAATAATTTTTCAACCAACCTCTAAAACATGAAGATTGAAAGCAAAAAAGATATTACCGACAATGGGGCTCGAACCCACGACCCCAGGATTAGAAGTCCTGTGCTCTATCCAACTGAGCTATGACGGCTTACATTCATTGTAAAAATCAGCTTTAGATAGTGTATAATATAAACTTTATGACAAGCTGTACCGGTGATTGATGGTACTATATAATGAAATACCGAAACTAAACAGAACCTCTCTTTAACCAGTATTGTTTAAAAACTCGGAATTGAGGTTGCTTATATGGCTTAAGTATATAATCCATTTGTCTTAATTTATTATTTTATTATTTTGTGGATTTAAAAACATGAGCTTTTACTTATTAGTTTATCAATGATTGTTTCTTTTGGAGAAATGCAAGCTCAGAAATATTCAATAAATAACTCCTGTAAATAAATTTCCCATAATATTGCTCACAACCACTCAGACCAAGGATGCCAAAATTTGGGGGGAACTTGTATTTACCATCCTTAAGATTTGCACTAAGAGGTTTGTTTGTAATAATTATAGCAAGAGAAGTATTTGGGGTTCCACCTATCAGTTCAAGTTTTGGTTCATTGAAATGATTTTGATAAATTTTCTTAACAGCAGTCATTGTTAAACTGTTTGAATCTGATGTGAAACTCTTGTCTTGCCATAAGATAGTCCAATTGTTATTATCAATATTGCAATCAGCAAATCTATGAAAAAATGAAGAGGTAAAATTATTTTGAACCAAAGTGTTCTGAGGAATCTCATATTTTGATCTAGTTACATCTGTTAAAATAGTAACAACTTTGTTTGGAAATGTGTTTAAATTAATAATCCTATACCCCATTTCTTTTTGAAACATAATTCCCTTAAATCTATCCTTGATATGCATTTGAGATACTCCTAAAATAATAAAGCAATAATTTTTTACAATTTCAAAATGTGCATTGAAGATTTTAAAATCTCTGGAACAGGTGGTTTTTTTTTTAAATGCTGCTTTTTCAAGTGATTTAAATAATTTTTCAAAGGACGTCTTAATCTTAGGATCATCAAATATGATAATATTTAAACAACTCAAGATCATTGGAAGAGACATTGTTATCAATCCATTAGCAATTCTTATATATCCATTATCTTCTAATTGTCTTAATTTCCTTGTATCAATTGTATCTATAATTTCAGAATTAACAGGTGTTTCTGTTAAAGTGTGGGCCAAAATTAATTTAGCTATTTCATTTTCAAAAACAAAGTTCACACCATAACTAGAAAAATTGTTCTTGGCAATGTTGTAGGCATTTTGTATTCTATCTTCAACGTTCAATGTTAATTTTGTGTCCTTCAAATTATCCAAAAACCATTCAATCATTCTAGGATGCTTGTTAATAAAAGTAAGAGCTTTCCATAACGGTGCTGCATATTTTAAAGAAGGAACATTTCTGCAAACAATTTCTAATTCGTCATCATCAGAAAATTGGTAAGGAGTAAAATAATTACTATGGAAACCTGATTCAAAAACTCTCCTTTCAAAGAAAGCCATATCTAATCCAGCAAATAATGGAAAAAGTTTAACAGAAGATGGTTTTTGGTTGTTGAGTATTACAAAATTACATATCATAGTGATAATTTCTGAAAAATTCATGTGTGGAAACTCCTTAACTTTGGTATATTCATCAATAGCCAAATAAACAGCAACAGGTGAATCTTTTGGTTTGTTGTTAACTTCCTTCCAGTGCTGTACTATTGTCAATATTAACTCCTCAAAGGTAGGATTGATCTTGGCTAATTCAGATGCAATAGATGTAATGGTGTTTGTATCAAAACTTGGGAAATTTAAATATGAAAACAATATTCTATATAAAAATCCCATTTTTAAATCATCACCAGCTCCTAAACTCATACCATTACCAAAGGAAATTCTTATTTCCAATGAATTATCTTTGTAATTTTTTTCTTGGGTGGTTAATTTGAAAATTTCTTGTAATGTCCTTGATTTTCCTAAAATATAATAAAATAATAAAATGATTATGCTAAAGTATAACACTACATACCTGTTCCAGAAGCGTAGGCAAGGTAAGGAATAAAAATATTTTGTTTGTCTGTTTCGGTTTCTAATTTATGAAACGTTTCAGAAATTCCCTTGACAAGTTCATCATTATATTTGAATGGCATGTCGATAATTGATCGAACTAATCTATAAGCATTTAGCCTGGCTCCATGTTTTGCAATAAAACTTGCCAATAAACTACGATTTGAAAAATCAACATTGTCACAAGTAATTATGTACTGTTGTTTCCATCTTTCAATCACTTTCTCATTGTTGTCAGATATTTGAATGCCACTTAGTTTTAGGGATAACAAGTAGGAACTTTCGTTTTTAGTTAAATATTCTAAACTTTCGCTAATTGCTTGACTGATTTTCTCAGTTTGCCACAAATGAAAGAGTCTTGTTGTGAGTAGTTGGTATACCCAATTAACAACGGCCTCTAAAGTGGTTTGGGAAATGCTTTTGTAATCGTTGTTGTTTCTTACTTGTGTAATAGCATAATGCTTGTCCTTATCTTGGATATAAGTAACAATATTACTAAGAGCAATACCATCAAACCCAACATCATACAATTGCTTTACCTTTTCAACAATCAAACCAGCTCCACCTTTTCTTTCATCAGTGCACAACAAGGAGCAAACTTGTTCTTTTGTCCATTGTTTAAATTTTGTAGTATCCAATATTTGTTTGTTTTCAGTAGTAACCAACGTTACTGGTTCAGAATAAATATTCTCGGAAAGAAAAGTGGTAGTAGAATAATTTTTGCAAGAATTTGTGACGGCAAAAACATGCTTCGTTCTATAATGATTGTTTTTGTTTTTTGTTGGATGAATTTGATTTTGCATCTTTAATCTGGTTGAGGTTGAATAATTCTTTGTATTACTAGTATCATTATGCAAATAGATGGTGCAACTAATACCGACAGAGGTTTGCCTCAACTTTTGTTGATTAATTGCGGTTTTGGGCAATAGTAAAAGCTTTCGAGGGAGACAGGAGGTGGATATTTTTTTTTTGACTCGGAAAAAATTCAACAACTTAGGATGATTATTGTTGATTTTCAGAGTGGTTTCTCTTGGTGAGTACTTTTCCATCATGAAGTGTGTTACTTGGAGTTTTATGGAACAGACGGATAATCCATTTGTTAGAAAGGTAGAACTGGAAGATCACAAGAGGCAAGATTGCCAACTTATCAGTTTTACCACAAGAATACCTATTATTAGTATTTTTACTTCATCAACTCGAATATTCTAGTACCACTGTTTAAATCACCACATCTGAAAAATCACAAAAAAGAACTATTTATTATGAATAATTGATGAACTTGTTGAGAAGAAAAGCTACTTCTCGATCATGAACATGGAACTGAGAAATTTATTGAATGTTTACAATGATATTAAAATTGTCAAGCATATATTCAATAATATTGTAAATTAAATTTGTAATGTAATTTGAATTGGTTCACTTTTAATGTTTCGTTCAAAATTCTTGTTGAAAAATTCAAAAACAATTCAAAAAAATTAAAACAATTTCAACTCCGAAAACTGTTGATAAACCATTTTGATAATAATCGTTTCCATCATCATCACATTATCATCGGAAGAAAATGATTACACCAAAATTTGAATGCATTCAAAATGATGAATTTGTGATAGTGACTATTTACATTCCTCATGTAAAGATGACGGAAATGGAATATAGTATTGATAATAATTCTATTGAAGATGAAGATTATGCTCATACTAAATCATTGTTTAGATTTTATGTTAAACCATACTTTTTAAGATTACATTTTGCACAAGCATTACAAGATGAAGGAAGTAATGATTTTTCAAAGTATGATCCCGATAATGAAAAGTTAATTGTTCATTTACCTAAAAAGAATAGAGGAGAATATTTTGAAAATCTTAATATGATTACATGGTTATTAGGATCGAATAGAGAAACACAAGGAACTACTTCATTATTTAATAATTTGACAAGTAATAATATCATTGCTGAACCAACTGCACGTGATGAGAAGAAAGCTCCACTGATTGAAGTTGTCGAAAGTAATAATGATGATGAAAATAATGAAATGGATGATGAAGAAGGTGGTGGAATGTATGATGACAGTGGTGTTTCTGAATGGGAACAACAATTACCAGGTGATAAGAGTGCGTCTGAAGTGATGAAGGAAGAATTAGGTATTGCCAAAGTTTATTATGGATTCAATAAGCAATTTACTGATATTTTCACAAAATTCTCAGAGGAATATATTAAAGAAATTATTGATACACCTTATCCAGAAGTTTTACCACAAGAGGAAAGAAGAAAGATTAGAGAAATGGAAGAAGTTGATGCATTTGATCCTGAACATTATCTTCTCGATATGATGAATAAGGATAGAGATATCAAGATGATTTTTGATTATAAACCAGCTTGGACAGTTAATCCACAACCAGTTCAATGGACAGAGAAGGAGCAAAAGATGCTCTCTGAATTACCAAAGAAGGAATATTTAATTTCAAACGAGTTATCTGTCTATTGTGGTCTAGTTGATTTGCTCTGCACATTTGCTTACAATTATAGAAGTTTTATGGGAGAAAATAACGTTGAAAGCTCTTGGACTATTTGCAAGATGAGTTCACAATTATCCTGGTTGGAAGAATTGACCAATCTGAAAGATACTTTACAAATTTTCATCAGTCGTTCATGTTGCTTTGCATTATACAGAAACTTTGATTTGGCCCTCCAATGTATCAAAGATGTTGTCGATTTACTCATTCTAGGAAAGGAATATGTATTGAGAGCTCTTTTAGAAATTAAGGATATTTTAGCTCACACTTTGGACAAGTATTTACTCAACAAGATTTATGTTGATAATTATTGTATATGGATCCAAGGTGTCTCCAACCAATCTCTTTCACAATTAGGTCAAGCCATTCTCAAAGTTGTCAATGAAGATTTCCTTGGCCAAAGAAGTGAATTCCTAATTTCCAATGCAGTTTCACTCAAAAAACTCGAAGATTATGCTCAAGATTCTCTCGAAGAAGTTGGTGGAAATGTCGATGATCTCGTAATGACTGAACAAGATAAAGAAAGACCACTGGCTCTTTAAAACTGTGAACTAACTAAAATACCAATTAATTTCGAATATTGTATGAGCAGCTAAAAAATTCCCGCCAAAAATTTCTACAACACAACCAATATCCTCAACTGTATTTATCTCTCACTACAAATTCATGCTCAAACAAAATCACAATTAAAAAAAAAACAAAGAAACCCTTCTTTAACCGTTTTTCATAATGAATCATAATAACACAAGATTGTCGTCGTTATCTTCGGGGGTAGTGATACAAGCAACGAGGCAAGTGAGAGATTTGGCGGCTATGGAGACAGCCTCAACCTCATTGAAATCGACACCTTCCGAGCCAGTTTGTAAGATAGTCACATCGTTGAATGAGAATACTCAACAAGTGGATGACAAAAGTCTAAATTGTGTACAATCAGATTCGAGGAGTGATACTGTTTCGTCTGTGAGGGATTTGTGTAGAGCTTTGAGTAAGAAATTATCCCTCACACAACAAGATAAACAGAAAGATAGATTCCAATGTTTATTAGATCATGTGAGATATTCGAATAGTGGATATCATCTAGAGAACTATTGTACATATGACAAAATTGTTGATTGTAATATATTTTCAAAGAGAGTACCAGTTTCAAATGTATTGATAGAAGAAGTGACGTTTAAGGATTTTGCCACTCTGTATATTTCCTCCAAATTGAAACAATCCAACTTGAGGTTAATAGAAAAGGAAGAGCTAGAAAGAAGGTATTGTCTTAAATTAATGGCAACATATAGTAATTTTAGACCAGCCAAGCAGTCGTTAGAGATTCAAAACTCAACTGGTAATGAAACTGTCATTGGTGGTAATTATCATGATACCATTTACTGCTGCGAGTTTACTCTTCCAAAATCACAAACCAAATCATTCATTTTACTGGAAGGGAATTCAGTTGATTCCAATCACAAGTTCAAGCAATTTTTACATGTATTTCGTGTCTATGGAGAGGATTTATTTTCAAAGAAAACTTTTAGTCATTCCAAAAATTTATGTGATATTACCATTCACACCAAGTAAAACAAAGCACTTTTCAGTTATCATCTTCTGTTCCAGTCCATAAAAAATGTTATTCCAATGGAGAAGACAAATTAATGGTAACACTCGATAGATCGCAGAGAAAATCTTTAATAATCATGGGGTAACCCAGTAAACAAGAGTTTTTAACAACCTTTGTTAAAACATCAAGTCAACGAATCCATCAAAAAAAATGTCCCAACAATACTTTTCTCGTCAATTAGTAGTATTCTGTCTAGTGGCGGCTCTTGCAATGACCTCTATGGTTCAGGGTCATACTATGACAATGCATGCAAAGCTCGTCAATGTCATTCATCAAGTAAAGAACAAGATGGCAACAACTGTTACAGATCCAATTCCAACACGTCCTCCACAACTTCCATCTGCATTCAATGCAACAGTAACTACTACAGTACCATTCATTGGACAAGTCACTGGTCCTTTCTATTTTGATTATGACAATTCAAGAATGAGAACTGATGTTTCAATGTTTGGACAATCTCAAGCATCCATTGCTTTTTACAATGAAATGGTTCAATATGATATCATGTTACCAAATGGTCCATGTCAAGTGAAAAAATTGACAGATCCTATTTATCCATTCATTATTCCACCATTTGCCACATTTGTTGGATTTGAAAATGTCAATTCTAAAAATTGTCAACATTGGAACCTCCATTTGAGTCCATATATTATGGATTTTTATGTTTCATCAGATTCTAATGAAGATAATGGAAAGGATACTTATTATGTGGTTAGATTTACACTTTCTACTGATCCTACCTATCCTATTCCAATGAATGTTCAAATGGATTTTGAAAATGTTCAAGTAGGTCCACAACCTGATTCACTTTTCTCAATTTGGAAGAATGCTGGTTGTCCAGTTCCAAAACCACCAACCTATTATTCTGTCAGTGGATACACAAAGAATGCTTTGAATGGACAAGTTATTCCAAATATTCAAGTTTCTTTGAGTTATGGAAATCAATATTTCAAAACTGCCTCAGATAAGAATGGTCTTTTCACATTTGACAAGGCCTTGGCAGGTTCAAATATTATTTTGAGTACTGAAGGTTTCACTAATGCAGGTTATCTTCCAATCAAGCAAAATATTTCATCACTTTCTGGTAACATTAACGCAGGAACAATTGCTGATTTGTTCTTGAGTCCAGTAATTCCATCAGGTCAATGGAGAGCCATCTTGAGTTGGGCTAGCTCACCTCGTGATTTGGATCTTCACATGATGATGCCAAATGGATGTCATACTTACTTTTCTAATAAGCAATGTTTCACTCCTCAAGGAAATGCCACTTTGGATCACGATGTTAGAAATGGATTTGGTCCAGAAACTCTAACTCTTTCACCAAGTTCCAATGCAGCCAATTCTGAATTCAACTATTTTGTTTATAATTATAGTAATGAAGCAAGTTATGTGAAATCTCAAGCCCTTGTAAAGATTTACAATAGTGCAGGATTTGTTAATCAAATTCAAATTCCAACAAGTGGATATGATACAAGTGCTCGTTACTGGAAAGTTTTCAAGTTGGTTATTGATGGAAGTGGTCAACCTCAAGTCAAAATTATCAACACAGTTTCTCAAACTAATTTAATAGTTTATTAACAATTAATAAATTTTTTTCAGAAGTTAGATAATTACATTATGTACACATAGTTATTATTATATTTACAAATTCTGACCACCAATAATCTTTTGAATTATTTCCTTATCTTTAGTTTCCTTAGCATAATCCAAAATAGTCCTTCCTCTATTATCCTTAGCTTTCAAATCAATTGAGTGAGTATCTATGAGAGCATTAATACTTTGTCTGAGTCCACTCTTTTGATCGAAAGGATTCTTCTGTTTACTCAATCTCTCCATTGCATACATTAGAACATTTCGACCTTTCTTATCCTTTGCATTAATGTTGAGTGAGTCCTTTTTCAAAATTGCAAGAACCAATGAAAAGTAATCAACACTGTACATTAAAATTGTTTTTCCCTCTACATCACAATCATTGACACTGTAATCTGATAATATTTTGAACATGATTGAGGAAAAACCCCGTTCAGTGGCAAACATTAGAGCTGATTGTTGAGTTTCAAATGTTTTGAGTGAATAGTCAATTCCTCCAATAGACATTAATCGAGTTACATATGAGAAATTTTCATTAATAATAGCATGCATCAAGAGAGTTTTTCCCAAATAATCTTGCTTATTGACCAGTCTTGGATTAATGAGCATTAATTTTTGAAGATGAATTGTAAATTTGTTATCGGAATTGGAATCCTGAACACCTCCACTCATCATACACATAGAAAATAACATTTGCAAAATAATTTCATCCTCTCCAAGTCTGATTGTTGGTGAAATTATTTCTTGAATATTAACCTGTTCTGATGATTCATTCTCGAATTGATAAGCAACAATATGAGACATTTTTTAAATATGTAATAATATTAATATTAAAAAGAACGTGATTGTAATTTTAGAAATTTTAGTTGTATTTTATGTTTGAGAAATTTAAGCTCTCTTCTTGTATTGTCTAGAAGCTCTTCTACCTCTGCCCAATTCACCGTATCTACCTTCTCTCTTAGTGCTACCGTGCTTGTATGGCTTGGCGTGAGAACCAGCTTGACCTGGAGCCAAACCGAAGTGCTTCTTGGCTTCAGTATTCTTGTTACCTCTCAAGAGAACGCAACCCTTACCGTCTGGTGAGATTTGGGCCAATTGATCGAAAGTCAAGACTTGACCACCGTTTTCAACAATTCTCTTTCTGGCAGTTTCAGTAACGTGCAAAGCACAGACCTTCAAACCCTTTGGAGCATCCAACAAACGAGCATCATTGGTGATGGTACCAACAACGACAGCAACTTCCTTCTTTTCACCAACGAGCTTGGTCAATCTGGCGAGAGTGACTGGTCTTTGTTCTCTTCTAGTGTGCAACATTCTGGCCAAAACCTTCTTGTTGAATTCAGCACCAGTTCTTCTGGCCAAGAGCTTGTAGAGCTTGACCAAGATGGACAAGTAGACGTTTGGAGAAACCAAATTCTTTCTAACGGACTTCTTTTCGTGAGTCTTTGCCAAGTACTTCTTATCAATACCCATCTTTAACTTTTGATGATAAATAAAAGCGTAACAGTGATACCTACTTTTTCAGGATTTTTTTTTCAACAAACTTTTAAAATTTTTGGTTGAGCATTCTCTGGTTATTTTACAATGAAAAATTTTACCTCCAAATCCATATTGTTGTTCTCTTTTGCGTGTTAAAAAAACAGGGACAATTTGTTACTTTCATCAACACCATGATGTTTTGAACAATACAATCCTACCCGAGCTAATAAAACATGCAAATTGGAGTAAATTATTTTGCTATTGGATTCATCTACCTAGTACTAGGATTATAACACATCATCAAGATAAACATTCATAATGATACAACTCACCGAATACTATTTATTTCTTTTGGCCTAATTGTTGAGCAAATTGTTGATAGAATTTTTGGTATTGTTCTTGTTGCTCTTTGGAAAGTTGAGAAAGTTGAGAGTCAGTATTAGGATAGGATGCAGCAACTTTAGAACTTAGGGAGGCAGAGACCTGTTGATGAATATTGGTCTTTTCATTCGATCCCTTAATATAATTAAAGTAATCTACCTTTTTTCTATCATCATTGGCCAATGCTCCTTGTTTTCTTAGATTGTCTCTATATGTTTGTTCACTCTTCTTTTCATCAGCTTGTTGAGGTAAATAGTGTTGATAGTATTGTTGTTCTACAGATTTTGTTCCTTTGATATTAGTGGCAGCACCAGCAGAAACTTGTTGTAATTTGGAATTCATTTGTAAATGTTCTGGAATAATTGGATTTTCTGGTGTGTAACCTTCTGGATAGTGGAAAGGAAGTGAGGTTGTTGAAATTTTCTTCTCTTCCAAAGATTCCTTGATTTTGTTTTTCATTTCCTGCTCGTGACGTTTGGTGGCCAATGGATTTGGATCATCAGCACTCCAACGAATATGAATAATATCATCATTATCCAATGATTGACCTAGCATGGCTTCCTTTGCAAATTCAGCACACAATCTATTCTTGTATTTTACAAAAGCATAACATTTTTCTGGAAATGCTCTAATATATTCAACTTCTCCCCATTCTTTGAAATGTCTCAGTAAAACTTCCTCATAATCAACTCCTGAAACATATTTAAATCCACTCACATATAAAGTACGACAATCCCTATTGAAAGAACCAACACCTGACATGTCATCACGATCAGTTGCATGTTTAGGTCTTCCGAAACAGTCTTTGGTAATTGGTATTCTACTAGCATCAGATGTTGTTGGTATTCTGTGAAGATATTTACATTCTGCTCCTTCAGCACATCTTCCATGAGCAAAGAATAGACAAAATACCGAATCCTTCAATGTACATCCAACAGTCCATCCAGCATCTGTTTTTATATTACATCTACTTTCTGCAGGTTCAATTTCCTTCTTTTGATGTTGTTGTCCAATATATTTATGATACCAAATGTTGTATTCTCCTCCGGTTTCTTCTTTTTGTAAATTTTGTTCGGCTGTTTTTCTTTGTGCTTGTACGCGAGCCTTTCTTATCTTTTTTACTCCACCACTGCTCGGGGATGGCACATCACTAATTTTATCTGATGATGAAGAAGAAGTTTGATTGACCATTTTTTTAATATTTTGTTTTTATTTTGATCTTTTGTTGTTAAAAGGCTAAATGTTTTTTTAGAAAATGTTCATACCAACATTTTGTAATCTTTAAATTAAATAAACAATGGAAACTGCTGGATCACACAACGAGACTATGATAAAATATGTTTTTATTAAGCTTTCTTATAAAACCATTTTCATGAGATTACAACAATCTCCACAAGTGGCTGGAATTGTTTTGAAAGGCTTTCTAATTCTTTCAATCTTGGCACCGTTTTCACCTGGAATATAATCGACAACTTCATAGTTATCATAGTAAAGTCTGGCAACTTCCACAAATCCTACTTTGGCATAGAGTCTTTGAGAGGCAAATCCAGTACATTCAACCATAATTTGTTCATAGTTTAATTTTCTTGCCAAATCCATTGATGCAGTGAACATTTTCTTGACAAGTCCAGATTGTCTGGCAAATCCATATGATCCAACAGAACAAATCTTTAAAGTTTTCTTTTCCAATTCATGAGTATTGTTGGTTCGCTTCAATTGATTGTGATAGAGATCATGTAAATCATCCAACAATTTCAAATGAAGCAAAATACCTTCATCTGAAGAATGTGGTTCTTCCCAATCATTGTCATCACTACACAAGTGGAATGCAACAACCATGTTTGAATTCTTTTCAACAGCAATGTGTGAAACGCCACCTTGAGCACATCTCTTAACATATCCAACTGCGTACGGGAAATAAGCTGTTGGAGTAGTAGAAGTGCCAATAGCCAAAGGTTCTTCTTGAGCAAAAATCATGGCAAGAGCAAGGGCTGTCTGTTGGACGTATTCTTCTGTTAAAACACGAACTTCAAATTCTGATGGAAGAACATTTGGGTCAGATCCCATTCCATCAATTCTAATGACTTGAGTAACATTATTTTGAGTATTCATTTTGGTTCAATTTGTTGATTGATAATTAATAAGGTTGATTTTCACGGTGTGATAAAGATAAGAGTTGCACCTCTAATTGAATAATTGCAAGGTCTGTATAATGGTTTTCTTGTTGAATCAATGATGAAAGGTTCACCATATAGTATAATGTTATTGATTGTACTAAAAAGTTGTTGTGATATTAATCGTAGAATTAATATACTAGCAATAGTATGTATCGGAGAAGAGTAAATGATGATACTAATTAATTTAGCTTGTTAAACAATCAGAGAGAGGAGTATCTTAAGCAAAATGCAAGAAAACTTCGCGTTGTTGATTTGTTTGATTTTTTTCAAGTTGAGCGCGTCAAACTAATTTTGCACTCTCATAATCTTCTTATCTGTGCATTGATAGCAGCGGTTTTTTACATTATCGAAATGGTACCCACCAAAAATCTAGAAGGAGTTTTTTAAAGTGTTATGAAAGACAAGTAAGGTGAGGACATTTATGGTTGCTACTGATAAGACGTTGGTCCAAAGGTTACAATGATAAAATATCAATGCACTACAGTTTTTTCTTGAATGGAATTAGGTTGCATTTGGAGATTTGGTTTAATGGAGATTAAGAAATGGAACAGGAATAATGTGAATATTTGGAGATGGAGAGTGATGCAGAATTGATATTATTTTATTGAGTAATGACAACTGTTTGAGAAAGGGTATTGATAATTTCTTTGGAAATTTTACATTTTTCAATCTTTAACTGTTTCAATTTGCCCTTCTTGCAAAGTTTCAACAATTCATCACCAGTGATGAGAGTATTTTCAGAAATGTCAAGAATTTCTAGAGATGGACAGTAAGCTAAATGTGCAAGTCCTTCATTGTTGACATGGATACATCTTTGAATGACAAATTCTTTGAGTGAGGTACAATTTTCCAAATACTTCAATCCACCATTGGTGAATCCTCTCACACCTGTCAAATTGAGATATTCAACCACGTTGCTCAAATGTTTAGAAATGCATTCTAATGACTTGTCAGTAATGTTGGAACACTTTTTTAGATTGAGATGAGATAAATTCTTAGAGTTGATAATAACTCTTTCAATACCGCCATCTGTAATCATATCAGAGAATGATAGGACAAGTTCTTTGAGATTGCAGGTCCAATCAGATATTACTCTTAAACAATTGTCTGAAGTAAGTTTACAGCCCATCATACTGAGCTTCTCTAATTTTGGAAGGGATCCAGATCTTACTCCAGAAATTTCCAACAAGTGACAACCAGTCAAATTAAGAACTCTAATATTTTGGCAACTATTCACAAGTTGAGTCAATCCCTTTGCTGTAATATGTCTGCAACATTGAAGAGTCAAGTCCTCCAATTCAGTCATTTCTGATAAATACCTTACACCTTCATCTGTAACTTGGTGACAGAATGTCAAATCCAAATATTTCAATTTAGTTTTACATGCAGATTGAGACAAGTGCTTGACACCAAGATCTGTTACATTTACACATCCTGTCATGTCCAAATAATTCAATTGAGAAAATTGGCTAATGTAAGACATGGCAGAATCATTAACTTTTGTACAACCTCTAAGATTTAAATGGGTTAAATTTTGGCTGATATATGTCAAATACTTGACACCATTGTCAGTAATGTAATGGCATCCTTGAACATTGAGAGTGTGCAATGTTTGAAGACCATAATTTGGTTCTCTACTGTTTGGATTTCTCTTTGAAGTGAATCCAAAGTTTCTCTGATAATATAATACATTGAATGGTGTTGGAGCAATAGCTTTGCTAAACTTGGTATTTGTAAAACTGGAAATATCAGTTGATGCAGTTGAGGTTACATCATCATCTTCTTCACCAATGGCTTCAGTATTTTCATCATCCTCTCCATTGTATGATTGAGTATCAAATGCTGTACTACTGTATACACTTGCTGATTCATCAATTGAATCTAAATGTTGCTCATAATCAAAGTTGAGATCAAAATTACCACTGATAGGATCAATGGCAGGTGGCATTGCCAAATAATCAGCATTTGAATAAATGTACTTGTGAGCCAATTGCAATAGACCCTTATCTGTGATTTGAAAATCTTCACTACTCCCTGAATTACACAAATCCAACACTTCCAAAAATGCAAACTTTCTTACAAACTTTACAAAGGTATCTTCATTCATCTTTCTCAATGGTCCAAGAACTTGAACTGTGTGAACTCCTCTGATCCACATACATGCAACTATTTTTCATTTCGAATAACACGAAGATTCTTATACTTACACTTTTTAGAAACAACTGAAAAGTTCTTTGCCAAATAAACTACTGGAATATATTGAAATATTTGAACAATAATCTCATCAGGTAGATCAGAAAAACTAAATTCATAATCAGATCCATATCCAAAATCAATATCACTATATCTGATTAATTGACTTGTATCTTCTGGATAGTAAAACTTTTTTCTCAAATTTTTAATTCTCTTTTTATGTTTTCTTCGCTTTTGTTTGCTCTTACTTTTTAGGAAACTTGAATTTGATGTTGGACTTGCATTTACAATTAAACTTGATTTTTGATTATACGAATTGATATTAGAATTTGTTTCCAAAGAAGATTCAACATTTATCTTTGGAATATGAGAGGAAGATGAAGATGTATTCTTTGCTGATTCGGCATGATTTACTACATTCGGGGATGGTTTTGAAAGGAACAATCGTGCAAGATTAGTACTTGTTAGAGAAAGTCTCTTGTCATTATTTGAAGATGATGTGACAGAAATAGTACTATTTGTATGATGTGTTGTTGTTGATGGTGAAGATGCTCCTGTTGGTGTTGTATTGATAGGTGGTTTGTCTTTACTCTTTTTCAGGACAAACATTTTTTTCGAATGTCGATTTTCAGATTAGTTTAGTTGAGGAGGAAACATCTTCTTGGTGGTTCCTTGTTCTTATTGTTCAAAGTACCAATAAAGGTGATTGACTAGTTTTACAAAATCTGATTGTTTGGGGACGCCAGGTCAATTTTAAAGAATTGCAAGTTTAATAGGAGTACAAAATATTTAAGGTGGATAATTTAAAACAAAATTGTTGGCAAATCAAGTTTCTTAACATTGACAATAGGAAGCTGGTTGTTCTGAAGTGGATTCTTGTGTGGACTCTGGTAATTTAGTTTGACGAAGAGGAACCAAAAAGACATCATTACCAGAAGTAGTTGGTGTGGAAGGAGTTGGATTTGATGTAGCAGAAGCGTCAACAGCTGTTGGTAAGGCATTTGCAACTTTGGTAAAGAGAGTTTTGATATTGTAACCAGCTTTGGCACTTGTTTCGAGGAACATAATTCCATATTCCTTTGCTTTTGATTCTCCTTCCTCAATACTGACCTGTCTTTTATCACTATCACTTGCCAAGTCAGTCTTATTTCCAACTAAAACAACAATAACATCATCTCCTCGTTCAGTCCTAACATCCTCAATCCACTTATTTGTATTCATAAAACTTTGTTTACTCGTTATATCATAAACAATTATAGCAACTGATGAATCTCTAATATAACTTGGAATTAAACTTCTGAAACGTTCCTAAATTTTGAAAATTAACTTTTTCCGATTTAAAAACAAACATACCTGACCAGCAGTGTCCCACAATTGAAGACGTACTGTTAATTATTTAATATTATTGTTGTCATCATCCTTTGTACTTACCAGTTCGATCTTCCAAATACATTGTTTTAGAGAGGAAATCAATTCCAATAGTATTCTGTTTTTTTACAATTATAACAAATAATATCTTGGAAACACTTACATGATAGGTAGTGTCAAAAGAATCATACATAAATCTTGTGATGATGGATCTAATTATTACACAATTCATCAAGTGCATTATTCACATCCAATAATAATAACAACATAAATATTAACGGTACATTATCATTCCGAATATAAAAATCCAATTCATCATCAATAATAATAAACCAACTCATCAACAATAATCTACCTACGTTTTTCCTACAGCCTGATCACCCAAAAACACAATTTTATATTTATTAGCAGGTATGATAGCAATGGATTGTGATGTGTTCATTTTTTCAAAGTATTTAATTTTCCTTTATTAATAAACCTGATGAGGTGGCTTCTTCCAATTCCCTTCAAAGATAAAAATAAGATTTTTGCATTGTCATGATTGGGTTGAGCGAGTTGAAAGTCTAAGGTCTTTTGAAGAATACTTTGGTGATGCATTGGGTTTGTGCAAAGACTCCAGTCAAGCTTATTGAAATTGTAACGTGTCTCAAACTGTCCATTGTAAAGTCGTCAAATGAAACATTGCAAAATTTGGCTGTGAATTCGAGTTTTGGCTCTAGCTGGATTTCCTTTCGTTGTTCCTTCTTGCAGACTTTGTAGAGTTTTTGTACATTATTCAATTTGTGCTCGTCTTGAATTGAGTTGGTGGAAGTATTGTTGCCTTGAAGTTTTGAGACTAAATTGTCTAATTTGCTTGTTTTGAGCATTTGCTTTCCAGAGATGATACAATTAGAGATTGGATTGTTGAATAGGATGGTGTAAAGTTTCTTAATGATCAACATTTGATCTCTTCTCGTGAAATATCTCAAACCAATTCGTTTAGTAAAGTATTCAATCTTACCTGTGAGGAGGTCGTATAAGGAGAATAATTGATTGAACTGCTTGGAAATTCTATCTGTAAGATCGGTATAATCCTTTGAGGAGAGAATCATTTCAATAAATCTCACAACACCACTCATAGATGAACCACTAGATACCAGTTTGGAATGGAAGCTTTCATGGAGCACATTCCTATTGATTTGAACAGTCTTGAATACTGTATTAGAGCTCTCCAAAATGAAACCAACACTCTTTTTGAGATAAATCTCGAATGATTCACCTTTTGGAACGAAATATCGTGCTACCTTCTCGTCAAAATCTTCCTCAATTTGAACCAGATCTGCAACCATGTTTTGCAGTGTTTTCCTCTTATTATTGTCATTCGGCATAAATTCCTTATTTAAAATACTTTGCTGTTCTGACAGATAGTATTTGTACTGCAAATTGTTTTTGGAATGTCTGGACCTTTCTGAAAGGATATTCGTTAGAATATTCGAATCATGAAGAACTGAAACTGTAAAGTCTCTAGAGTTCTGACATAACTTCATAGTAGGAAGGGAATTAGATCTTTGATTCATTTTAGGAGTGGTTGTTTCAAAATTGTGTTGAATTGCTGAATAGGGTTGTGAGGGATTTAGAAATATGAATCCATCAAGGAACCAAAATGATTCATCACAAAGTATCCTCTGTTCATTCTTCATGGATGAGTTCTTACAACTATCGTCTTGATTAAGCAGCAAAATTGGATAGAATCGAGCAGTCACTCGTCTATATTCATTTCCAACTCTCTTTGAGAATGAAGGCATTCTGGAGTTGGCCCAAATAATATTCTCATCGGTATAGTCTTTCCTCAAACCAATCAATTCCTTCTCCACTGAGGTATAAACTCTCATGTAATTGGAAAACTTGTATGTTAAATTCATCAAATGAAATTGGTCGTTAAAATTCTCAACTTCAAAGTATTGACAAACTGTTTGAATTAATTGCTCAAAATCCCTACATGCAACTCCAATTTCATATATTGGTTGGATTAAATTCTCTCTCGATTCTTCAATAATCAGGGAACTGAGGAAAATGTTCACCAATTTGAGTCGAAAGATTTGTTTGGTGGTGAGGAAGAGAAAAATCCTTCTCCATGGCAAACAGCAAAAACTCTTCATGCTTTTTTCTTTGTTTTGTGTTCAAAAGCAGAATGGAATGTCCACCTGAAAATCAGTTAGGCATCGAACTGTCTTTTGGTTTAATTCCATACTGTTCTTCCTTCCTTTTTTGCTACTGTTTCCAAACAGTCACATTCAAAATCCAGAACTCGACACTCAATGAGATCTTTTGAAATATATCAAAATCAAACGAACTCGATCATCAACTCGATTCAATACTTTACAATTTTGCTTTCGTTGTCTTTTCAAATTTGACTTTTTGGGAATGAATTCAGATTTCTTTCAATTTATCCACTTTGAAAAAATCTTTCATCACTCTATTAATAAAATTAATTCTACAGTATCTTCCTCTGTTCCAATAAGATCTCAAAAAAATCACAATCACCACAATCTTCACTCATCATGATACAAATAAGCAATCCTCAACAACATTCCGAAAGCCTTTGATATTGTTTACTGGATAACAAGCTGTTCTGGTCCGCTTGCGCATGGGTTTTTCAATTGTTGGGCATTTTTTTGGTGGTCAGCACTTTGAAAATCAAAAGCACAAAAAAATGAGCACAATTCAAGATACCTTCGGAGGTGGTAGTAGCATGGATGATCTTTCATCATTTGGCTCCTCTTACACAACAGGTTATGATTCTTCACGAGGATCAACGATTGGAAATGTTATATTGAAGGATATTGTTTCATTTATAATTTCGGATATGAATTTAATTAATCATGGAAATGTTACACATAATCAGACGAAGGGAGGAATTAATTGGGAGCAAGCGCCTCAGGGAGCAATGACTGCTATTGCAGCTATTGTGAGTTTGATCTGGCTGTGTTTTAGCTTGAAGGGAATATTTAAAAATCAAATTAGTTTACAAAGAAAGCTTTTTTCAATGATTTTGGGTACTTGTACTATTAGAACAGGTATGTTTTGGAATGATCTTTGAAATTAATTCAAATAGCTCAATCCCTTATTTTCAATCAAATTTGTTTTAGACATAATAGAGATGCCGAGATTTGTCCTACAATTTCAAAGGTGTCTCAAATTTTAGATATTTATGCTAGCTCGTTCAATTTTGTAATTTATCTTATTTTGGGCCTCTATTGGGCTGAACAGTACTTTACATTGAAGAGGATTCAAGATGATAATTATAGTTTCTCCAATTCTCAATCTGAAGTTTCCACATCTGTAAATTCCACCTACTTTTTGAAAGTGAGAAGGGTTATCAATATTGCATTTTGGATTCTTTCAATATTTTCTTTCTTATTTGTTACACCATTTGCTGTCTTGATTGTTGCTATGGATCACAAAGGATTTGGATATTCAACAGTTGCCTATCAAGTTTCAAGATTGGTAATTAGATTAGTGTTATCATGGGGAGTGTGTTTGACACTTGTGGTTTTTGGTATGTAATAATAACTTGATCAATTTACTTAATTTCCCATAGGAGTACTCGTTTTTAATTTGTATAGAAGAAGTAAGCTATCCAACTCTGAACTTTCTTCAAGGAATATTCAAAAGGTGGCCATTATTACCATTGTGTGTACTACAGCTTACTTCTTCCTATCAATCACTAATATTGTAACAACTATTGAATGGGAGTGGTACCAAAGTTTTGAACATGCCTATGTCTTTTATATTGTAAGTTATTTATTGAGTTACAATCTCTAATCTCATTAAATAGGTATTTGCCCTTATTGAGCTATTTGCAAACACAATTTTACTACTTTTCCTTCCTCCAAAGCCAATTGTCATGGCTCTTGCTAACCTTTTTTCATTTTGTAGAAGAAATGTTCCAGAAGAGGAGGGATTTGCTGTACGAAATAAGTTATTTTATGATAATATTGTTACACTCGATGATGATTCCTATCACATGGACTTTGAACATACAGAAGATGATTTCAGCGAGCATGCAGAAGAAACCTCATCTATTATCAATAATAATTTTGCAAATAGAAAGGCAAAAAATTAATAAGTTTAGCATCCTACTACTTGTTGATATATCTAGTTTTCAAATGATATATTATTTGTGCACATTTTGGATGATTGTAGGCAGATGAAATTCAATCTATGGAAAATAAGCAAGTACTGATTCTTTGGTTCAGAACTATTTGAAAAATACCCGATTTAGTAAATATATTACAGTTAGATATAAACAAAATAGTTTATTAGACACTCCTTGTTGGGTATTAAGGTAACTTGTTTGATAGAATGTCATTGATGCATCAACTGACAATCTTTTCAACTCTTTTCAACTTTCTCTTATCTTTACCTGATAATTTTAGATATCCTTGCTTCTTGTCTGATAATACTAGTTTTTGATTGGTGGCATTCATAATTGTATCAATCTAGTTTTCCCCTAAATGATAAATGATTTGGGCAATTTTTTGGATGATCGACTTTGTGAGCTGATGCGATTTGCCTAGATTGGATGCATACAAGATGGCAGCCCGTTTTAACCACATGATACCTTCTTCATACTTGTTCAAAGAAAGGCAGACAGTTCCCAATTTCCTTAGATAGTCAGCTTCTTCAAGGAATGAAATAAAGTCAAATTCATGTCTTAACTTTAGTCTCTCTGATTGGAGAGCTATATCCAATCCTTTCAGAACTTCGTAAGCTGCCTCAAGTAACTCAACCTGAACCAGAATTACAGAGCTGTCAATGTAAATATCAAATAAAAGTCGTTTGTAATTCTTTGGCAGGTTAGAATCAAAATTAAACTCCAAAATAGAAGGAAGATATTTTTCGAGGAAAGGCAGAGCCTTTTCATGATGAATACCATATTTTGCTACTATTGATAACATCATTTTGAAAAGATGGAAAACCTTATCCTCAGATGCTACATTCTCACCCAATATGAGTAACTCTATAACAACATCAAGAGCATTTCCAACATCCTTTCTTTCCAAATACAGTTTTAACCAAAGATATAAAATCATTTTCTTAATCTCATCATCCTTCCTAGAAGAATCAAGTTTCGATTTAAATGTTTCCTGAATATCTTTGAGTGACTCCTTCATTGGCAAAATGTCTCCTTTTTTCTGATAAACTATGGTTAATAAATATTTAGCAGAGAAGCAAATCTCGTACTGCTTCTCCTGTTCAACTATTGGTAATAATTTAAGTAAAATCTTTTGTGCAATATCTAATTGTCCTCTCTTCAGTTGACACATTGACATTCCTATTAAAATTGTGTGACTCATTATTGTACATCTATTTCTGAAAATTTCGATTTTTCTATTTAAAACTGATGGTTCATGCTTAATTGGAGAAATCTTTTTAGATTGGTGTATAATTGCTCCTTTTGTGGGAGTAATTGTGCTTTCCGATGGTAAATAAGGTGATTCAATATAATACAGTTTTTCATATCCAACATCTCCAATTAATTTCGTATGTAAATTCAAAGCTTCGGAGAGGTGGTTCAGGCTACTATTTAGTGCATTAGACCTCAAATAAATTAAAGATAAATCAATCATTAATTGCACCAATCCAATCCTATATAATCCATTCACTAATTTGAAATTAGCAATTGCCTCAATTTTTGACTGCACTCCTCTATCAAATTGTTTAAATACAATTGGAGATTTGTTTTGTGGACTGGCAGAGCTGGTCCTCGACATGGAAGAACTACTACGTGTTGAAGAGGCAGAGTAGGGACGAAAATCACTCCTACTACTACTTGAAACTCCCAAAAAGCTACTGTCGTTTCCATACATCATCCATAATTACTATATTCCCTCCTTCTTCAATATTCTAGAAATCTGATTAATTTATATACAACAAAACTTCCGATATTTCAAAGCTAATTGAAGGTTTTACTGTTATTGTTCTTGGAAAAACCTCAATAACAAATTTACGGTATTTTTTTGTGGTGGTTTGTGATTCCAAAAGTCTCGTAATTTTCAATGCCAGTCAAGTCAAAGAGATTGGACAAGGAATGATGTTTTTGAATTAATGCATGCCCAATTCGTTATGTAGAGAGAAGGATGAGATTCCTTAATTTTGTTGATATCAAAATTTAACTATCTGTTTCAGACTTCCTTAGTAGATTCGGATCTAAAAATACATGCAAAAAATGGTGCTGATAGATTTATTCAAATATTAGAAAATGATGAAAGATAGTTTATTCGAACAAAACCATGTCAATCTATCTTCTGAAGGATCTTCTTTGAGAATCTAACTGCAGCTGTAATTACATGTTTAGATAAGAGTCAGTATAGCTTGGTTCAATCTTGGCAACCACTTCAGCTAGTGTGCCTGTCATTCTCTTGATGAAACACTTGCTAGGCACTTTTCGAATATTGCAAATAAATTCAAACCTGTTAAAGTTGGTATTCCAAATGAGATAGTAAATATTTGTTCTCTTCTTTTTGATAGGTTTGCTATGTTTCTCAATAGACTCGATAAATGATTCAATACTCGTTATATTCTCCAATGTCAATTTGGAGGATTGATTGTTTTCATCCTCAAATTCAATGTTATAGTCTTTGATAAACTTATCTTCCAAATAAATAATCATGTGGTAACCTCCAACAGCCATGTTGCAAATATTCTTTCTTCAAAAATTGGATGGTAAAATTTGGTTGGTTCTTTCTGGAAGCATTCATCTTTCCACAGTTGACCACAAATAAAAATTTCATTCTTATCAGTCAGATAAATTGTAGATTCTCTTCCACATCTAACTTCTGTTATCTTATTCTTTGTGAAATTCATGGCATTGAGAGTTGTTATTGTTTGAACAGTAGTTCCATATGTTTCTGATGGGATACCAAGTTGATTTTTAGTATTATATCCGCATCCATATGTTTGTCCATCTCGAGTTTTAAAAATTGTGTGAGATTCACCACACTGAATATCTACAATGATTGATTGAATGGATAGTATATCTTGGTACTTTAGCTCTTGAACTTCATCAAAAACATCTTCCAAATTTCCTACTCCCAATGCTCCAGAATAATTTCTTCCATAAACGAAAACTCTACCCGATTGAGTCAAAATAATAATGTGGCTATCTCCACAAGAAACTCTCCTTATTGGATCTGATGATTCTTGTTTAAATATTTCCTTTCTATTTACAGGCATATTGCTTTCTTCAATGTCTCCATTTAATAAAAGAGTACCATCCTCTGTTTGGAAGACTGTAAATCTCAACCCAGAGTACACGTGATGAATTATCCCCAAATCTTCTACAAGTGTTGGTGCCAGTACCCAATTATCAGGAATGCAAAGTTGTGAATAATAATTATTACCAGAGACATAAACTTTTCCATTAACAGTCAAGAATAAAGTATGAAATTGGCTCAAAACAACCTCTACAATCTGACTATCAAAAGAAAAATCCATTCTCACTGGTTCATAAACAGTTTTCAAATGATTCACACCTAGTTGACCAAAAAAGTTGTTTCCCGAAACTAGAAATAGTTAATACTAGTTAAAATTCAGAAATAACATACCATAAACAAGGTTGTCTATTGTTATCAAAACTGTTTGAGCTACTCCACATTCTATCATTCTAATATTTTGATTAGAACAACGAACACCATTACTTTGTAGAATCGGGTGACAGAATGTTTGTGAGCAAACCTCACTAGGCATATTCAACATGTAATCTCTAGGTCTTTTATGAAGTAGTTGACCATATTGATAATTTCCCATTACCAGAAAAACTGTTCCATCATGTTGTGGATCACTTTCCGTCGATTGACTCCAATTTAAATAATTACTCGTTGTTTCAAAAACCATAGTATGAGAATCAAAAGTAGGAGCATAACTATGCTCATATTGTCTATAAAATCCACCACCATTGGAGGTTGATTTTGCTCCCACATACGTATTTCCCATGATGAATGTCGATGATCCAATCACACACAAATTAATTCTACACAATGTCCAATAAACACAATATATATACACAGACAGGTACAATCCCTCGAGATAATCAGCTGATGATTGAATTTATCCTTTCGAAAAAAGCCTCTTGACAAAAATTCCTCTCGATTTGATGGAAATTTTTTTTAATCAAAAGTCTGTTGAATATTTGCAGGTCGGAGCACAAAATTGAATGACGAACATGAAGAACACATAAAAGGCTTGAGTAACACTTGAGAAAATCTTCCTATTGCTCCTCTTATCCTACTAATCCCCTATGAAGTGTTACTATTTTCAATGATTGAAGGAAGTGGTCGCATGCTATTGGTTGGGTAATGAAAAAAGAATAAAAAATGGCACAACAAGAGGAAGGAAAGAGAGTTTTGATTTTTGTGAGACATGGACGATCGATTTTCAATGAATTGTACAAGGAGAGTGAGAGTGATTGTCCTGCTAGTGATCCTTGGGTGATTGATTCAGAGTTGAGCGAGAGAGGTTTTGAACAAGTTAGACAATTTAACCAAGATTTGAACAAGTTATTAAATTGTGATGGAGAGAAGAGAATAATTTCGAGTCCATTGACAAGATGTATTCAAACTTGTTTTTGTGTATTGGAAAGTCATCAGGCTTTACCAAAAGGCGAAGAGAAAATTATTCTCGATCCTGATTGTACAGAATTGGAAGAATCAAGTTGTGATGTTGGATCAACTTTTGAGGAATTGTCGAATGGAAAGTTGAAGGATGTTTTGGAAAACAATTTTGATTTGAAATTAATTGAAGGAAGAGGAAAGTGGTGGTATCAAAATGAAAATAATAAGGATCAAACTCTACATTTCGAAGAGTGGGACGTTTTCATGAAAAGAATGGACCAATTTATTGACAGATTATTTAACAAGTATTTTGAAAAGGTTGACACTGTAATTGTCTTTTCTCATTTCACATTCATTAGAGAATGTGTGAATGCAATTGCTAAAAAGTACAACAAAGAGACAGCTCTTTCAATAATTGGAGACCAACCTCAACAAACTAAATCAATACCAATTACTGATTTGGAAAATAGAGAAGTTGTAGTATTACATTTATAATGAGGTTATTTGGTGCATCAAATTTGAGTTTTATTCTATCAACGATTGAGGAAGTGTCGATACCAGAAATAGGGTATGAGGATGAAGAGGAAGATGAGGATGATGTTAGCAATTTTACAATCATGATGATGATAGAAGAAGAAGACTTTTAGAATAAATTATTAAATTATTATTTGGATATCTTCATTCGGAGTAAAGTTGAGATTTCTTTTCATCTTGATAATTTACTTTTTCATATGAGGACATGATAATGTAAATGTCATTACAAGTGGAGGGATCTTGAATCCAATTATCTTCAAGTTCAACCATGATTTGTAATTCTTTCAATTATTGATTGTCTAACTGTCCTGTGGCTAAAAAATAGTAAGCTAAGGTATTGCATCTAACGAGTAAGACCTTGCAAAATAGAGATAAAGCACTCATCGAATTGTAATTACACCAACGAATACTTGTTGTTCAATTATCAATTGGAAATAGATTTTTGTTGGACTTGCTAATCATTCACAATTTGAGTACAATCCAATCTTGGAGTTTGTAGACCTAACAAAAAAACTGGCGCTCTTTTTGATTTTGTTGAAATCCATACTTTACAACGACCATTAACACATTTTTAGGTAGTACTAAAGAAGAGGAAATTAAAAAAGAAACAACTAGCGCTCTTCAATTCATTTTCGTTCATAAAAAAACACTAAACTCAAAACTATGAAAAGCCAAGTTAGATTTCCACACAACAGAACTGATTCTCAAGAACCATTTATTGTCTCCAGAAGAATGTCCAGAACGAGCATGTCTAGAAAAGTTGTTGGTAATAGAAACAAACCAATTACAATCATTGTTGTGGGCCTACTCATGTTATTCATTGGTTTGGTGGAGGCAGTGGCCAGCATAGTTATTGGATGCATTGCTGGAACATGTGAAAACAACTGTATTCCTAATAGCTTGTCAATTATCCTTCCAATAGCAATTACAGGATTTATCTTTGTGATTGTTGGCTTAACTTTCATTCCAATAGGTATTAGAAAATTAGTGAGAATGTCAAAGATTGACTTACCTATCGACACTTTCGACCTTCAGCCAGATATGATCATTCACACCTCCACAACAATTATCACAACCAGGCCATTCTAATCCTTACCAACCAAACCAAACAACGGGCGATGAACAAGTGATTTATCCAACATTTTGCTTTCCTCAACATGCTAAATCTCACATGCAGCCACATGTTGGTGAGGAAGACCAACATCAAGAAGAGGTGTAACTCTCAAAACAATATGAAACTACCACAACATTAATGTACATAATAAACTCCTTAGATTTAATAAAATCTGGATGGATTAAAACCTCCTTATCAAACTGAGGTGCAATCCAAGTTGAAAATTGAATTTAACTTCTCCAATCTAGCCATTGGACATTCGACTCAAATTTTTGATTTCATAGATAATGTAACATATACATTAATCGAATATTACTTTGAAATAGACGCTGAAGCAACATATAAAAATTCTAATATTGTCCAACTCAACCCAGAAGCAAAAGCTCTTTTCATAATTCTTGGGCTTACACCTCTGAATAGAGTTCTGAATCCTTCGTTCTTAGTGATTGTAACCAATGCGTGAATTACTCCATTATATGCTTTTGTATTTGAACTTGGTTCAAGTTGCAATCTTGTTCTAATCATATCAAATGGATGTGTAATAACTGATGAAAGAACACCTCCAACAGCGCCACTAGGCATTGTAATGAACGGGCTTGTTTCCATCTCCTTCTCTCTTCCCTTGTAGAATGTATTTGTAAGTGCATATCTTGTTTGATTATAAAACAAAAAGTTCAATCCAGCATTTGGGATATCTCGCACTAAGGTAGCAAATAATCCTGAAAAGAATCCTCTTAAACCTTCATTCTTTGCAATATGTGAAAATGTCTCCAAAACTCCTCTATTGTTTTCCATAAATTCTAATCTTGTTTTAACAACTGTTATCGGACACAAAATTACTCCTGTCAATCCTCTACTAAATGCTGCAATTAAAAAACTCTCTGTTGGTGAAAGTCGACTCTTTGCCAAAGCATCAATAGAATGTGTCTTGGCTGTGATTGTCATTTCTTTCAAATAGCTTAACATGTTGTAATAGAGCAATGATCCAGGAGCAACTCTAATAAATGTTGGTATGGTTCCTCTATATAATCCTTTAATTCCTTGTTCTTTATAAATATGTCTTGCTGTCGTCATCATTGTTTCTCTTGGATGAACTCTTTCACTCTTTGCAAAAGCATCAGCTCGTAAAATCATATTTGTCTTGATGACATCCATCGGTTGTGTAAGCAGTGTCGAGAAGGTACCAGCCACTCCTCCCGACACGAATTTCAATACATTCTCTACCATTTTACTTTCATTTTGTAAAATTTCCGAAGCTTTAGCTGCGTCAGGACCGAGACCGAGAGGAAGACTTGTTTGATTTTCTTGCATTTTTTTTAGGGTTTGAGATGGAGCTCTTGATTTGGCGCCTTTATTTGTCTCTTGATTCTCAAAGCTTTTCGCTCTAATGTTTGTTGCTTGATATTCAATCAAAATTGAGTTGGAGATTAATTTCAATTAGAGCTAATTGAAAATTGATTGTAATCTATTAATTGATTCTTAAGGAGCAAATTGATTGTAACTAGTCAAAATTTTGAATTATTTGAAAAATAGATTTCAAAAGGAAGGCAAAATTGACAAATAACATTGTTTTCACATTTGTCCTCAACAATGCAAAAGGAAATTATAAACATTGGATAATTGTCTTCACAAATAGTAATTGTACAAATAATACACGTTACAAAACATTTGGATTGGCCCCTGATCTTTAAAAATAGATTTCAAATTGAACAAATTCATTGAAAAAAACATCTCTCAACCACCACCTCCTTGTTGAACAAGACAAAATAAAGCCAGGCTTCGGGAGATTGAGACTTGTATTTCAAAACATTGTTTATTCAGGAAGGAATCATTAGAATTCGAGCGTACAGCCTTTTTTAAATCAACTCTTTGATTGTGTTTAATAGTTTAGTAATTGGTAATCATTGTTTTTTCTCAAAGGCTTTGAAATGATCAAATTGAATTACGATCAAGAACTGGATATGTTTATCTGTGGAGGAAGTGGTATTGAGTTTACCTCTCAAATATCTGCTAACCAACCTCTAATTAAAACCTCTCTAGTTGAATTGTACTTTCCATCCAAACAATCATCGAGTGGCAAAACAAATACCACTCAAACAACCGATTCCTCGAACAAGGATCAATCAACCAACTCTGACGACAAGAAAATCACTCCTCCTATTCAGTATGGTGCCATTCCGAAGTTCTTACAAAAAACCAATCAGAACAACATCGTCTTTGTCTCAACTCCTTACAGTGAAGGTGTTATATTTCATAACTACAAGGAGATATTTCTGTGTGGCCATGTTTTAAAGGACTCCGTGCAGACTCTTCATAAGGTTCCAGTGTTTTCAGAGACTGATAATTCAATTGTGCAAATTGTGACATGTAGACACTCAATGTTTGTCCTGTTATCTAATGGGAAGATGTACAGTTTGAGAGGAAACGAGATGGTAGTTTATTTAGATCAGGAAAAGAGAGCTCTCGATCCAAAGTGTCTCCTACAAGAAATTCCATTCGATAAACCAATTAAATATGTTTCGAATGGTGGTGGGAAACACTTCTTTGCTCAAACAACAGACAATGAGCTCTATGCTATTGGTGACGATACATTTGGACAATTATGCCTTTCTAAATCCTCCATAAGATCACACAATGGATTTTCCAATAATACCAAAAATGTAGATGAAAGAAAGGAACTTGATGATTATGAATCCACAACTTTCTATCCAAAATTTGTAAAAGTCCCAATTGATAAGACAATCTCAATGCAAGATAACGAAATTGAGAAGATTGAATGTGGGTTAAATCATACATTCATTCTAATAAGAAATGTACAGACTGGTGCTAAATCTCTCTATTCCTCAGGGTGCTCATACTATGGCCAAACAGCAATTGGTTCAACAAGAAATAGAAACAGACTCTCTCAGGTAGAATTGAATTGCTCCAATGAAATTATAGATATCAAATGTAATAACAATGGCTCATATGTCATTACACCAAGAGCACTCTTCTATGCCGGTATCAATGATCAAAATATTCTTTCTGTAAATAAGGCATACAGTTCAGTGTTGACAGAAGTTCCTCTTACTACTCAAATAGCATCAAATGACGAATTCAGTATTATGGAATGTGGCTACAACCACTGCCTTGCTGTCACTAAGAGGAATAGAATATTTGGCTTTGGAAGATCCTCGTCCAATCAGTTCGGCATTGGTTTAAACAACTATATTTGCCAAGAGATTGAAACAAAGGAATTGTTTGACAAGAAGATTGTTGCCATTTGTTGTGGTCATTCTCATAGTATTATATTTTCTCAACCTTTGGTAGCTCCTGTTGAAGATGAAGTGCAGCTCCACGAAGACTTAATCAAGCTAAGATCGAGTAGTAATGTCTGGGATTTACAAATATTTACTGCATCCAAAGACTTTTCAGTGAAAATTCCTTTGTATATTCTTTCTAAAAGAAGACCAGAACTGCTGAGTTACAACAAGTCAAAGGCACCAAAATCCAAAGATAGTTTATTATATTTGATAGATTGGATTTATTTCAATACATTCATTGAACCATCCCTACAGATTGACAGCTTGATTGATGTTCTTGAGTGGATGACTGTAAATAATGTGCAAGATGAAAGTCTTACTAACCTTGTTCTCAATGAATCAATAATAAGAACTAACGAAGAAAATGTGTATGACACCATCCAATACATATTGAATAGAAAGTATCCTAAGGAGGAGTCACCATTATCAGCTTTTTGGCACCATGCTCTAAGCTTTTGTAAACAATATATTGTAGAGAATAGCTTCTGTAAAATTAAGAACTCAAGCTTTCTCAAACAAAGCATTTTAGTTGAAATAGCAAAGCTAGAAGATCCAAATCTATTGGAATGTAGATCACTCAGTGAAGTTCAAGAATCTCTTCCTCAAACTATTCCAGAAATTGTTTCAGAAATTTTCGACTCACCACAGCTCTCTGATTTACAAATCGTGCTAGACAAATCTAGAGGATTTGTTGTCTATTGTCACAAATCAATTCTTGAAACACGAAGCAATTATTTTAATATGAAAAAGTACGGATTTCAAGCAGCTACAATCAATGAAATTGACGTAAGCTGTCTCTTCACTATATTTAAGAAAAATGAAGATATTACATTCGAGGATTTCATTAATTTGAAATCATTATTGAAATATCTTTATACTGGAAGAATTGAAATCACAACAAAAAATGCACTCACACTCATGTTACTTTGGGAAGCTATGGGAATGTCTGAAAAAAGTCCTCTATTTGAAACATGTAAAGACTTTGTTTGTAGAGGGCTCTGTATCGAGAACATTATGAATGTCATTACAAAGGTTGTCAACAGAGAAAAGAAATCTACACCAACTGAGAGTCCTTCAATGATTGGCTTTGGAATTTTCAGAAATCTAATTCAAGAAGAGGAATCACACTTGCAACCTTATAATTACTCCATCATTGAAACGGAATGCCTAAACTTTTGTGCCAACAAATGGAAGGAAATTCTCTTGATTTACAAGCACGACATTTTAAATTTCCTATCAAAGGAACAACTCTTGAAGATTACATGTATCCAAAACAGAGTTTCCTTGTAGGAAGATTTACATACTTCTCACCAAACAAATTATCATCATTCCAAAAACATTCCTCAACAACATTCCTGCAAACAAGCTCTTCCCTTACTTTGCGAGTCCAATTAAAACAAAATAAAAATAAAAAATAAAATTTTGTAATTCTCTCTAAAAAATGAAGAAACTTCTTAGCTTTACCTCACAAAAGGTTGCTCCATCTTGTTTAGGAACCTTTTCTCACCAACCTCTTCTCTCCTTCTCTCTCGCAACTACTACAACACAATCAAATCTTCTCACCGAATGTACCAACAACAATCAAAAGAGATTCGGTTCTAAACACATTTATATTAGAGGTAAACTTCACTATCAAAAGAAGTTAGAACAAGAGAAAAAAGTTTCCAAACTCTCTGATAAGTCCAAGGCTGCTTATCGTTCAAATGCTGAACGTAGTCAAAGCTTTGCCTGGACTCCTTCAACACCAACTCAAGAATTATATCAAAAGAATATGTTAGAATTCAAGAATTCTCGTAAGAGACCTTCTGCTCAACAATTCCTTGATATGCTCGCCACCGTTCAAAGTGCCGACGACTTTAATTATGCTATGCGTTATTGGAGAACTTTGTGTTTGAGAAGGATAAAATTCACTGCTCAAAGCACTGAAGCCATCCTTGAAGCTATGGAAAAGTATGATGAAAATCACCCACAAACATCTATTGAACGTAAGTATTTTGTATGGGAAATTTTCTAAATATCATCTATGGATTTATTACCATGATATACGGAATAGTTATCAAAAACTCTGGTTCATCCAAGCTTGCTCAACCACTCACAAAGAAATTATTTTTCGGATTTATAACTAAACTTGTTAATGAACACAATGATACTGAAACTGCTATTGCATTGTTCAATGAATTCAAGGCAGGTCATTTGAACTTGGTTCCTACTACTGAAGATTATGAATCCATTTATACTTTGTTGAAGGAAAAGGAAGTTTCTAAAGAAAAGGTTGTTGAATTGTTTGATAAACAACCAAAATCAGTCAGTATTTCATGCCCAGCACCAATTTTGACCACAGTTTTTGATGCTTTCCAAGAAGTTGAAAGTAGTTTGGATGCTGCTGTCAAGAAACGAGTTCTCAATTATTTACAAGTTCAATCACTGGGTAAGGAAGATACAATCTTTGAAGCTACCAAGCAAAAGTTATCTGAAATGACTTCCGTTCCTGCTGAAGCAAAGGAAGAGTAAATATACTAGTTTTTTAACATCACAATTCACACGACACACAAACAAGGACATAAAACTAAAAATTAAATTAATTGATGTGAAATTATATTTGTAAAAATTGATGATACACAAATCATTATGGTGTATATCATTTAGATTAATTCTAATCATCAAATATCCACACAACAATAAATCATTGAAAAGAAGTAAAATTAACGAATTAAAAAAATGCAAAACGAAGATGATGATTTATTGTTAGGTGCCGTTGAAGAGGAAGAAATGGCACAACAAAGTCTATTCGGTGAATTTGATTCAGGCTCTAATCATGTAGTCGGATCAGTGGCAGGTTCATCCTCTAATCATAATACAACACCCATCATGATGAATAACGGTCATCCTCAATCTATGCTTCAACCTAATTTCCTCTTGAGTCCACTTCTTTCCATGTCTTTGAATCCAATGCATACAATGAATCCTCTCTATGGCGTTTCAATTCCACCAATTGCTCATCCTCTAGGTTCTAACGGATCACTTTCTCTTCTCGGAATGTTGAATCCACTTGGAGCACCACCTCCACCACTTCATACACCACAACAACCATCAGTTAGTTATGGTCATAAAGTAATGCCAAAAGAAGAAGCCATTGAAGAGGAACAAGATTCATATGAAGTTTATGATGATGATAAACAAGAACCAACAGAATTTCCAACTTTGGCACAAGAGGATGTAACTAATGAACAACGATTGGATGAAATATTGACTGGACTTTCAATTACTGAGGAACAAGAAAGGATTAAATATTATGTGCAACATGGAGTTAAATATCCATTTGTAGCACAATGGAGAAATCCTTTAATTCACTCTATTAGAGAAAATGTGATTGTGAAACATGTTGTGGATTTTAATCCATATTTTGGAATTGTAGTAATTGTAGAACCTTTATATTTAAGTCATGATAAGAAAAAGAAAAAGTCAACCGTGGATGATTTGAGAAGAACTGGGTTTTATGTTCATGCTGTTGATTTATATGGTATGAAAAAGAAGAGTGTTATTGGTAGATTACTTGATGATCATAGAAAATATATTAAGAGATGTGTTCTTGTCAATCAAACCAAAGAATGTTTCGAATCCAACGACGTACTTATACTAAAAACTAAATGTGAAACTAAGATACCAAAAATTAATGAAATAACAAGTCTAATCAATAGTGCAGTCAAGTTAAAGAGTTCAGATGATTCTGACTTGGTTACAATTGTGAATAGATACGAGTCTCACGGAGGAAATCCACCCCAAAAATTAAATAAGAAGATTGATGTTGTAAAGGCCCTAGAAGTTGAGGATATTAATGAAAGAATTACTGCTTTGTGTCCACCTGGTACTGGGTGTATCAATGATTTATCAACCCTTGTAAGATATGCCACAACTTGTTGTAAATTCCCATTCGATGCAAAAGTTACTTCATTGTATTCATTCCTAAATGATCAACAAGTTGAATTTACTGTATCGGTGAACAGTGTAAACTATAGATGTAAACAAGGTATCATATTCAAAGCAACAATAACATCTGGAACTCTGAGTCCAATAGATGGCAGATTTAAAGTTCACATTGATAATGATGACGATGCTGGTTCAGATGACGATGATGAACCATATAGAAAGAAGAGAAAAATGTCAGGATCTACACCATTCGATACATACACTGGTACAACAATCAAGGTTGATAGTTCTAGACTGAGAGTAGACGATAGTACCAAGTCTGTAAATCTTACAGTATTGATGGATTATCAAACATGGTTTATTCATTCTACATTGCTTGATGAAAAGAAGATTGATGAACAATGGACAAACCTGAGATTCTATCTTCAATTTGTTGATTAATTTATTAAAACTCTATTTGAAACTCAATGATTCAATTTCTAATAATGCAAAATTGTTTTCACCTCCAATACATGATACCAAGTAAGGTGAAATAGCAGATTGTGAAGCTAAAGGAGAGAGGATTTGTTGAATGTTTTGGATGACTTGGCTGCTTGGAGAGAAGACTCTAACAATATCAATCTTTTTCTTTGGAATGAGGTTTGCAAGTTGACCAAGGTCAAAATTCTCCTTATTCTCTGAAGTAAGTAAAATAGTTGTGATAGAAGCAAGTGGAGAAGCGATAACAGTCTGGCAAGTGGCCTTAACATTTTCAGACAAGACATGTTGTTCTGCAGCTGAGAGTGTAATTTGTTCCTTAAAGTCATCGTCATCATAACCATAAATTTCTTCATAGTCAATTGGTAAATTCTTCATGTAACCAAATACGTGTATCTCGACAAGAGCTCCTCTTGGAAGGTCAGGAACAAAAACTGTTTGCATGAGGCACTTGTTATTGGATAAAAGTTTGCTAGCATGAGTTTTGAATGAATTTTGAACAATTTCTTGTGCTTTTTGCAAATCAGGCAATTTTCCAAAATTCAAGTAAGTGAGACATCTGAAACAATCTTCAATACGACTCTCTCTCATTCCATCTAAAACTTGATTAATATTTTTGAGAGATTGACCAGTTTGTAAATCCAAAGCTTCTTCAATATTTGAAGAAATAATCAGTTCCATACTTTCTGGAATGAAGGCAATTTGTCCAGCAAGTCTCAACAATTTTTCTTGGGAAGTAGCTTGAGCATACGGACCAATACATGAAGGAGCCCACTCTGAAACACTTTGAACAAACAATGAAGAATTTGAATAAACACTCGAAGGATTAATCTTCTTTCTATCGAGCAAACATTCAATGGCAATTTGTTGATTTGGATTAACAAAGTTATTGGCAATACAGACTCTACTTGGTCTATTGAGTCCATTCGAGAAGAAGTGACAATATGCTTGATTGACACTACCAAAACAATTCATTCCTGAAATTTGTAAAACACAATGAACCATTTGTTGAGCCATGTCTGGAGCTAATTCACTCAATTTTTGGAAAATGGCAAACAATTCAAGAGCTGGATCATACTTTTGATCAACATTGCAACGACCAACTACATAACAGAGTTTGTCAGTGGTTTCCTCAATCTTAATTTCAACAAGACTCTTCAAATGATCCAAATTAGAATTACTTTGCAATGAATTCACAGCGTTGGTGTCTTGCATAAAGATGGCAATATTGGTTGATTTTTGACAAGTTGGAGGTTGATAATCGAGCTTATTTTCAACATGGAATTCAGAAATTAAAAGATGACCAACTCCGCCCATATCATCTTCAGAAATCATTACAATTTCACTCTTATCTCTGTATTTTGTCAATTCTATTCATAATAAATAATTAGTACTACTCACATGACAATTCTCTTCTTGAAAAGTGGACAATCCAAGGTTAAACTCTCATATTCTCCTCCCTCTCCACAAACATTCAATCCAGCACTATCTTTGAGTTTCATAAATGTTGGTTGTAATTCTGCAAGAGTTTTACCCAAATGTTTTTTAGGGAATAAACCCATAGAGGCAGTCTTGATCAATACACAGTTCATCCCAGCTTTAATCATTTCATCCAACAATTCCTCTTGAGGTTTTCTCCACAAATAGCTCAAAGAAACCAATCCTAAACGAGAACAACTGTAAATTCCACAAAATAACATTCGAATCAATTTCAAATTATTCACAATTCAACACTTACACATTCTCCACTCTAAATCTTTGATAATCTGAAAATATAGCTCCACAAGAAACTGCTCCAACTTCAGGCATTTCATCCTTAACTCTCTTCAATAAATTATACAAATTCTCCACCTCATCTTCAATTGACTTTTTATGATCATCATATTCCAATGTAGTTTGTAATGAAGATCCACTCAATTCTCCAATAAATAAAGGTAATTCCATACATTCAGCAATTGCAGAAATTACATTATGACCAACAGTTTGAAACATCCAACTATCAAGTTCCTCTATTTTCAAAAATTCATTTTTTTCATCACAAATTTTTCATCACGAATTTTTAATTATTTTTCCAAAAGGAATTAAATGTAGTTTGATGATCATAATATGTATCGGAAATAGTAAATACTATTTAAATAGTATTTAAAAAACGTACGAACTTGAATGTTAGGAGGTCTCAAGTTTGCAAGACAAACAATTTCATGTCCGTGTTGGACACATTTGACCATATTGTAGCATGAATCTTTACCACCACTGACCAAGGCGACTACTTTCATTTTTTTTGATTTTTTTATTAAATATTACAGAGATTACAATGAATTAAATTGTAAAATGTGAAATTAGTAACCAAATAATGTAATCTTAGGGAAAATAATTTACAATCCAGCCATAGCCATAGCCAACCAACCAGCAATGAAGGCAACTCCACCAATTGGAGTAATAGCTCCAAGTTTCTTTGAAATATTCAATAATCATCATCATTTCGAATATATTAAATCCATAATAATAAATTCAATCAATTCTAATTCCACTAAATACAAATCAGACTTACAGTTTTATCAGTCAAAACCAAAGCATACAAACTTCCACTAAATAAAATAATTCCAGTTGATAACAATGATCCAACCACGTGATGATTTCTACCGATTTGACTGATGGCCATCAATCCGAGACCATGAAGAAAATGATATTGTGCTCCAGTTTTCCATTGTTCAATTCTACGTGGTTCGAAATTCTTCAATCCATGAGCTCCGAATGCACCAGTAGCAACAGCAATGGCACAATTAATTGCACCCAATGAGAAGTAAAACTTTCTCGGATTGGAAAGGAGAGTTTGAAAAACCATTTTTTTTGATTAATTATTGCTCACAGTAATGATAAATTGTCCTATTTAATATGTCCTTTGTGTTTTAATGTGGAAAATTCATGAAGTGATGATGAATATTACAATATTACAATTAAATATTATTAACATATAAATAATATTTGAATAGTATTTGTGAAAAGTGTTAAATTGATGATTTTTGGTGGTTTTTATTTACAAACAGGGAAGGGAATTAAACACTCATGGAAATAGAGAGAGCAACACCTAATGCTAAACTCAAGAAGAATTGTACAAAGAAGAGAATACCCGATGTTCTGGCGTAGGCTTGAGCTCTTGGATTGCTTGATCTTCTAAATTTAAAGTAACAAATTAACCACACGAGACCAATAAATAAACCAATAATTAATAAAAGTTTGGCATCATTTTCTTCCTTGACATCATAATTCGTTAACAAGGCAGTGCTTGTATTAGTCACTGTTTGATAGGAAGTTGGTTGTTGATAAGTCACAGGTTGAGTATAAATAACAGGTTGAGCATTATAGAATGGTTGATTGGCTGTATAGGTTCCTTCTTGTTGAGCAATTGGTGAATAATATGGTACTGGTTGATAGGTTTGTGGTTGTGAAGTTGTTGCAGTTGTGGTGGTATTTGTTGTTGTTGGGACATTAGGATTAATAGCACCATATTGAACAGCTCCGGTATCATAGGAAGGTTGTTGTTGTTGAATACCCTTTGATTGATCGTTGTAATTTTGTTGTTGTTGAGACATTTTTATGAATTTGTTTTTTCAAAATTTGATTTGAAGTGGAAGGTTTAAAAGTCTAATTGTGAGTGGAATTTGAAATCTAATTCAATTCCAAGTTGAAGGAGTTTTAGCTTGGAATTCATCGCAAGAATTTGATCACCCCGATTAATAGATTTTTATTAGTGTTACTGTTAGGTTCTAATCATGGCTTAATGGGAAGGAAAATCAATAATTTATTCTGTTTGTGATAATCATCTTAATATAACGTCCTTAATATTGTTTTTTGGCGCCAATATTGAACGTTTCACAGTTATGTTTAAAAAATTAAGGAAAAATATGATGAAAAAAATTGAATGAATTGCACCAATAGACGAATTATTGGAAAGGAATCTTCCAATAATTTAATCAATAACAATAATGGAATGATTCCTGATAAATCATCCCCAAGTAATTCTTCATCAAGTCTCTCAGGAAATGAGGAAGTATTTAATGATGAAGATATCAATTCTTTAATTGATATCACAGCTAATTCCTCAATAGAAAAAGATCCATCCCAACACGAGGAGGAAGAAATTCAATCCGATTCATCACATCATCAATACAATGAAGACGATTTCAAAATTGTGAAGCATTAAGAATAATGATTCATTTCATTCTAGGAATAGACACACATCTAAATTGTACCTCTGATACTATTTTTATATAGTATTATTTTGAATACGACAACATCAAATCACCAAAATATTCTGCTACACAATGTGCGTGTTGAAGCTGAAAAACAATTCTACAATTTTACCTTTTTTGCGAATCCATCATCCCGCCATTGATGTACACTTTTTTGGCGCGTGAATGATACAGAATACACCAAGCAGGTAATTAAGGAG